CTGTCGAGGTGGTAAAAATTTAATTTTTCTCCAAACGTCAAAAAAACGTCACTTTGTTAACCCTTGTCAAGATGTCAGAAATTTAATTTCTATGCTGCCAGGCAAATCCAGCGGGTTAACACCTGTCGAGGTGGTAGAAGTTTAATTTCTATGCTGCTTGGCAACCCCAGCGGCAGCAAAAGTACTTTTAGTGCCGCTCGTACTTTTACTGCCGCTCAACCATTCACTAGCCCCCGAGCTTACCCCATTAGTTTGGAGAAAAAATAGCGTGTTGCATACGGAGTAGAAGCACTTTTTTGTGCTTCAGCAGTATTGCAAGCCTCACTACGTTCGGCTCGCAAACCTACTGCTTCAGCACAAAAAAGTAAAGCTTCTACTCCTAATACAACAATATACTATTAACAAAATTCTCTAAGTACTTACTTTCAATTCTACTATATCAAATTCGTCTAAGTAATTGCCTCTGATATGATATAAGGTGTGGAAGGCGTGGATAAAAACCATGCTTTTTAAGAAAGAGATGCCTCAAAAAAGCCTGTATGGACATAAGTTACAAGATTTCTATGGCATATTCTAGCTTTGATCGAACTAATAATGAGTTACATTATACTATAACAAGCAGAAAATTTTTGAATTTTTACAATTAATACAGGTTCTCACAAATTCCAGCTTCCTCATAGCATCAGCATGAAGTTTCTCGATATAGATTTTTCGAGAATCATATAAATACCTAAATCTAGAATTTCTTGAACTTAAACATCACAGATTTTATAGTCATTCGAAAAAGGATTTTGACTATGACAGAAGCTAATACATTTTACATTTACCTTCACAGAAAGTTAGGATTCATCTGCATCCCTCTGTAGAAGTATTGCATCATTTTCATTTTCAATAATTTTGAAGATCTTTAGATCATCTGCATATAGTGAGAACTCTGAACTACCCACATAATTAGATACTTAGGTCATTAACAAACAACACAAAGAGCAGCGGTCTAAAAACGGATCCCTGAGGAACCAGACATGGCCACATAGCTCTGAGAGTTAGCTTCATCAAATTTGACAATTTGAGGCCTATCCCCAATGTATGAGACCAAATAACTGATCAGATTATCACTATAATGACAATTGTTTCAGTTTCTTTATAAGGACCGAGATAAGGACATCATGGCACACTTGTCAAATGCCTTCGCTAGATACCTAATCGATCAGAGAATGTTGAGCCAATTCTAATCTTATATGAGGTTTTTAGTTCTCTTTCATCAACCAATAAGATCACAGAGCTGACAGATTTCAAGGTCATTAATGCCCCTTTAACAGATATTGTTTTATCACATTTATCTGAGACTACATAATATGTATATCCAAATATTTATAGAAGGCCACAGGAAATCGAATTTTTATATTTTATCTTTTAAGACTACCTACCTACTCTAGATAAATATATAAATAGAATTTTATTTATTTATTTTTACACTATTACTCAGAGGATATTGCCAATTAAGTTATCAGTCAAAACTTACCACTACTATAATCTATACCTACTATAACCGACCATTGTCTGTTGATATTCCATTCAAGAATGTTATTTTTGTATTTTATCTGCTACTAACAAGGACATTTTTATTTCATGTTATCCTCAACAGTCTTTATATAAAAATAATGAGCTGAGTAAATGATATTTGAGATAAAACTTTTCACACACTAGTCCTCTAAAGGATTATAATATGTACAGGGTGTTCATTTTAAAACTTACCACCTCTATTATCTCGGAGTTGAAACATTTTCGAAAAAATCCCTGAAACAGGTCGACTTTAATTTGAGAAGCGATGAGTTTTTATGCTAAATTCACCTCCCCCCTTTCAACCTCCCAGCCCCCAGAACCACCCCCTAGAAAATCTTAAATGGGAAGGGGGGTCAACTGATACATCATTTTGGAGGGTTTTTAATTCCATACATTTTCCATACATTTTAATACCTAAGTTCAACTGTTGTTTTGGAAATAATGGTCTTGTTCACCAGCACTCAACATGTTGAGTGATTAGTAAGGTTTGTTCCAACAAGTGGAATACAAACGCAACACAAGGTACAACAGTTTTGATTGGCCTAGAGCTGATTTTCATCTGTTTTAAACAAGTTTTTTGACCTTATTGGGAAAAGCTATATTATACAGGGTGTTCATTTTAAAACTTACCACCCCTATTATCTTGGAGTTGACAATTTTCGAAAAAATCCCTGAAACACGTCAACTATAATTTGAAGGGGGATGAGTTTTTATGCAAAATTCACCTCCCCCCTTTCAACCCCAGAGCCACCCCCTAGGAAATCTTAAATGGAAAGGGAGGGGGGTCAAGTGATACAGCGTTTAGGAGCGTTTTTAATTCCATACAATTTGGTACTAAATTTTAATCCTTAAGGTGTTTCAGGGATTTTTTCGAAAATTTTCAACTTTGAGATGATAGGGGTGGTAAGTTTTGAAATGAACACCCTGTATAATGCAGCTTCTCTCAATACGGTTATAAAACTTGTTGAAAACAGATGAAAATCAGCTCTAGGCCAATCAAAACCTTGTGTTTGTGTATTCCACTTGTTGGAACAAAGCCGCTTACTAACCACTCAACATGTTGAGTGCTAGTGAATGCAACCAGTATTTCCGAAACATTTCAACTTAGGTATTAAAATGTATGGAATTAAAAACCCTCCAAAATGATGTATCACTTGACCCCCCTTCCGATTTAAGATTTCCTAGTAGGTGGCCCTGTGAGCTGGGGGAGTTGAAAGGGGGAGGTGAATTTTGCAAAAAAACTCATCTCCCTTCAAATTATAGTTGACATGTTTCAGGGATTTTTTCAAAAAATTTTCAACTTTGAGATAATAGGGGTGGTAAGTTTTGAAATGAACACCCTGTATTTTAGCAAATGGAAATTCTTATGGAGCATCAACTTGTTGATTAGTGACATTTGAGGGGCCTGGGTTTGAAAAAATCCAGCTCATAAGGCCTATAAATCACCATAATTTTTAGCTTAAAATTGGATTTTTACTGCCTACTGTTTTCAAATAGAGAGGGAGAAAATTCAAAGTCAAAGTCTCAGAAGTGTCCAGAATTTAATTATTATTAGTGGTTACACATATTGGTTTTTGGATATCTAACAATTTTTTAAATTTTCTGGATACTTGTGAGACTTTGACTTTTCTTTCCTCTTTGTTTTATACACTTACCAATTTTGAGTTATTTAAACTTAGTCTGTCGTAGCACAAAACACAGCTTTTTGAACTAAATATTAGGATATTTTGCTTGATCGGTGTTCTTGAGTTTTCCTTATTAACCCAAACTATCCCAACAATAAGGTACTCAGATTCAAGTCCAAGAAATTTTCGACTGTATATACAAGTACAATAAGTTTTGTAAGAGCCCTAATACAGATCCTTGTTTAACAGCAACCCTATTCACTAGTGAAATTATTTCCATTTGGACAATATTTGCTGTCTGTTGTTTTAAGCTATACATTATATTTTTTTAATTTCATTTATATGATTGACTATAACCATCATAGATTGTTATATAAATTTTCTAACTTCTTCTCTGAACTTTTTTGATGAGTTTTTTGTATTGTTAGCATACGCTTTCCTTCTTTGATGCATGCTTACCATCCTAGTTGTATCTTTCTGGTTTTCTGGAATTTTCCAATCTTGATTTGGAAACTGACAAACGCTTTGAAGAAAGTTAAAGAGGTACACTCTATACACACCAACTTCTCCAAAGCGTCTGACAGAGTCAATCTTGCTGTCTTGATCAGAACTTTGGAGACACTGGGCATTTCTGGCTTCCCACTCCTCTGGATAGAGAACTACGTCACTGAAAGGTTCCAGATGGTAATGATAAATAACTTCTCTTCTTCACCAATCCCAGTCTAATCAGGCGTGCCTCAAAGTTTACACCTGGGACTTTTACTTTTCAACATTTTCATCAATCATTGCATTTTTCTTCTATTTGCAGACAATCTTAAATTTTTAAAAAAAATAGTTACCCAAAATGACTGACTTGCACTCCAGGAAGACGTTGACAGGCTCTTTGGTGTCAGACTAAAGGCATGGAACTAAACGTGTTGAAATGTAAAGTAATTAATTTTCACAAATCGAAAACCTTAAGCAACTACATTTATCATATAAATGACACTCCCTTAGACTGTGTGGAGCAGATCAAGGATTTGGGCCTCTTGTCAGCAAGATTTTGCTCATCATATCGACCTCGCAATTATTGAGTAGCCTCTGCGAATACTGGGATTTGTAAAACGCAGTACTAGGGACTTCATGAATATTGGCTCCAAAATATTATAATTTTCCTATGTCCTGTAGTTAGCTTGAGTATGCTGCATCAGTATGGAGTCCAGACTACCCTTACCATATACATCGACTTGAAAGTGTACAGCACAAATTATTCAGATATTTGAACTACAACTTTTTCAATAAACAAGAATTTCATTATGCAAACTTTTGCGCTGAACTAATTTTGTCCACTCTTCCCTGCAAAGAAACTTGCTTCACAAGACCCCTTTTGTAACACTCTGAGAATCTTCTTTATTGGTATCTTTATATCAATCTATAATATCTTCATTTTGCTTAGACACCTTCTAATAATCCATTCAGGAAATTTCCAATTATTTTCCTGGTATTCATATTATCCTGCATAAGCAGCCACTTTCCACTGATTCTAAAATTCCAACCTCTCTCTTCACATCATCATTTCCTTGGGATTTTTCATTTCTAACACATCCTCATTTGTGACCGTTTGGTCTTATAAGTTGGATTGATGCTTCTATTCATTCCCCTTATAGGAACTTTCAAAAAGCCCTCCAAAACTTGACTGCAATTTTCGTGACAGCGATTTGCCCTGAAAATATAATACAAATTAAATCTTTTTAAACAAGAAAAACTCTAAATTCATTACTTATGATGTCTCAGAGAAAATATCTTGATAAGTAAAAATTCAATTTGTTTCAGCTCTCGTCTCTGTACGAGGTCAAGCCCCCAATCTCCAAAGCCAAAATGACCGCTCTGACGCGAGGCGCCATCAAAGCCATCAAGTTCTACAAGCACGTCGTCCAAAGCGTCGAAAAGTTCATACTCAAATGCAAACCCGAGTACAAAGTACCCGGCCTGTATGTCATCGATTCGATAGTGCGCCAATCGAGACACCAATTCAGCGCAGAAAAAGATGTTTTCGCTCCGAGGTTCTCCAAGAATTTACAGCAGACTTTTGTCAACTTGTTTAAATGTCCTGCAGAAGATAAAGTAAGAATCATTGCAGTAGTTTGGTTTTTGGATAATGTAGCCATGTAATAATGTTTGTTTGTTTTCCAGAGCAAAATCATCAGAGTGTTGAACTTGTGGCAAAAAAATCAAGTTTTTCCTCCCGAAGTGATACAGCCGCTGTTTGATTTTGCCGATCCGAACAATCCGATACATCAACAGTTGCAACAGCCACAGCAGACTCCGCCACCGCAAACGAATGGTTCTCAGCAGATTATAAGAGGTTGGTAAAAGTAGAGGTTATTTTGAGGTTTATTTTTTTTTAAATGCAATGTGCCAATTACTACAAAATAATGGAGATTTAAGAAGAAAGTGGAAATTATTTAAATTTACTCTGGTTACAACAATACCATCAGATGAAACAAGACGTAAATAGAAAAATTTCATTCGGTTTTGAAAAAAAAAAAACACAGTTCAACTGAAAGTTTGTTAATTTGTTTTAACTATTCTTTAATATTCCTAAACAAAAATGAAGTTCTAAATTTTTGAATTTATGAGAAATATTTCGAATTATTCAACTTTCTTTAGCACTATGATGATTCGGGCTGTTACCAAACCTTATTTAGCTTATGATATCGAATACCTAGGGAATTTGGAAATATTGGTTTTAAGCAAGACATATTATTATGTTGTTTTCTAAATCATTTATTCATTTGGGCAAGAATTAAGGCCAAGAAACAAGGTTTTTTTTTTGGTATAATTAGCAATTTTTTTGGTCCTAATTTTTGTTCTTCAGTTTATTTCACACATTTGAAACTCTTTCAACTGCCATTGGACATTGAAAGTAGTTATTACAGGCAAAGTAAGCGCATTCATTTTAGGTTTGTTCCAACACGTTAAAAACTGCCCCATGAACGGTTTCGAAACCACTCTATATACGAATTTCTGGATCTACGCACACATTTTTCGCTTTGCGCAGAATCGTGACATACATTTTACGGTTTTCTGCTATGTTGGAACAAAGCTTTTCTCAGCAAAAACAGAAATTGTTGCTTACTTTGCCTATTTTATCACCCTCGACTTATCAACCACAGACCCCAGTCAAGATTAAAAAAGGTAAGGTCGACTTGGGAAGCAGATTATTGACTGGGGCTCGGAACAAAGGTAAGTCTTAAGTTAATCAAGGTATAGGCAACATGAATGATTGAGTATAGTTTGTTTGGATATAGTTTTTGCAAAAGGAACTCAAGTCCTGAGTTTTCTTTTAGTGGTTGTTGATGAAATTTATTTTATTTTTCCTGAAATTAAAGCCTTCACAACTTTGTAATTCTAGGTGACAACAAAAAGTTGTATTTTCTACACTAAAATTTTTGAATTGATTGTCCGTTGCCTTTTGGTAAATTTTCCAGGGTCTAATTGGTTGTTGGTGTAGTAAAACATGTTGCCTATATTTTCAGTAGCAAACTTTACCTCAAATTAATTCTTCACTAAACTTTAAAAACTAAAACACTTTATTTGAGGTAAAGTTTTTGTAGTTTAATGTTATCGATTATCGTTTTGGTTTACTTCGAAAAAAAATAAAAAGCGCACATTTTGGCACATTGCGATGTGCTCCCGCCATTGTCTAAATAAGTTGTTCATGATAGGTTCGCCAGCGCTCCAAAAGACGCCGACCAAAGCAGCTCAGCCGTCGGCACCGGAACCTGCCGCTACCAATTTGGTTAGTTTGGGTTTGTTTGAATTAATGCCAGGTTGGACACAAAAGCTACTACTACTGCGCTGTGAGGATTGATCCTATACGAAGAGTGAAAAATTAATTGATTATTTTTTGACTCATCCATCACCCATGTTTATTTTCATCTACCTACTACAGTTATTTTATAATTTGTTCATTTTTTTTTTTGTACAAAATAACTGTTCTTTGACATTATGAATGTTTTCGCTCTTTTCTTTTTATGTAACTTTTATTTTTAGTTTTATATTATAAGATTATTGTTTCATTAGTAATACAGATTAATCACAATTTATGTAAATAGCAGTTACAATGTAATTAAGAATCAAATCATGGCTAATTGGTACCCAGTTTGCCATGATTTCATTATCAAATTTACGGTAATGGAACACTTAGAACCAAATTGGTGCAATGTTCTGTTAGGGATTTTTACTGGAAGATGAAAATCATGTTATTGTTTCACAATTTTTATCAGCTGTTCATGCTGCCAGGGTAAATGTTGAAACGCACCCCAAAAAAAATCTGTAAAGAGCCTGTAATAAGCAAGTTGAAGGCCTGTGTCAATTTTTAAAATTACTAAACATTTTCAAACAGCCTGCACAGGGTGGTCCAAATTGGACACTTTCTTATGAAAACACCATCTATTTTTAGAGATAGAAAAAATTGGCCCCTCCTGCTCTGAGGCTCAAATTTCATGAAATTTTGATTGGTGCATACCGCATTGTGATATCTTCAACCTTTTAGTCAGAGGTTTAGCCGCTAGAGGGCGATTCTCGATTTTGAGCAATAGTGTGAAACCTTCATAACTTCTTTGTTTATGGAAATAATTGATTTCCGTAAAGAGTTTCTAGAAACACTTTTTTAAGCAGAATTCAGTGACGTTCTCAGTTTTTCCTATTTTGCTCCGATCTCAAAATATTGACCAAAATCCGATTTTTTTTAATAGGACATACTATATATTGATAGCTTATTGGAAAGCTGTGCTTTTGCTGATTTCAATGATATAAAGTTCGATAGGTTTAATCCTAACATTTTTTGAGAATTTTTTTTTTTCAGTTTTTGTCATAAGAAACAATGTGTTAAAAAGAGACCTCTCTCGTTCTCCTTACAGATATAAAGTCCTTTTCCAACCTGGGCACGTATTCTCGTAACCAGGGAACAGCGTTCTCTCAAGAGAACGATTACACCGTCTTTGTCAGTATTATAGAAATAACAATATGAGTGACTAGGACAGAGCAATCGTTCTCTTGAGAGAACACTGTTCCCGGGCCCGGAGGGCCCGTATTCTCGTCACCAGGATCCTTATTCTCGAAACAGGGGAGTAGCGTTCCCAGGAGAACGAGTGTTCCGTCTTTGTTATTCATATTATAATTTGCATATCATTGAGAAAAACAAAACATGCGTTCTCTTGGGATCGCTGCTCCCTTGTTTCAAGAATAAGGACCCAGGGAACAGGAACAGCGTTCCTGTTCCCTCAAGAGAAAAGAGAACGATTCCTCTGTCTTAGTCACCCATATTGTTATTTCCATATTACTGACGAAGACAAAGCAATCGTTCTCTTGAGAGAACACTGTTCCCCGGTTACGAGAATACAGGCCTGCGATGTCTATTCTCGAAACTGGAGAACACCGTTCTCATGAGAACGATTGCTCTGTCTTTGTCAGTGTTATGGAAATATGAATATGGGCGACGAAGACGGAACCGCTGCTCCCCTGTTTCGAGAATAAGGACCCTGATGACAAAAACCGAAATAATTTTTTTCTCGGAAACTGTTGCAGATAAACCTATCGAACCTTATATCATTGAAATCAGCAAACGCAGAACTTTCCAATGAGCTGTTAATATTATATAGGATGTCCTATTGAAAAAAATCGGATTTTGGTCAATATCTCGAAATTGGAGCCAAATAGAGAAAAACTGAGAACGTCACTGAGTTTCGCTTAAAAAATGCTGCTAGAGAGTCTTTACGGAAATCAATTATTGTCATAAACAAAAAAGCTATGAAGGTTTCACAGTATTACTCAAAATCGAGAATCGCCCTCTAGCGGCTAAACGGTTGAAGATATCACAGTGCGGTTTGCACCAATCAAGATTTCATGAAATTTGAGCCTCAGAGTGGGGGGTTAATTTTTTCCTATCTCTAAAAATAAAGGGTGTTTCCATAAGAAAGTGTCCAATTTGGACCACCCTGTACAGTGTGTCCCATTTTGGTTGTCCATAAGGGATATCTCAGTTGCTATTGGAGTTAGAAGGATGCGGTTTTCGCTAACTTGGGCTACTTTTGTGTCAAACAAAAGATGCCGTCAACAAAATTTTTATCGCCTTTTCCGTTTTTCAGATACAAGGTGTTTTCGAAAAAGTTGCATGCTGGGTCAACCCTTGTATCTTGGTTCTCTCATAAGCGATCGAAAAGGTGACAACGGGTTCTTATAGATCTTTCTACGTAGATTTCAGTGGCGAAGAAAGTTTTTCTCTAGATGTGATAGTTTTTAAATCACGAACCAAACTTTTGTGAACCAAACATACGTTTTTTCAAATGAGATACCCTCTATTCTAATAGCTCATTGGATAGCTCTGCTTTTGCTGATTTTAATGATATAAAGTTCGATAGGTTTATCTCTATCATTTCTGTTTTTGTCATAAGAAACAATGTGTCAGAAAACGACTTTGCATCTGTACTGAAAATGAGAAAGGTCTCTTTCTAACACATTGTTTCTTATGACTAAAAAAGATGAAAAAAATTCGCTTGAAAACTGTTAGAAATAAACCTATTGAATTTTATATCATTGAAATCAGCAAAAGCCGAGTTATCCAATGAGTTTATACTATATAGTGTGTATCATCTGAAAAAACGTATGTTTAGTTCATAATTAAAAAACTATCACTTCTAGAGAAAAACTGACTACACCCTACACCACTGGAAGTTACGTAAAAATATCTATAAGAATCCGTTGTCACCCTTTCGATCACTTATGAGAGGACCGAGATACAAGGGGTATCCCAAAATGCAACATTTTCAAAAACACCTTTGTATCTGAAAAACAAAAAGAGCGATGACAATTTTGTTGGCGCCATCTTTCGTTTGACAAAAAAGTAGCTAACGTTCGCAGAAACTGCATCCTTCTAACTCCAAGAGCAACCGAGCTATCCCTTATGGACAACCAAAATGGGACATACTGTACAGGAGGATTTTATAAAGAATTTAATGATAGATGACTATTTTTGTATACTTCATTTTTCACGAACACTCCAAATAGAGCCTCTAATAAATTCTCAGTTTAATTTATCTACAGGGTGTTTGAACCAAAATAGAAATTTTTGAAGCTTGACAAATGATGTATTAGTGAAAACCTTTAGTTTGAAAGGTCTCTCATAAAATCAGTCTGTATACATAATATGAAATCCTATAGAGAATTTTTTTGCTTTCCAAAAACCAGCCTGAGACTTGCACAGTATATTTTCCAAACAAAAAATCCAAATGGAGCTTCTACTGGTTCATTACATTCTTTATGAAATTGCTTGTACAGAGTCTTTCCCCATATATTGACCCCCCCACTACAGGGGGTATGTGAAGAGATATAAAAAAATTGTGAATACAAAAGTTTTGGGATTTTACCCGAAATTTTTGAATTCGATGCCAAAAACTTTTTTATTTTTTCAGAAATATCAAATTTTGACAGATGGTCAGTTTTTTCTTATGGAAAGCCCTATACAGGATGAGTCCGAAATAAGTGCGCATTTTGTTATGATAGATAGAGTACAATAGGACAATCACTTTTTGCATAGGCAGATGTGTCCGCAAACGTCTTGTTAAGAAAATATAGTGCTGAAATTTTTGGAAGGTTTTTTTGACTTTTTACCTTCAGATTCAAAATGCCTTGAGCGATTTTGTTCAATTTTCCATAGAGTGTTTGCGATATTCTTAAGCATATTTCTAAAAAATCTGTTTGAGTTCAACTTTTCCAGGACCTAGAGCGACTCCTATATTTTTAAAAGAAAAAAGTGGTACGTCTCTGGGTTTTTTGATAAGTAAAAATTATTTTTTGATTCCTTTTAATTCAAAATAAACGATGTAACGAACTTTTCTTGTTCGATGCGACGTTCAGGAGATAAAAAATAAAAATCAATGTAGGTACCTACCTTGTTTGGAAAATCTCGTTGTTCTGTTAAAAAAATAAGAGTCGCTCTAGGTCCGGTTCTCGAAGAGTGGAACTCAAACGGATTTTTTGGAAAGATGCCTGAGAACATCGCAAGCACTCTCTGAAAATTTGAACAAAATCGCTTAAGGTATTTTAAAGTGCGTTTTTTTTTAAAGAAAATTCCCCAAGTCAAAAATTTAGTAAAATTTGTTGGCAACACAAGCCTCTTCTACATAAAAAATTTGAAAGCATTCACAATTTTACATTGTATTGCCAACATAATGTCATTTTGACTTTTATCTTAAAAGAAGAACAGACTTTATGCAAAAAGTGAATGTCCTATTGTACTCTATCATAAAAAAATGCGCACATATTTCAGACTTACCCTGTATATGACTTCATAGTTGGAAAGAGTCGAATTTTCTGATTCATTTCAATTAAGCCGTTTTGGAAATATCGGGGTCTAAACTTTAAGAAAATAATACATTGAAACACATCAGCTCTGTTTCAACCGACATGAGACCCGTTCTAGAATGGTAATTTCCAGTTGCCCGCCTATTTTTCAATAAGTTAAACGTTTATTCTAAATGACAAATGAATTGATCAACTGGAAATTACCATTCTCATGTTGGTAGGAACAGAGCTGTGTTTCAATGTATTATTTTCTTGAAGTTTAGAGCCCGATATTCTCAAAACCGCTTAATTGAAACTAGTTAAACAATGTATATTTCAAATCAGAAAATTTTACTCCTTCCAACTATGAAGTCATATACAGGGTGCTCCATAAGAAAAAACTGACCATCTGTCAAACTTTGACATTTCTAAAAAAACAAAGTTTTTGATATCGGATTCAAAAATTTCAGGTAAAACCCCAACACTTTTGTATTTACAACTTTTTGATATGTCTTCACATAACCCCTGTAGTAGGAGGGTCAATATATGGGGAAAGACCCTGTGCAGGATGTTCAGAAATAAATTCAAATAATGTTCAACTGTTGTATTGATATTATGTGTCAGTTACAATGAAATTTCAAAAACGTTATCTCTTTACAGAGTGTCATTAAGAAGTTACAGGCTTTTGGGGTTTTCAACTTTTTTGTACCATCTTGTACAGGTTGAAACCCATAGAAAATCTACTGGAAATCCCTTGAAGCATTTTTAAAAATTCATCAAGGGACATTAATGTTGAAGATGCAACAATTCACTATCAATTTTTTAATGTTTGAGCTATCAGACCAAACTTTTTTCTAAATTGTAGTTCATCAGAAGTTTCTAGTTTGTGGCTCAGTATTTTGAATAATACAAAAGCTGTTAAATTGGATTTAATGCAATTTTTCATAGCTTTAAGGTTATTGAAAGTAAAGAATCAACAGGCTGCTGATAAATAAAAATTGTGTTATGCTTTTTGACAAGAAAAATTACGAAACAAATGCCAGATTTTCGCGACGAATGTAGTTTATCAATAGTTCGTCTTGTGACGTCATGAGTTTGAATGCTGGCCAGAAGCTGCGTTCATGTTTCTGGCGAACTACGTTCAATATGACGTCATGAGTTTCTCACGAAAGCATGGAAGTAGTTCGTCGCGAAAATTTAATTAAATTGTATTTGTGAATAATGGCTGAATTTTACAAAATTTTCTATTGATAAAGAACCCTGCCCAAAGTATATGGAAATTGTGTTTATGTCAGAATTGGCTGAATTTTGTATATAATGTAGATCACGCTTTTGTGATTAAGAGTTACCATTGCACCAATCCTGAAAAATGACTCCACGTAGCACATCACTGCGCCACAAGCTTACCTATTCGTACTACATAGAACGTCCATTATAATTTTTTCAGAAAGGAGTAATTTTTCCGTATTGGTACAATGGTAACTTTCAATCAGAAAGGCGTGATCTATATTACATACAAAATTCAGCCAATTCTTACATAAATACAATTTCCGTATACTTTGGGCAGGATCCTTTGGAAATTCAAGAGAGTTGAACTAACTTTGTATATTAATTTTATTTGGAAATTCAACCCTATTATGAAGATCTTTAATGTTAAATATTTTAAGTATGTAATATGAGTTAACTTATTTTTAGTTAGTTTGTAAATTGTCATGGATAAGAATGCATTATACAGATTTTGCCTGTGCTCAACAAAAATTGATTAAACAATGATAGCACCCTTTGGTCAACAAGACAAAACAAAATTGTGTAGGACCTTAATGGTGGGAATTTTGATTCTTTTTATTGGAATTTGTACAATTTTCAAACAACTTATTAGATATTCTTCTTTATCAAAATTAAGTTATTCAGGCCTATGATGTATCCTCTCCTGTTAGTTGTGTTATCCCTCAAAATCTATACCTGTCTCTATTTTTACGTATAGAATAAACAGTGACAGATAACTTAACATTGCTGTTGAAATAACAGAAAATGATACATCATAGGCCTGATTGTATCAGAGACATGCCTTATTCTCTTTTGTAAAAATTCGAATTTTCTTATACAAAAAAATTGTAAATGTTTTCATACACTAAAAAATTTGTATGATCTTCAATCAATTATTAACGTCTGATCTCACAGAAATTACAGAGGGAATTTCATTGGTTGAAAATAGTCAGAAAACTGTTTGTTTGCGATTTGCACCAATCAAAAACCCTCTGGGTCCTTATTCTTGAAATAGGAGAGCAACGTTTCCAGGAGAACGAGGGTTCCGTTTTTCTCAATGATATGCAAATGATAACAAAGACGGAACATTCGTTCTCTTGGGAACACCGCTCCCCTGTTTCAAGAATACGGACTCTTAACTGGTTCGTGATGTCTGCGAGAACAGACCTTTAATGTATCTTGATATGTCTTAAATTTTATGAGCATGGATTGTATAACAATTTTAGGGTGGTATTTTTATCTGGGACACTATATTCTAACGGACAAACCATGAAAACGCAATATTTTCAAATTGGAACAATCTAGAATTAAGAAAATGGTACCTTATTCCAATGTGAACATTTTCACTTCAAAATATGATGACGCATCCTTTATGCATATGAAACTGTTTAAAAACTTCCATATTGTTCAGTCCTATACCAAAAAAAAAAGACTATTTTCCATAAAATTGTAACATTTATAATTTGAGGCCTGAGCTTTTCTATATTTCTTCAAAATATCCTCCTTTTACAAATATTCAAATGGTCCAATGATTATTAGACCTGAATCGTGAGTCTATTATGTCTCTGACATAAATTTCTCTCTGTCAAAAATGTTGATTTGTTACAATTCTGCTCAAAACCTCAAGAATGATTTGCCATCAATTGCTTCAGCATTTTAATATGTTTTGCTCCAACAAAGCTTTGAAAACTGTTCCTTAAAATCTCATAACTCTGACTTGCATAGTTTTTTTGTTGATGGATAAGATGTGCAATTTTGCCTTACGACAAAAATTTACATTTCTCAAGAACTTTTAACTCTGTTCTTCAAATCCCTTCCAATTTTCACTATCTTTTGCTCAAAAGTTTTGGAAATAGCTCCTCAAAATTTTATTTTCCCGTCTGGCGATTTTGCATTCTAAATTTAGATAATTGAAATTTTGCTCCATACTTCTAAATTTTCGTTTGTGTCTCTTCTTAGACCTTCAGGATATATGTTGAGCTTAAATTATGCAATTTTTTACATCAAGTATCAAATATTTGCCAATCTGTAATAATCATCTTCAAAGATTGTTTCCTAATAATTGTTTTTGCTTTGGTATTTTATAATAATTCTACGAGTAATTCTAGTAAAACCCATTATGTCTGATTCTCCACTTTATTTCTTCACATTAGCTGAACAGGAGACTTTCAAGGCTTGGCCTTATCTACCTAAGTTCCTACTACTTTTCCTCTATTTCTTTATCAATATTATTTTTTACTTGCATGCTGAAAAAACTAGTCTTTATAAAAACGCGTAATTAACTATATTTTTAATGATTTTAATCAGTTGTTACATTTTTGGTTATACATAGAATAATTTAATTGTAAGATTTATCTTTAGTCATAACTCCATAACAATTTTCCAAACAGAAACTGGTAGCTTTTGTGTCCAAAACAACTTATTTAGACAATGAATATGGCCAAAACATCCTCAGGAATCTTTCGTCAAGCCAATAAAAATAAAACAAACAATAATTTCCAGACCGAACCAGTCCTACAACAATTGCAATCGCTACAACGCCTGCTCACAAAAGGCACAGAGCCTAGAGCAGAACAAGTACATTTCGATAAGAAACTCCTCGACTTTGACTATGGAGAAGACGAAGACGAAGTACATCCCAGCCCTAGACCACCTCAACAATCTGCTTCGGCTGATCCATTGGCTAGGTGAAAAAATAATCAATAATTTAAAAAATTATTTTCAATATTTTTTTTTGTAGTCTTTTGACCAACCCTGAAGTTTTAAGACAACTTCAAACGTTACAAAACACTTTGGCCGGAGCAGTGCCTACTAGTGCCGAATCCGAAATGGACAGGACAAGAAAATTGCAAGAAATGAAACTACAAGAGGACGAATTCGATAAACATTTAGCAGTAACAGTTCCAGTAAGTCTTTAGATTTCAAATCAAACACAAATTTAAAATTATGAATTAATTCTAGAATTTACCGTTTGCCTCTGAATGCGACTTCAAAATTGCCAGCCAACCAACAATGATTGGCGGTCTACAGTTTATTCCTCCCCCGGATAGTTTGAATCCTGTTTTCGAAATGCCACACGACAACAACGTTTTCAAAAGTGGAAACAATGAGGTAGAGGTTATTAATTTGGACCACGACGATTCACAATCTGAAGATGACGATAGATATAGCAAACGCAAAAGGAGTCGTTCCAGGTCTAGGGATAGAGGTAGGGACAATAGACGGAGAAGATCAAGATCCAGATCGAGAACGCGACGTCATAGATCGAAATCTAAAGAAAGGAAGGATAAAGATAAAAGAGAAAAGGATACTGAAAGGGACAAGGAAAGGAAAAAGAGAGGTTTGCCCGTGATGAAAAAAGATCATTTAAGTGGTGGGTACTTATTTGAACTTATTTAGTTCAAGCAATAATTTTTTTTTTAGTTTGTAGTACAACTTTATGGGTTGGTCATTTGTCCAAATTAGTCCACCAAGACGATGTATCAAATACTTTCGGTGAATTTGGCGAGATCGTCAGCATCGACCTGATTATCCCGCGAGGTTGTGCTTTTATAGTTATGCATAGGCGCCAAGACGCAGCGCGGTGTCTTACGAAACTAAAAAATCATAACCTTCACGGGAAAGCTATAACAGTAAGTATAACAAAACTAAAAATATTAATATACGGATAATAATAATATGTATTTTAGCTTGCTTGGGCACCAGGAAAAGGTGTCAAAGGCAAAGACCTTAAAGATTATTGGGAAGGTGATTTGGGTGTCTCTTACATACCGTACAGTAAATTAAAAGAAGATATGGATTTGGAGGCTTTAGAAGATGGAGGTATGATTGACGAAGAATCTATGCCTGATTGGATGAAGAAAAAAATAAACGCCTCCATGCAAATATTGGAACCGCCTCCTTTTATGATGGCACGTGAGTAAACTGCCAATGTTTGTAATCTCTAGATTTTATGCATCATTTTTTTAGTTGGAGAAGCTTCAAATCAATCCACAATCGACACAAGCCAACCCCCGCCAATGTCGCAACCTTCAACCTTAATGCAGCCACCGCCAATGTTGCCAATGTTCCAACTCAACAACAGATTCCTCGGTATGATACCCAACATGCCCAATTTAGGCAATCTTTCTTTAGGAGGGCCTCCGCCCACTATGGCACCACCAAATATGCTAGGATTAGGACTCAGTTCACCTTTTCAAGGTAAAATCAAATTTACCAATGCCACATTTTTTTTTATAAATCAATTTAGCTCCTCCTGGATTTATGCCAGCTTTACCTCCACCGCATCACGAAGCCGCCAAACCCAATCCGCCTCCGATCGCGGACGCGAAATTGCGCCATTTAAGCGAGTCCTTGATGAATTTGGCCGGACAGCCTTTGACGATGCCTCCGCAAGCGCTCATGAGTCAACCTCCGCCTCCTCTCATGGAAGACAGTATGGACGTGGAAATGGAGGATGCGCATATGGATTTGAACAAACCGCCGCCGAGCATGCCTTTGAGCGAACAATTGCAAGCCTCAATGTCTTTTAACAGAGATAGTAGGAGGGATGAGCCAAGGTTTTCGCCTCCAAGGAGGGATAGAAGGGATAGGAGTAACGATAGAGGACGGAGGAGAAGTAGGAGTAGAGATAGGGACCAAAATAGGTAAGAAAAAATTTACAAAATATTTGATTTATTTTGTTAATGATTATATAGGGATCGTGATAGAAACAGAAGCGGCGGCAGAGATAGAGATCGTCGCGATCGTGATTTTGGACGTGGAGGACGTGATAGAGATAGTAGAGACAGGCGCGGTGGAGACAGAGACCGCAATAATAGGTACCAAACCCATTAAAATGTTTAAACATTTTAAAATCTAACTTAATTTCCAGATGGGGATCTAGAGATGAACGCGACAGAAGAGATGGTGGCTATGACAGATTCTCTTCGGATCGTAGCAGAAGGGACGATTCTTATGACCGTGGAAGTAGAAGAGATGCGGATCCGAGAGAGAAAGGTGAGCGAGAGAAATCACTCAATGACAAGCTGAAAGAAATGGCCGGTGAGTTTTTATACTTTTTTTCCATTTACATTTTATGCTGGACTTGTTTTCAAACTATTTTAATTTTTAGGAATGAAATTTGAGGGAGCCAATGATAAATCTCCTAGAGGTAGACAGGCATTGGATAGTAAAGATGATGCTCCCAAAGAAATGCTGTCTTTTGAGCCACCCAGTAAGTGGATAATTTTTAGCTTATAAAATTAAAAATTATCGACCAATTAGCTTAGTGTCTGCAGTTTCAAAGATTGAAGTGATAATGATAATAATTTTCGAGGTATTGTTCATCAGCATGGCTTCTTTCCCAAGAGGTCAACTTTAACTAATCTGATCACTTTTTCTCAATACGTTCATGAAGCAATAAACAATAAATCTCAAGTTGATGTGGTACTTTATAGATATGGAAAAAAGCCTTTGGCATTGTGTCATTCTCAAGGCTTTGTCGGACATGGATGTGTCCTCGTATGTTTTAAAGCTGATTCAATCAAGTGGAGCATGTGTGAACCGTTTTTTTCACCCACGATCAGTGAAACTACCTTCAACCTAGACAGCGAAACTGTTCGTTTTGACTCTCTTCTTTTGAATATTCAAGGCTTTAGACAAGAGAAAATTGACTACCTCAATTCATACTATGAACATTATCAACTGAATTTTCTGTTCTTGACTGAGACTTGGGCGAAGTCTCACACTAGCGCTGAAAACATGATTATCCCAGGGTACCATTTGAAAACTGAGTTCTCACGGAAGAATTTTGAAAGGGGAGGAGTTGCAATTTTTGCGAGATACGACATACGATGCAATGTCATAGACGTGAAGCGGTTTTGTTTGGAAAAACACATTGAAGTGTGTGCAGTGCGATGGCAATGCAATCCTAAAAGCAACGTTTTAATAATTTTGTGTTATCGCTCTCCAAATGGGGATTTTGAAGTTTTTCGTGATAAATTAGAAACGTTACTAAGTAAATATTATAAACCAAGCTGCCGTATTCTAGTTTTAGGTGACTTTAACTGCCATTCACTGAACAAATCGGACCAGGAGTGTTTTTTTAATTTAATGTTAAATTTTAATCTTAGGAACATAATTAATGTCCCAACACGTATCTGTAAAACAAGTCAAACGACATTAGATTTGATTTTTGTAAATTTGCCATTGTGCTTGGAGGCCAATGTGGAAAATTTTCCTTTTTCTGACCATGACGCCGTCCTATTCAACACGGGGGTTTTAAATGAAAAGCCAAAGCCTCAAAAAATTTACGCAAGATCTTACAATCAGGACAATATTAACTCTTTTAAATCGGTTCTTAGAAATGAGGATTGGTCTCAACTATATGACAATAGCTTGGATAAAAAGTTTGAATACTTTCACTCTACTGTTCTTGGGCATTTCAATGATATCTTTCCTGCAAAACCTAAATATCAAAAGCAGAACAATAATGCTTGGGTAAACTACGACGTAAGGGCCTCCAGCAGAAACCTTAAAGAACTACACAAGCGTAGAAGGGAGCTTCCGGAACTGGGCGACCTGTACAGAGCTGAAAAACTAAAACATAAAATCCTGGTTTCAGGCGTAAAACAACAATACTATCAAAATAAAATACATAATTCTAATAATGATTCAAAAGTGCTGTGGTCTGTAGTAACGGAGGTCACTAAGGGTAAAAATCCATCATATTCAGGTCCATCGGAGCTAAAAAACTCTACAGGTACTGTCCTTGAACAACCTTTGCAGATAGCTAATCATTTTAATACTTTTTTTGTGGAGGCTCCTCAGTTGTTGGTTCGCAATCTGCCCGTGGCAGGTCCTTTGCTGGCAGATGAGAATACTCTACCGACTGAAATGACCTTCACTTCCTTTAGCGAGCAGGAAATTCTTCAAATTTTAACATCAAAAATAAAAAATAAAAAATCATCAGGGCCGGATGAAATCCCAACCCATATATTTAAGCAAGTAATGACTGATTCATGTTTGCGACCATTAACATATCTTGTGAATCATTCTCTTCAAACGGGAGTTTTCCCGTGTTGTTTAAAAACTTCAAAAATAAATCCAATATTTAAGAAGGGGGACCCAAGTTTGGCGGAAAACTACCGCCCAATAGCACTTACCTCCTGCTTCTCTAAAATGTTTGAGTATGCTGTGTTAGATAGGCTTCTTGATTTTCTGACTAGAAATAGCGTGCTTTCTCCTGCACAGCATGGGTTTTTGGCGGGAAGGTCTACCACCACGGCCATTCTTTCGTTTTTATCGGAGATCGTGGAGGGGCTGGAAGCGGGAGAGTGTCCTGTTGGGATTTTCTGTGATCTCAGCAGGGCGTTCGACTGTGTAGATCATGACCTCCTGCTTCAGAGGATGAAATCTTGTGGTCTTGGGGGGTGATGCTTGAATGGTTCAGTTCATTTTTGCGAAACCGACAACAATTTGTACAGATTCGGGATGGGTCAGGGAGGGCTCAGCGTTCAGATTTTCGAAAGGTCGAATTGGGGGTGCCCCAGGGATCTATTCTCGGACCTGTGCTTTTCGTGATTTTTGTTAATCCTCTTCTACTTGACACTGTATACAGCAGCATTACTGCATTTGCGGACGATAATTCAGGTATAGTTAAACTTAACCAGGAACTTTCTATTGGGTCTGCGGCTGATAAAGCCTTACAAGAATTAGCTGGCTGGTTTAGTATTAATAAAATGGTACTAAATCTCCAGAAAACCCATCATATGGTATTTCATACAATTCAGGCAAAAGAGAATCTGCAAGTTAGGCTGGAGTATGATGGAAAGGAATTAAAACAGGAAAATTCTGTCAAGTTTTTGGGTCTTGTGCTTGACGATGTCCTTTCATGGGAAGAGCATTGTACTGCACTTTGTATAAAGTTAAGTAGTTGCTGCTATGCTATTAAAAATCTCAAACAAATTTTGACAGAAAATCAGATTATAGGGGCCTACCATGCTCTTGTTCAATCACGGCTGATGTATGGCGCTCAGTTCTGGGGTACCTCGTCTCATGCCCAAAAGGTATTTTTGTATCAGAAGCGAGTAATACGTTGTCTAGCGGGGATTCCCCAAACAGCGTCTTGCAGGCCATATTTTCTCAGGTATAAAATATTAACCTTACCCTCGATAGTGATTTATCAATGCTGCATATACGTGTACAAAAATCAGGATTTTATTCCTAGAAACAATCACTTTCACAGCTACAACACTAGAAATGAGAACAACTTCATGCTGGCTAAAAATAGACTTAACAAATCCAAGCTCTTTGTCACTAACTTGGGACCAAAACTTTTTAATAGGCTTCCATTTAATCTAAAAATGGCTCAAAACATAAATATTTTTAAAAAAAATCTAAAGTCGTTTTTAATGGCTAACTGCTTTTACAGTATAGACACTTTTTTGAACAGTGTTTTTTGAATATGTCTGTGAGTGTTTTATTGCTTTGTTTTTTACCTTTTACTTCTGTCTATTTTTAACCGACATTTTTAACTTATATTTTTTTATTGTATTTTTTAGTGTTTAGTATTGGCAATATTTGAGTTTTATATTGATTTTATTCTCGACGATGTCCATACACTATGTGTCATTTGGAAAAATAAAGATATTGTATTGTATTGTATTGTAATCATACCTGACCCAGGCATCAGTATGTTGAAGTTAAAGGATGTAAATCGGTAATCTACAAAAGCACGTCTGGTGTTCCACAGGGCTCAAACTTGGGACTACTACTTTTCGTGGCAGCAATAAATAATAATATAGTGAATAGTGTGGAGATGGCTAGATCCTTACTTTTAGCGGATGATTTCAAGTGTTGTTTTTCAAATAGACTCTACTGATGACTGCGAAACTCTCCAAAATAATTTCTGTTATGTGGCCTCTTGGTGCAATACAAAAATTAAATATTGCTAAATGTTCTTGTATGTTTTCGATTGTGCTGGCATCGCCGTACGATTTTTTGTTTATATTCGCTAAGGAATGTCTATCAAATTGTATTTTTTAGAGTCTTTTTAAAATAATAAAGGAACGTTACAAGACATGTAACGTATACAGTGACTGTGTGCTCAAGGGCGAAGTTTTTTTTAATATAATTTCTTTCAAAAGTAGGCCATCAGCTTCAGATAATTGGTCATGGAGTGTGTAAGGATAATCAAAGGGAAATATTTTCCTGTGATGGTTGTGGAGTTGGACTGTGTAAAACTTGCGCCGGGCTCACATCCTCAGAAGTAAAGGTGCTTCAACTGAGAGAACGAGTAATGGTATTTCATTGTAAGAAATGCAAATGCTTTGAGACTTCTACGCTGCTTCAAAACACTATTGAAGACAAAACGATCATTATTGCTAGTAAAGATGAAATAATCTGCCTGTTGAAAAAGAAAATTGAAGAGTTGGAAAAGTGTTCAAATGCAGTGAATGGTGGAATTTCATACAGTGGTGCCGCTAACATGGCTGTTGTAGCTAATCCAAATATAGGTAACGTTCCGAGCCTAATAATTAAACCCAAACAAAAACAAAATCCAGAAAGGACTGAGAGTGATCTCAGAAAGAACATCAATCCATCCAAAATAAGAGTTGCAATAAAGGGAACTCGAAGCACTGCAAATGGAGAAGTAATTATCAAATGCCAGACCAGGGGAGACTTGGAGACTCTCAAGAAGGAAGCGGATGCCAAATTATTGGATTATGAAGCTGAAATCTCTAAATTAAGAAAGCCGCGTCTTAAAATTACAGGGTATAATGGAAAATTAACTGAAAAGGAACTGGAAACATGCCTCAGGGAACAGAATCAATTCATAGATCAGAAGGATGAACTACATGTAACATACATAAAGCGTAACAGAAAAAATAATTTGTGTTCCATATTTGTAGAATGTTCTCCAATACTGTACCATAAATTTATGGCTATAAAAAAATTGTATATCGGCTGGGAGAGATATCCAATTTATGAGGACATATCAATCACACGGTGCTTTAAATGTCAGGAGCATTATCATAAAGCTGAGAATTGTCAAAATAATCTCGTGTGTGAATATTGCTCAGAAGAACATAGTGTTGTTGACTGTCCAAAATCCCAAAAAAAGTGTGGTAGCTGCATCAGTGCGAATAGGAAATACAGGCTCAAGTATGACGCGGAACACTCTGCAAATGACCCTTCTTGCCCATCTCACGTATACTTGGTAAATGTATTGCGTGGAAGAATAGATTATGGTAATTCCAATGGCTCATAGTCAGGGAGAAGTTGAAATACTAGATGAACTTGAGCTACTTCATAGTGATATCAAGGAGGAAAACATAGACTGTGAGCTATTGAAAAACAAACTTAATTTGGAGAATAAACTTATCAATGTGCTACATTTGAACATTCGTAGCATCAATAAAAACTTTAATGAACTTTTAGCGTTCCTAGAAACTTACGAACTAGAATTTTGTGATGTTATAGTATTATCTGAGTCTTGGCAGGTCACTAACGATCAATTGTTTGATATTGATGGTTATACCATGATATATAATAAGGCAGACTTGAATAAATCTGATGGTACAGTTATCTACATTAAATCTAAGTTGAACTTCAAAGTGAATGTTTCAAAATTATTCTACTCTGGTGTTTCTATGAGCATTGTAGATCTCGTTGTTCATAATGTATCTATTTCCGTTTATTGTATATATAGGCCCCCATCCTCGAGTGTGCCATGCTTTATCAGGGATGTAGAGGGTTTTTTTTTCTGATCGTCAAAAAAATCAAATTGAGATATTTGTAGGCGATATAATTATTAATATAGGTGCTGAAAATGACAATGATGTCAACAGTTATATCTCAATGATGAACCACTTTGGTTTTTCATCTGCCATTAATAGTCCTACACGAGTAACATCGGAAACCAGCTCAGTTCTTGACCATATCTTTATTAGAAAAAATCTTGGAGCAAACCTAGAGTATTCTTCTTTTTTATTAAGATCGTCTATTACAGACCATTACCCAATCATGTAAAACATTGATATCTTGCATATAGATACTTCATCTGACTGTATCCCCAAAAGAGAGAGTCTGAACACCACAGATGCGATTTGCAAACTTTCGGAACAAATATCTAGCTGTCTTGACAATGGTGACAAGTGCTTGGCTGTCTTTTTGGATCTGGCGAAGGCGTTCGACACGGTACCTCATGAATCTCTTCTTGAGGTATTGCAATCTTATGGAGTGAGGGGTGTCGTGTTGTACGTTTTTGATAGCTACCTCAGAAACAGATCTCAGATTGTTAAAATAGGGAATATAAATAGTGACCCACTCACAATAGAAATTGGTGTACCCCAAGGTACTGTATTAGGTCCCATTCTTTTTATAACATACATTAATTCATTAACTGACATCAAGATAAATAGTGGGTCAGTGATTTCCTACGCTCACGGTACAGTGTTGGTTTTCTCAGGAAAGTCTTGGCCATCAGTTAAGAATTATGCTGTAGAGGGACTAAATAAGGTCAAGGACTGGTTGGACACTTTCAAGTTAACCTTGAATATCAGCAAAACTAAATACATTGCATCCTCAATTACAGCTGCAAATCGGCCTGACTTTCAGGATATTAATATTGATAAGCTAAATGAGCGAATCAGTGGTGTAGCCTGCATTAAGTATTTGGGAGTAACATTTGATAAACACTTGAAATGGGATCAACATGTCAATAACTTAACAAAAAATGTTCATAAACTAATTTATAAATTTTACAATATAAGAGAAATATTGTGCCAAAGGCTTTTGATCTACAAGGCCTTTGCTGAGTCACTGATAAGGTATGGCATTGTGGCATGGGGTGGTCTGTACCAGAACTCACTAAAACCACTTAATGTGGTTCAAAATTATATTTTAAAAATTATTTTTAAACAAAACAGACGTTTCCCCACGAACCTCCTTTACTCTGAGGAAATTCTTGATGTGCGTTCTCTATATTGCTTGACAACGTGTTGCTTTATTCACAAAATTAAGTACAAATCATATGTTAATCATACTTATAGAACTAGAATCAACTTAGATAGGCACCTGTTAATGCCTGTGAACAACACATCTAAAAATATGAGATCATATACTTACCTCGCTCCCAAACTATACAACATGTTGCCTCTACAAGTTAGGACTCTGTCAAGACAAAGATTCAATATTGAGTGTAGAAAATTTATTTTTGATAATCTGCACAGTTTCAGGGCCCTATTTTTGATGTGAAAATTTGGCTTCTTTTCTTTTCTTCACCTTATGCTTGAGCCGTAGTGCGTGGTCACTTCCTTTCGAACTTCCTTTTGATTTGTATTTTTTTTTTCTTTAAATTATTTTTATTTTTTTATTTGTGAAGTTTCTTGGGTAATTATTGAGGTGTTATTGTATTGATTGATCTTTTTGGTTCATATACTGGGGTTGTTATTGACTTAATGTTGCGGATTAGGCAATATTATTATTATTACTATGTTTCAAATCAAATCAAATCAAATCAGTGCGCAGAAAATATCTGGTTTCATAACAAGAAACCAAAAATTTGAATTCTAATATAAGTTTGCACCTTTTCGATACCCTTGTTTTTCCAATTTTGGAGTATGGATGCATTATCTGGTCACTGCAATATGACTTATAGACAATATATGTCGAAAGGGTGCAAAGGAAATTTCTGAAGTTCGGTTATTATCGGGCATTGGAGTCTATCTTCTTTGGGGGTATGATGGTGAATACCTCCTTGCTATCTTAATCCTACTTTGTACAGTGTTTAGGTTGCTTAAGGGTGATATTGACAGTCCTAATATTTTAACACAATTGCCATTTGCAGTGAGCCGTGTTAATTCACGTAACTCTAATGTATTTTACTTAATGCGTCCTCGGGCAAATCTCTACAAAAATCCGACGATTAAAACAGACTGTGTCCAGTGTCTAGGTCTAGGTGTTGTGAATATGTTTATATTTTTTAATTAAGCTGGTATCTGTAATTGACAAACTGCTGCTAATAATACTTATTGAATAAATAAATAAATAAATAATAATATATTTTCAGAATTGGACGAACCTTTCAGAACGCCCTCTGAGATAGCACGAAATCCTAGCCCCCCGACAGAGTTCATGAACCCAGAAAATCCCAATGACCCATCGAGAAAAGAAAATCATCCTACCGAGATGTCAATGGAAAACGACAGAAATCGGTACACCAACAATCCTCCTCCAGTTGATGAAACTCCTCCAGAATTAATGTCACAATTCAATGAAGAATTCGGATTCAACGATCCAAGACAATTCAACGAAGGGCCATTTTTTGAAGGGCCTTTCGGACCAGAGCGGTTCGACGGACCAGGGCCGAGATTTAGAGACCGAGGACCGCCTTTTGAAGACGAAGGTTTCGGTCCGTTTCCGGATATGAGGGATTACGGACCTGATTTCGGCTTTGACGGACCTCCAGATAGGTTTATGAGGGGCGGTAGAGGGCGTGGCCGAGGACGAGGTAATCAACATTGAAATTTTTGCATAACTCATCAATGCAAACAAGATTGTAAAGGGCCCCACCCACACATTACGTTTTTTCTCATCGATTATCGTCGCGATAAAACACGACGATTTAAAACCGAAGTGTTTGGTAGAAAACCGTCGTGTTTCATCGTCGGTTTAATTCAGCCTGAGCTTGATTTTTTTAGGTCGAGGTAGAGGTAGAGAAGGTCCAGGTTTCTTCCCAAATGACGGACCACCGATGATGGATGAGGGATTCGGCCCTCCAATGAATGACTTTGTACCTCCAATGAGTGACTTTGGACCTCCAATGAGAGATGAGTTTGGCCCTCCAATGAGAGACGAGTTCGGCCCACCGATGAGAGGCGATGGCAGGGGCATGCGTATGCGAGGCAGAGGATTTTTCCCTAGGGGTGGACCTAGAGGCAGAGGAGGTAATTTTCATAGTAATAAATTCATTTTCTTTTAACAACATATCTCTTTTCAAAAGGTCCACCATTTAGAGATGGTCCTCCAGATTTCTTCGACGGACCGCCAGATTTCTTCAGAGGCGGTCCTAGAGGTAGACCGTTTGGTGATTTCGGTAGGGGTAGAGGACGTGGTTTCCGCGGTGGACGTGGTAGACCAGACTTTTTCGATGGCCCACCGGAGTTCTTTGACGGCCCACCGGAATTCTTTGACGGTCCTCCAGGCGCTTTTGAAGAAGGTCCGCCACCGTTCGAGGGACCTCCGTTCGATGAAGGTCCACCAGGCGAAGTGGTTGAGGCACGTAGAGGTCGCGGAGCTAGAAACAGGAACAGAACGTCTAGGTGGGGAGGCGATGAGGCTGTCGAGGCTCCCGCTGATGGTGATGGTGATGGTGGAGCAACTCCATTGAGAGATGAAATAGACGATCAACCTGCTGAATCGCGAAAATCACCGCCAGTGATAGATTTAGAACCCCAACAAGACGCTTGTCCTCCTCAACAGTCAGAATCACAACTTGAAGATTTTACTCCTCAGACAAACTTTGTTGCTCATCAAGAAGAAAATGTTGTTCCTCAGGAAAACGTGGCTGAAGATTTCGCTGCACAACAAGGTGAAGAACAGGTTGCAGCTCCTCAAGAGGACTCGGCTCAGCAAGATGCGACAGAATAAGTAGTCAGTTAGCAAGCTGAATAAAAGAAAATTCAAAAATTTCTAGACGTAGGTTAAAAAGTTATATGAAAAAATTGTACTTTTTTTAAATTGTTATTTGTGTTTTAATAATTGCATAGAAAATTGACTATTTAGTTGAATTATATTTATGTGAATTGATTAGTCATAGCTGGCATGTGTAATTGAAATTAAGGCCAGAGTATCAATTTATAAAAGCTATAGATATTTGTTTGTCTTTTTTTTTGAAATTAATTGCTAGATTATTTGGCAACACAGTATTTCTTAATTGTATAATTTCTGCTCAAATGTCATTGAAACTTTCATTTATTGTCGTGAATTATATGTGTTGCCACTAATTATAATTATTGATACATGGTCGAATGGAATTTATTTTGAAAAAAAAAAATTGCCTATTTGATATTCTCTTTTTCACTTTGTACATACTTTATATGTGGTGCATAATTCTGGAATCAGCTAAATATAATATTTATTTACTAAGTAGGTGAGTTAGTTTACATATAAATCACGCCAATGTAATAACTCACATGCTTAATACATCGTTTTATTCAACACTTTCATATAATCGCGTGTTTGATGAAATAAATAGTGAATTATAGCCCCTATGACTCACTAGTGAGTTGTAGGCAACAATATTCATGCACAATTATAGTCTCATATGTCAGTGTTGGATAAAATAATTAGTAATTGATTGTTTTTAGAAAAATGAATAAATTATTTATTAGAAATAAGACAAAGAGTTTTTTTTTAAAACTTTTCTCTTTAAGGCGCTTTTTCAGGAGACGATATTAGCCAACAAGATTCAGAAGAAATTCGAAATCAAAACTACAGATATTATTGACATAAGATCCCTGTAGAGTCCAATTTATATTGAAACGTCTGAACAAAAAGTGATTTAATTTAAATTTTCATCTATTAGCTTTATAGTTTGTTGTTGTCGGCCTCTATGCTCCAAGTAAAGACATAGGACAAAGTGAAAAAGATGAGTTCTATGAAATAGTAGACAACACCCTTACAACACTCGGAAATCAGAGGGAATAGATATTGCTAGGGGATCTAAATGTAGGAAGATCTCGGGAAAGTGACATAGTTGGAAGGTATTGAGAAGAAACTCAAAATAATAATGGTCTTAAACTTATACAGCTATGAGAATAATACAGACCCAAAATCTTAAATGGTTTTTTCAACCATAAAGACATTCATATATATGATACATGTGGCATCAAGATACGAGAGGTCTCAAAAGTATTATAGATTATAAAATTATAAAACAAGAAACGAATTGGTGAATCAAAGGTACAAGAGTCTATAAAGGGATCAAATAAGGCTCCGACCGCTACCTGCTTGAAACAAAATTAATAGAGACACACAAGATAATAATACCTTCGACCATACCGACAAAATAGATCAGAGCAGATATAAAATAAAAGGATTACAATACTCAAGCATCAGAACTCTTTACCAGAATCGTATAGATCAAAAACTAACTGACAACCGAAACATCCGAACTATATGAACATGTTACCCAATCCATTCATAAAGCAGCAGCGGAAGCTTTAGAGTAGGAGGATACCAATATCCGAAAAAACCATCATCTGCCATGGAGTGCCAAATTAGTGTAATGACCCGGACAAAATGGACCCCTAATTTACAAGATTTTAACAGTAAAAATTAAATAGGTACCTATATAATCTAATAATCAAAAATTGAATCTCCAATATTTTAAATCAGTATCAATAAAACTGTAAAATAATGAGACAAATTAGCCTTGACCCCAAGTTAATTAAAATATTAATATAAAGATATTTATCCCATTTTGACGTTTAAAAATGACATTATTGAACGCATAACAATAAAGGTAAGTAGACGTTTATCACCTCGGTGATTTAATAGTTATTTATACACCAAGTGAGTTAAATGAATGTTTATTCATGAGAAGAAAGTTTAACCCACGAGCCCTAGCGAGTGGGTTAATTTTCTTCGAATGAATAAACATTTTAACTCACGCGATGTATACAAAATTTTATCCCATTTTGTGGAAATTTAAAAGATAAAGTACAAGGAAAAATGCCGGGAGTGAGTTAAAAATATTTTAAATCACTGAGGTTTCAAATTTTTTGTTGGGGAGAGTGACTTAAAATGCCGAGAGTGAGTTAAAATGTTTTTAAATCACTGAGGTGATAAACGTCTACTTACCTTTATTGTTATGCGTTCAATAATGTCATTTTTAAACGTCAAAATGGGATAAAAGCATTTTAACTCACTCTCGGCATTTTAAGTCACTCTGCCTAACTGAAAATCTGAAACCTCAGTGATTTAAAATATTTTTAACTCACTCCCGGCATTTTTCCTTGTACTTTATTTTTTAAATTTCCACAAAATGGCATAAAATTTTGTATACATCACGTGAGTTAAAATGTTTATTCATTCGAAGAATAACCCACTCGCTAGGGCTCGTGGGTTAATGAATAAACAGTCATTTAACTCACTTGGTGTATAAATAACTATTACATTAAAATATTTATATAAATATTTACGTTCAAATTTTAAAAAAGCCGGTGACCAATCGCCTCATCACTTCAACTCATAAATCAAACCAGCAAAAGATTAAAATCGAGGCAAAAGTAATAAAATTGGTGATTTACGGCCGACACGAGTTATCGACATCCTTTGATTTATTGATTTATATTATGTCCTCTACATTCTTTTCCATTTCGCTGACCCTTACTCGACGACACTATCTCTGATGAGCAAGTTATATTTTTTGGAATAATATCTAGGTCGACCAATAGAATTCAATTACAGATGGTTAAACGACCGCCCATATAGTCGATTGTAGTGGGTAAATAATAGTATGAAAGGGGTGATCATTCAAGAAGAGAGAGCAATCAATTATCGAGAATAAGACTCAATAATTAGTATCTTGTATTCAGAAGTGGCGAATTATCTCAAGTAAAAAAAAAAGTCGGGCCTAGGAAAAAGTAAAAATTACAGTAAATAACTCCAATTAAGAAAGAAGTAAACCTTTCAGTTTTTATGTGCGTACTCTAACTATTTTGAAGTGAATAATAATTAGAATTAAGTGACTTTAAGGGCGATAATTTAAATGTAAGTACTCTAGCGACAAGTTTTATTTTGACTTTATCAATGTTGAAATGACTATGAGTGAATTGACTATGAAACTTTATCGCATAAAGGAGTGAATTGACTTTGAATGGCTTCCTAAACTATTAATGAAATGGACACCTCACGAAAGAAAGAAAAGAGGAAGATGCCGAAGGGGTTGGAGGACTGGGAGCCAGAAGGCGTAGAACACTATAAACCGGAAAATAAAAAATAAAAAAAAACTATATAGTGTCAGTTGCAACAGAAAGGACTTGAAAGAAACATCTATTAGCATAGTTTAATTGAAATTTTAAATGTATTTACATAATCTTAAAAACTAGACCAATATATTTGATGATATAAAACAGCAATCAAACTTTACATTCATTTGATGTGTTGAAACATTAAAAATTAATTAATTAAAAGGAGCATAATAATACACTTATTTAATTATGCTATTTTTTCCATCTCTACCTTTTTTAGCAACAATTTGAATTTGATATGATAAAAAATCTTCGATTATTAATATAAAGATATTATAGGCATAAATACAACGTTATGTTTACTTAAAACTAGAAAGTAAGTCCAGCTGTTGTAGTAGTAATGAAGATTTTCTCGACGGAATTGATGTAAGCGGCAGACCTGATGTCCAGACCTAAGTTATACTGCTGAGCTGTCCTCATTATTGCCTAAAAATTGTTAGAAAAATTAGGCAAATATTTAAAAGAAAAATTGTAACGGTTCCCTTGTTGCTGAACCCCTTAAAATTTGCTCTCGTTTATTATAAAGGAAGGAAAATTTAATTACAATCCCTACGAAGTCGTTTAAGTCTACATTCTAAAATCTTAAATTGATTTTTCATTTAAAGTCTTGAATGTTGTAGAATTAGGCAAGTTTTGAAAATCTTAGGGTCTTTGAAGGTTTTTAATCAAAAACTTAAGACTCTCTGTTATTTTCAGAATTTTCAGTTTAAATAGTTAAATTAGAATCTTCAGAATCTTTATTCCGTTGTCATGTTTTCAGAATCTGAAAATTGATTGTAACAGAAATCATAATTATGAAAACAGTATCTATATTAAAATACAAGTTGCAGAAGGTCACATATTTCCGCATAGGACCGATTTTCCAAACTTCTTGACGCCACACTGACTGCGTATGAAATTTCTAGTCTTGATCCTGACATCAGGTAAACTGGTCCAACAGCTTCTCTATATGAAAAAACTTGATCGGCTGCTTCTGAAATAAAATTATCCTTAATAATTGGAGTTTTGACGGGTCTGCAATTGTTCATACCAAATTTTTTCAACAATTTCTTGGCATATGCATTTTGATTTATGATAACTGATCCATTCTTTGACCACATGATTTCCATACCCAAAAAATAAGATGCACGCTTTATCGTGACTTTTATTAAATTCTATCTGTAGTTGTAGGAAATATTTTCTCATTTCCTTATGGCTTGAGGCTCGTAAACTATCGTCCACATATAAAACTGAAATAAGAATTTCTGTTCCTTCCCTCATGACGAAGAGACATGGATCGGCATCGCTCTGTCTGAAACCAAAGCATAGCATGAAATCCGTTATTCTTCTGTTCCAAGAACTAGGAGCTTGCTTAAGCCCATATATAGGCTCTTCCTTAGATGACAAACCCTATCTGTAGGTACCATCATTGAAACCTTCTGGCTGTTTCATGTATACTTCTTCTTCTTATGGTGAGCTTCACCACATATAAGAAATGCTCTACATACATCAAACTGGCTTAGACTTAAATTTTTACTGGCAGATAGACTCAAAACAGACCGTATTGTAGCCAATCTAGCAACTGGGCTAAATGTCTCATCATAATCTTAATATTTCTTCTGTGAATAACCTTTTGCGACTAGTCTCGCTTTGAATTTATCTATAGAGCCATCTGAATTGTATTTTAACTTGTACACCCATTTATTTTGTATAGCCTTCTTACCAATGTCTAGCTTTCTTAAAGTCCAAAAGACAGTTCTTTTCCCATAGCCATTTTCCAGTAATTTGCTCTATTACTTGACATAGCTTCTCACTACGTAATTGGCTCATTTATTTCCATCATAGCGAAATCTTCAAACCTGACAGACTTTTGTATCTAATTTCTATCTCTCAGTTGTCGACTCGGTACATTTGGGACTTCTTCTGAAATGTCATTATCTGATGATTTTACTAAGATGTCAGAAAAACTGTGATTCATTCATCATTTTCTGCGTCGTCTTGTCCACTACTGTTTTCTTTAGTTTCTTGTTCTGGAGTACCTTGCCTGCTTCTGACAATCTTACAATTGTTTTGCTGAGAAGTTCCAACAGGGTCTTCCAACAATGGCAACGTTGAAGTTATGAGTTTTTCGTCGAATATCGCATCCCTCGATCTGACTAGTTTCTCAGATTCTTCACACCAAATCCGATATCCATCATCTTGGTCATATCCTATAAGTATGCCTTTCACTGCCTTTTTATCAATTTTCTTTCTTCCTGAATTTGGTCAATGGGCATAACAAGATGTTACAATAATTCTCATGTGTTTTAAAGAAGGCTTTTTCTCATACCTACCACAGTTCAAATGGAGATTTTCCTTTGATACTAGAATTACCAGTCCTATTCAAAATGTATGCCGATATATTTATTATTTCAGCCCAAAAAAGTTGTGAAAGATCTTCATTAGTATGTATGATGGATCGAGCAGTTTCAACGGTAGTATGATTATCTCGCTATGCACAACCGTTTTGCTCTGGTGTATAAGGCATTATGATTCTCCTGGTTTGATTCCACTTTCTTGTAGAATTTTTCTTACTCGATCATTGTCAAATTCTCCACCATTATCTGAGAGTAGCTCTTTTACTGTAGGTATGTCCTACTGTTTTTACTTCAGTTAACATAATTATCAGTTTTTCTGCATAACTTCATTTTTCTTTCAAAAAGTAAACATAACGATAACGACTGAAATCATCCTTGAAGAGCACGAAGTATCTATAGCCGCTTTTGGATTTTTCAAAAGGCTCACATATTTGTGTGTAAGAGTTCTCCTGGTTCCTTTCTATTATTGGTTCTTGAATGTTTTTGGTAGAAATATCTAGCCAATCATGAATCAAGAGCCGGTAATAGTTCAAATTTTCATTCTTACAGGCTCTTGATCTTTGGATAATTTTTCTCTAAGCCTAAGCAACCAAGAGCCACTAGGTAATGAATGTAGAGGCTTCACTCCTAAAATCAACAGACTCTACTTTTGAAAATCTTGAAAAATGAGTCTTTATACTCAAATCTCCAAAAAATTAAGACTCTTCGAAGTCTTCATAGGAATTTCAGAGTCTACACAGACCTCAAAAGCTTCAAATTAGTTGAATTTTTTCAGAATCTTCAAAGCGACTTCAAGCAAAGCCTTGAGAGTCTTTATTCTAAGTTCAGTCATATTTATGACTAACGGTAAAAACTATATAACAAATATAAACAAAGACATAAGCCTTTGAGAACCTTCAAAATTTAAGATTTTCAAAAAGTGAAGCCTTAGAATCCTTAGATTTTTTGACGGCTTCAGAATTTTCAGAAGATTTTTCTCAGGGCTCAATAGCAAGTCACCTCCGGGTTAAACATAACTCCAGGATAAACACAGTGCAACTGAATACGTTTAACCTCTGGAGTTAAAACCGGAGGTGACTCGCTATTGGCTATTGAGAAACCGGCCCTTAGTAGGTATATCAGCAGGTTCTTTAGAATTTTCCAAAATTTTAAATAATGTTATTTTAGTGCCTTTATGATCTTTTTAAATCTGAATCAGAAACTTTTAGAGAGTCTACTGTTTCCTTTGTTAACTAGAAAAACAGTTATGGAGTCAGCAACTTGGGTAGACAGAAAACATAAAACATGACTAATTTTTTAAAAACATTATCACAAGCGAAACACACAAATAACATTTAAGGTATATCTACCAGCATAAAGGAAAAAACGAGCTTAAATTGTGAAGCCTGCAGTATTCGTAGTGATAAATATTTTTATAACGGCATTTACATAAGCGGCGGATCTTAAATCTAGGCCCATTCCGTACATGGAAGCTGTATCCATAATTGCCTGGAAAATAAGCACAGTGAAAGCGAAATTAAATTCAACTGCTAAACCATGCCACATAGGACTGCAAAAAAAGCCACAAACACAATATGATTTAACCTATTTTCTAATAATTTCCAAAAATTCAAGTACTTACCTTATTTAGACGTGCGGTCGTACACCAAGTAAACATCAAACATGCAACATGGGACATGAAGTAAATACCGTAGATATGGATATACGAGGCGCAAGTCTACCCGCGGAATTTATTTCATGTCGCACGTTGCATGTTTGATGTTTCATTGGTGTACTACCATATGTCATTGGTACTACCGCACTGAGTAGAAAAAAAATAAAATAAAAGGCTCTTAATTTGCTTTATGTTTTATTTATTGTCAATATGTATTTACATTATTTTTTCTTTAGAATCTGTTGATTGATTTACTGTATAATAAATGCTTGGATAGAACTTATGAGAGTGGAAATACTTACTTACTTATATTTTAATACTTATATACCTGAATTTGTCGTTTTATATAGGAATGTATAAAGTGTTATTAATATACTGACACTGATGGGATCTTTAAAAATTAACTATAAAATATAAAAAAAAGCTGCTTACAAATCTGTACTTATTCAATATAAAAATATTTGATTCCGGCAGATGATTTTGCTCAAAAATTATTTGAAAAAGTGTTTAAAATATAAAAAGGGTTCAATAAGCAAAACCTGCTGTACTAGTCGTGTGGAATATTTTTTGTACTGAATTGATGTAAGCCGCCGACCTAAAGTCCAATCCAAGTCCGTACATTTGGGCCGTCGCCTGCATAGCCTAAAATGAAATTTTGTTTGCCTCTTTTTTTTTTTTCGTCTAATCAAATTTTGTTGTAGAAAATAGGTTAAATATTTAATTGAATCTAGTGAATATAAAGTCCAAACAGACTCTAATTGTTAGTGAAAACAGCTAACAAAAATGTGAAAGCATGCAAAACTCAGGTTTTTGATTGACTTACCTTGGCCGATCTTTCCATGGTAAAGTTTAGGCCAGAATGTACGATATCCTTTTCGGAAGCACCGGCTATTCTCTTGGTGAAGGCTGTCGATGGAGTGATTGGAATTTTTTCGCCAAATTTTCGTTCCAAAGATTCTTGTACAGATTCTAGATTTGAAAAAAAAAGCCATTGATATATGGATCTCGAAAAATTAATATTCATGCAACATTTATGTGTGCTATTTTAATATGGATATTCTTAATGATCAGACAGTAATCGTGATCATAATATTGATAACTTTGAGAAGATTAGTTTACCCTATAAAGATATTAATTCTGAAATGTTTATAATATTAGGAATGTTGTCATTTTTTCAGCCTCAGACTGATATCTTCTGAGCACACATCGGTCTGAGGCTTGAAAACTGTCAAATCCACAAAATTCTTCCATAATCAACATCAGGGACATATAATGAATATAAATAGATAGTTCTGAGGACACCCAAAGAAAAGCGTTCGTTTTTTCTAAGAGATTAGTATGGGACTTTTTCTCATTTCAATATCAGATTAGGATGATGAAACTGATTCACTTCAGTCTACACAGAATAAATGAAGCTGATTCAGATGAAATTGGATACAAACTGTTGTTAATATAAAGAGAAGGAAACATTTGGGAAAAATGATGAAATTTATTGTTCATTAATGCGATTGCCCTAAAAAATTTCATAAGTGTTTAAATGAAAATCTACTCACGGAACAAATGATGATTGGAATCTTTCTCATATTTAAATGTCAGCCTTCCATAAGAAACGTGATTGATGTTCTTCAGCCACTCGAAGTAAGAAACCGTAACACCACCAGCGTTGACGTACAAATCAGGAATGACTAAAACGTTGTTTTTAATCAAGATTTTGTCAGCAGCCGGCGTGATTGGACCATTGGCAGCCTCAGCAATCAACTAAAAAGAGCAAATTTAATTTCATTCTGATTTGTTAGGAATAATGATTCTTACTTTGGCTTTAATCTGATCGGCATTTCCTTTATGGATAACTTTCTCGGTAGCAGCAGGCACTAAAATATCAACAGGATGATACAAAAGATCTCCGTCGTATTTTTCAGCATTTGGAAAACCATTTATTGTTCCGTTGTTCACCCTCCATTCTTCCAACTCCTTAGGGTCGATACCTTTAGGATTATAAATGGAACCGTCGTATTCAATAACACCTATACATTTGGCACCGGCCCTGTCCAAATATCTCATGGTGTGCAAACCAACGTTACCAAAACCTTGCACAATGAAGGTCTTGTCTTTCCAGCCAGGCGTCAGCCCACACATTTGCATGTAGGATTCTTCGTTGATGAAGTTTTCGATACCATGGAAAACACCTATAGTTTGGAATTATGTATTAGTGAATAATGCTTGTATTGGAATTTTTTTTTTACCTCTTCCAGTGGCTGAGACTCTTCCGTGGATACCACCCTGGTTGATGGGTTTACCAGTGACGCAAGCGTGACTGTTGATGTCTTGGTAACCGATAGTTTTCGAGTAGGTGTCAGCTAACCAGGACATTTCTCTTTCTCCTGTACCCATGTCGGGAGCTGGGACGTCGATACTGGGTCCTGAATATTAAGTCAAGAATTGTCATAAAAATTGTCATAGAATATTCATTGCTGTAGTCGTTTTCCGTGTAATCTTTTTACGTTAAATAAATATTTCATAGTTTGATGCCTCAAAATTCTTTCTAATTACCAATAGGTTAAATTACGGGCCCAGATACGGTACGTGTGCATAAACTGTGAAAAATGTAAAATTCAAGTAAGTGTTGCAGATCGCGAAAAGTTCATTGCTATTTTTTTTTTATTTATTTGCTGAAACCAATATGACCGAGTCTTCTTCAAATCTCCATTTAGGATTTGAGAAACTTAATGGTCGGGAAAATTCGAGGGAAAATAATAATAATTGGAAATTTGGCATGAAAATGGCCTTTATACATGAAAATTTATGGCGATGTATAGAGGGGTTTTCTGTTGAAGATAAATCAAAGCAGGAAGAACGAGAACGTTGGAACCAGAAGGCTCTAGCTAAAATTTGCCTTATGGTTCATCCCTCAGCGTATTCTCATGTCAGGTCAGCAAGCACAGCAAAAGAAACATGGGAAAACCTGGAAAAAGCATATGAAGATAGAGGTCTATCTAGAAGGTTAGCCCTGATACGTGGTTTAGTTCGAGACTAGAAAACTTTGAAACTATCGAGGCATATGTCAATGAAACTATGTCACTTGCTCAAAAATTAAGTGACATGGGTCAGCCAGTGGATGATGAGTTTCTAGGAGTAATTTTATTGAGTGGATTAACCGCAAATTATGATCCAATGGTAATGACTATTGAAAATTCAAGTACAGTAATCACAAGTGACTTCAGTGACAAATATGAAAAAGAAAAGTCTGAGACAGCATTGTATTCCAAGTATAAAAAGCAATTTAATAAGAAAAATTTAACTGTGGGCTGTTTGGTCACTTTAAGAGTCAGTGTACCAAAGAAAGTGATAGCACTCAAGATAAAAACAAAAATGAGAAGAATAAGTCTAATCCTAAGAACACCAATAGAAAAGGTAAGCGAGAAAAAGCACTTCATACTGTCTCAGGTGGATTAGTAAATACATTCAGTTGGTATGTGGACTCGGGGGCAACTTCGCACATGTCATATAATGCAGATTGTTTTGAAGATTTTATTACCAAAGGTGACGTTGAGATTTTGGTAGCAAATAACCAAAAACTGAGTAGTGTTGGTGTTGGGAATACAGTTTTCACGAAATATGGTTCCAACATTATGTGTGTTCCAGATTTAAAGACCAATTTGCTATCAGTGAGTATAATGACTATAATGGTGGAAAAAGGTTATGCAGCAGCAACGGCTGCCAGATATATGACAGTGAAGATTTCCAAGTTAAAGCAAATATTGTAGCGACTGCATCCAATAAAAATGGGCTTTATCAGCTAGATTTAGTCAATAAATGCACATATTTGACTAAAACTGCAAGTATGGAGGAATTATGGCACCGAAGAATAGGACACTTGAACAGAATAAGTATGTCTTTGCTCAAACGTGGCTACAAGGATGAAAAAGGTGATCAATGTACCATTTGTCTTAGAGGGAAGCGAAGTCGTCAGCCTTTTAAAAAGGCAGGTGGTAGGCGTGCCAAAGATTTATTTGAGCTGGTCCATACTGATTTGTGTGGCCCACTGCCAGTTTCATCGTGGAGTGGAGCTAGATATATATTCACTTTAATTAATGATTACTCCAGGAGGATTTTTGTCTATTTTTTAAAGTCAAAAAGTGAAGTTCCTTCTGTTTTCAAAGACTTCCATGTATTGGTAGAAAACCAAAGTGGAAGAAAGTTAAAGAAACTTAGAAGTGACAAATGGCACTGAGTATATATGTCAATAGTTCTTTTGAAAATTATTTGAAATCAAAAGGTATAGAGCACCAATTGACTGTAAGATATACGCCTGAGCAAAATGGTGTTGCAGAAAGAACCAACCGAACAATTGTTGAGAAAGCAATGTGTCTTATTCAAGAAGCTAAATTAGAAGAGAAAATTTGGGCAGAAGCTGCGAGTACAGCAGTTTATCTGAAAAATCACTCTAATCACAAAAATGTTCAAGCTTCAACTCCACAAGAAAAATGGACAGGTGAGAAAGTCGATTTAAAACATTTGAGAGTTTTTGGCTGTTGCGTATGCGCACATTCCTGATCATTTGAGAAAGAAATTTGATTCTAAGAGCAAACAATATATCTTTGTTGGCTACTGTGAACAAACTAAAGGATATAGACTATTTGATGTTGAAAAACCAGGTCAGATTGTAAAATCTAGAGATGTATGGTATTTTTTGAAAATACTTATAAAGAAAACAATACAGTACCCTCTGATATTTCACAGCAACAAATAATTCCAGTTGAGTCTGAACTGGAAATGATCAATGATGTCATTGCTGATGATCAAGCTGAAATTGATGATGCAAGAAATGGTAGTAACAGTGAATCCACAAATGAACCAGAGAATCAAGAACAAATGCAACAAGAGTTGAGACGTACTCAAAGATCTAGAAGAATTAAATCATTCCCAGATCATATACTCTATTATGCATCGGAAGAAATAAGCAAGCCTTGTTCAGTGCAAGAAGCCTTAGTGAATATGGTAATGAGTGGAAGCATGCTATGGATGAAGAAATGCAATCAATGAAAGAAAATGATGCATGGACACTAGTGGACATTCCTAAAGACAGAAAAATTGTACAGTGCAAGTGGGTTTATCAAATAAAAAATGATGTGAATGGCAAAATCGGTAATAACTTAAAATTGGAGAAAGGGCTTAACCCATCAGATGAAAATATTCCATATCAATGTTTGATTGGGTCATTAATGTTTCTTGCAGTAAATTCACGTACTGATATAGTTTTTGCAGTAAATTATTTAAGTCAGAGTACAATAATTGATATAAAAATGTTCATTTTCATCATGCAAAAAGGGTCTTACGTTATCTAAAAGGGAATCTTGATAGGCATTTGTTTTTTTAAGAAAGATAATGAAAATATTTGTAGATTTTGTGACGCAGATTGGGGAAATTACATTAATGATGGAAAATCATACAGTGGATATGTTTTTAAGTTGGCTGGAGGGGCAATATTTCTTGGGAGGCAAAGAAACAAAGTTGCATAAATAAATCCAGCACTGAAGCAGAGTATGTTTCCTTGTCATTGGCCAGAAAAGAGGCTATTTTTCTTAGGTAGGTATATTTTAAATGAGCTTCTGGATTTGGATAATGCAATTTTGATTCTCAATGATAATCAAAGTGCCCAGAAATTAGTAGTAAATTTTATGTTTCCTAATCGTAATTACCATATTAATATCAAATATCATTTTATAAGAGAAGCAGTTGAGAATGGCAATATTCAGTTAAAATACATGCCTACAGATAAAATGATAGCTGATATTTTCACTAAAAGTTTGCATAGACCAAAGCATAATGAACATGTGAAAAATTTATGTTTAGAATTGAGATAGTATTTAGGTATTACTGGATTAAGGGAGGCTGTTGGAGATATTTTAATCCAGAATTACTATTCTGAATTCAAAAATCTTTTTTTGAGGACAGAATGTTGTAGGTAACTAATACAGGTACTAGCTGGTTAAAATCTATCAGTCAAGAATTGTCATAAAATATTCATTGCTGTAGTCGTTTTCCGTGTAATCTTTTCACTAGTAGTGATGTAAAAAAGTACCTACGCAATACAAAGTACCGGGTATTCACTCAGTACCCAAAGTATCGAATCTTTGTTGTTCAAAATACCCGATACTTTTAAACCTATAAACCTATAGGTAATATATATTTCCTAAATTACAATATTCTAGTAGAATTATTTATATATACATAATCAAAGTTTTGAAATACCTACTGTGTATTGTGTATCTAAAAAATAACGAATATTTTATTTTTGTCTTTGGTAACCAAAATAAATAAGTACTTAGGTTAGTAAGTACCCAAAACAATTAGGTACAATAATTCACCATTACCATTACCTTTTAAATACCAAATCCTTCAAGCCTGTGATTCTTGGGTGAATAAAAAATTATAAAATAGTAAAAAAATCACTGATACTGAAAACTTAATAATAATACTTTATATACTCAAATATCCAATAAGAGTATCGGGTATTGATATCAAAAGTATCGAAACTTTACATCACTAGGTACTTTTTACGTTAAATAAATATTTCATAGTTTGATGCCTCAAAATTCTTCCTAATTATCAATAGTAACATATAACAAGTAGCACATGTCAATGCGGACTTTAGTCTCACGCTCACGACGAATTTTAGTGAAGGCACGATGAAAATCAAATACTTTGACCTCAGTTCTGACAGTTAACGAGTTGATCTGTCCCAGGGAAAAACAAGTTTCGATGGCCGGGTGGTAAGCCAGAGGGTCAGCACTGAATGTGATGCAGAGATCAATGAAGTCTTCGACGAAAATTAGGTCCAGAGTTCTGCCCAGATGATTATGAACCATGTTTATCTGTTGCAGTTCAAGAAAGTACTTCTCTTCAAATACCCACTTAATTGATTGCAGGTTAAAATCACCAAATATAAGAAATCTGTGTTTAGAATAAGTGTTCTTAAGAGTTTCACAGGTGTCACAGAAAGACTGATAGCAATCGATCGTAGAGTTGGGGGAAAAGTAGACAGCCAACAATAATTTCACTTCCGTCGTAATCCAGCTAAACCCAAACCCATTCTCGTAAAGGTTCGTTTGAGATATAAAGATACCTGAGGAGTGAAGGTGCCCCAGTGTAGCAATTAGTAGGTACTATAATAAATGAACTACTAGCATAAAACAAAACTCAAGATCAAATTAATTGGAGAAAGGGAGAGGCGAAGAGATTCTGGCGAAAAATCTCAAAGAACCTGTATCTTCAAAAAAAAACATACAGTAGGATGACTTTTTGATAAAAATATCAAAATTAATATATTCTGTTGTCTCGTCAAAGGAAGAAATTAAGCATGATATGTCGTTTTGGAGTTTCTGGACAAAGAGATCAAAATCCTGAAGACAATAAAATCTAGAAAATTGAAATACTTTGGCCCTCTGTATACCTAATGAAAAATAACCAGAGGGATATATACATTTTGGGAAAAGTATGATCCTGGAAGAAAAATTTCCTAGGTGCAAAATCCCAGACATTCGAGGATGTCATGAGATTTTCTACATGTTATTGTAAAACTCACCAATAAATCCTTTCTTGACCAATTCCAAAGTAAATCTCCTAGTAATTTTCTCAAGCTCGTGCTCTGAATATTTCTTGGGGTCGATTTTGATACCAGCTTTTCCACCGCCGAAGGGTACGTCCACACAGGCGCATTTGAAAGTCATCAGAGCGGCCAACGCTTTGACTTCGTCTTTGTTCACATCGGGCGAAAAACGCATACCTGGAATCAACAATAATAATTTATTTTTTAGTATGTAGTAACAAGCTTGAAATTTTCATGTAGGTATCATACTAAAGGATTCATTATAGCTTGAAGTGGAACTAAAGTGGCGACCAGCATTAGCTAATGAGCACTTGTATATTCTCTTTTGTTTGAAAATTCGTTTTTGAGTAGATCTTGAAAAACAATAGGAAGATATTTAGCCCCTCAAATATTACACACATTCTATCAGAAAGATTATCAACTCAAAAATTGCATTGTTTAATAAGGGGTCTTAGTTCAAATATTGATTGCATAATATACAATTAGAGATTAGATGCAAACCATCATAATTTATTGAAGCAAACACAAGTATCTAATAAATAATTATACTCTCACTTTGGCAAAATAATCGGATTTATAAATAGACATTAAAATTGAAAGTTCTCTCGTGCTAAATAGTCATAGGAGATAATCATACTTGTTATCTTTTTATATACTGAGAATAAATACATACCTACCAATTTAATTTTAACACCACTTGTTGAAAAACGCAATGCTTTTGACCTTCAATTATACGATAACTTTATTAAGTTGAAATGAGCATCATCCACTTTATTTGAACATGTGTTTTAAATAAACACAAAAAAAAAAATATTTGTTTAATATTTTAATTCAAAATTTCCTGTGTGTATATTTAATTATGAAAATTAAGCTCTTGAATTAATGTAAATAGTGAACATAGAATTTGAAAAGTGACATATTAAGTTTTAGATTGCATCATGCTTATTCTAATTGAATAAATTTTAAATTGAAATTGATAGCAACAAAGAATGAGCGCACTCTCGGTAATTGATAGGGTGCTGATACCAATTACAGAAAAAACTGTGATGCAATGGTATATGGCGTGTGAGCTTAATTAAGTTAGGCCATACCCTATAAAATGATAACTGATAAGCATGTTGGTGATATTTATTGGCATCCAAAAGTATTTTTAGATTTGAACTATTACAACTGTGCTATTACCGGCTTTTGATTTGCTAGATGTCTCTCCTAGAAGCAATATTGATTTTTAATGACTCTCATATATTTTTTACAAACTTCTCAATATAGCCAGAATAGTCCAAACTTTGATTTTCATTGGCTCTTGATTGCTTTGAGAGAAATTATCCAAAGATCAAGAGCCTGTAATAATCAAAATTTGAACTATTACCGGCTCTTCATTGGCTAGATGTTTCTACTAAAGCCAATAATAATAGACTGACTTAATATGTATGACGTACACTACAAAGAAAAAATAGCCTAATACATTTTGATATTTCCTGGGATTTTTTTGTGAAAAACTAATAAAGGAAAAATGTTGAAACTTCTGGTATTAAAAGAGAAAAATAAGGAGCTCATTAAAAACTCTTGAAAATCAATTTACAATCAGTATTTTGTAAAAGTTCCCATTAGCCAAAAATGATAAGTCAAAACTTTGATCGTTTTGGGCTTTTGATTGCTTTTGAAAAATTATTCAAAGATAATTTTTGTTCCTCACCATCAAAAGTTGTTGTTAAACATAAAATTATGAAAATACTCATCGGCATCAGCAAGATTATTATTTTGTCTCTTGAAACACAAGTAAAGCGATTTTCACAAGTTTCTTTTCTTGCATGTCTTTTCTGCTGATACAATTGAGCAATTCAACTCTTCAAGCCAACCCAATATTGAAGACATGGAAACTTCCTCCAAAAGTGGAAATAGAATAGAATTGAGAGAATTTTCACAGGTTTTCTTGTACAGTTGAGAAAGTTGCGAATGAATTAAATTGATCATTTTTTAAAAATATTTTTGGATTATCAAGATTCTATCTAATTGATGATTCCTATTTATCAATTCAAACATTAATTAATTTAACCTTTGGCAATTTTTAATGGATCAATAAATAACCCACTTTACAAAAAATGGCATGGCAACTGCGTTAAAATTACCAATTCAAATTTAAACAATGAGCATACGATAATTTTTATTTGTAAAGTGTAAGCGGTAATACTCTTACGATGCAAACAATTAGAAAATTTCATTGCGTCATCAAACACGCCTTTGTTTTTTTGTGACATAATTATTATCATGATGCTATAAGCATTATTTCAGGTAGTTACCAGTAATATGTGGTATGACAGAGCAGGGGTGACAGATATAGTGACGAAAGGAGTTCAGTTTAGCTTGAAATAAATCTTTGAAACTATATTTCGTTTATTCCAAATGTCCGAACCTTATATGGCGCTGCGGACAGGATAAGTTGTGAAGAAGAATTTTTTACAAAATACGTGAGTATTTCATCGTAAAGAAAGTTAAGTCAAATTCGTTCTTGGCTCCACGTTTCCTGATTAAAATAGGATGAAACTTTACGACAACCCAAAGAAATGTCTCTTAGGGGGGATATCCCCACAAATTTCAAAAAAATGGAAACAGCAATTCACCATTTATATGGATGCCTCTGGTTTTAAAGATAATACAAAGGTAACAGCTGAAAAGGAAAGCTACTATTTTGTTACATACAATTGGAGCTGAATTACTAGAAATCCATGACACACTAGGAGAAACCTGATGCTGATAAGAAAGACTGGCAAAAATTATTACATCATTTTGAAGTACATTTCAAACCCAAAGAAAATATGAGGCTGTTAATCGACACCTATTTCATACTAGAAAGCAGTTACAAGGTGAAAGTGTTGATATGTTTGTGACTGACTTAGAAAACTGAGTCAAAATTGTAATTTCGGAGATCTGCGAGATAGTTTGGTTAGAGATAGGATTGTATGTGGAATAGAGGACACTAAAGTAAGAGATAGGTTGCTAAGAGAGCCTCAATTAGATTTGACAAAATGTGTGAATATCTGTAGAGCGTCGGAGTTGGCTGAGCTTCAATCGAAAAAGCTAGAAATTGAGACAAATGTTAATATTGTGAAGAAAGCACAAAAACCAGGACAATACAGAGAGTTTACTTCACAAAAAGATCAATAAAGCCCGAAATCAAAGTAGAAATAGCTTTAGAACAAACTCAGAAAATAGAGTTGATAAAAAACAGTGTGGCAATTGTGGATATTTTCATGGTTCAGCATATAGAAGACAATGTAAAGCATGTAACAAGTTTGCTCATTTTCAAAAGTACTGTCGTAAAAAAAGAAACATGACTCAAAATGTATATTCAGTAGAAGCTGAAGCTGATGATGAAGAGCAGGAAATGTGTATAGGCACAGTTCAGAAAATAGGACAAGTAGGTTTAGTTGGCTGGAGGCAAAAAGTAATAGTCAATAATAAGGAAATTTGTTTCAAAATGGACATTGGTGCTGATTTAATGTTTTGAACTGCTAAAGAACTTAATGCTGAAGTTCAGTCATCCAATACAAAGCTATTGAACTATGAAGGGGTGTTTATGGAAACCAATAATAAAAAACACAATGTAGTGTTCATTGTAGTCAACTTTAATGCTCCATGCATAATTGGTCTTCCATTTATTGAGATGTTTAATCTGCTAAAGAGAGTAGGATCAGTAGAAGAGGAAGACAAATATGTGATTGATAGACTAGTAAAAAAATACTACCATATTTTTCAAGGCATTGGTGAATTGACAAATTCATATAAAATTCAGTTGAAGAAAAAGGTAGAGCCAGTTGTAGAACCTCCAAGAAAAATTGCAATCAGCCTTCAGCAGTCAGTTAAAAGTGAGCTAGATAAAATGGGCGTTTTGAGAAAAGTGACTGAACCAACTCAGTGGTGCAGTTCTATGGTCATTGTAAAAAAGCCAGACATTAATAGTCTTCGAATTTGTTTAGACCCACAAAATCTGAATAAATCCATAGTATGTGAGTGGTATCAGCTTCCAACTTTTGAGGAAATTGCATTCAAGATGGAAGGGGCAAATATTTTTTCAATACTGGACGGCAATATGGGCTTTTATCAGATCAAGTTGCATTAAGAAAGTGAAATAGTTACAACATTTAAACTTGGAATTTTAAGCATATAATTCCATACTATCCTCGTTCTAATAGTATGGCAGAAAGGCATGTGGGTATTTTTAAAACAATGCTCAAAAAGGCGAAGTATAGTGGACAAGATCCGTATATCGTTTTGCTAGAATATAGAAATACCCCTATAGATTCTGACATAAATAAATCTCCCAGTGAAATTATGTTTGGACGTAATGTGAATGCCTTTTTTCCAGTACCAGAAAATTTTTCACAAAATATAAGTTATGGCGAACCTTACAATAATCTAAATCTAAATATTTCCAGAAAAGTATAATTACCTCCTTTACAAGGTAACCTATGAGTACTGTGTTGCGCCCTATATCCTTTAACAACTTCATATTCTCCGTTATCCCTCTTGATAGGGAAAGCCACTTCAATGATGTGGTCGCAATGTTCCATGTGTGTCAGAATACCTCTAACTTTGGCTTTTCTTTGCTCCAAAGTCAATTTGGATCCTTTAACTTTTGCCAGGTCTTCAACTAACTTGTCTTCGACAAGGACGCAAGCTTTATGGAAGAAATATTCTACCATGTCGAAGAAACGCGGGTTTGGGTTGTCAGGCATATCCTGAAAAAAAAATAACAATCATACCTTAATTTATTATTATTGGTAGCAACTAATTTATTAAGATCACAAGACCAATTTACACAATTTATTTAGGTCAAAATTAGAATTCAAATAGATGCACGTTTTTTTGTATTACATAATGCATTATTTTTAACTTTTTTGGCTTTTTGCCTAAAGGTGCTGTGTTATGATTTTTGGAGGAAATGAACCGAGTACTTAGGTATTTTAATCAAACACGTTAACTGGGGCTCGAACAAATTTATCAGAAATAAAATGTCAAGGCTCGTCCAGTTTCGCACGTGTCAGTATAAACTTGATCAACTGTAAAATGTTTCAAATTCAGTTGTGTCTGGTGAATAATTTTGTTCTTTGACAATGTAATTTAAAGCATTTTCTTCTGTTTTGTATTTTTTCAATTATCTCTGTCTTCTTTGGTAGTATATGTACCATCATTCTATACAATTTTAGAAATTTAAGCATTAGTAATATTAAAATCGGATTGAAATTGAAATTACCAAAGATGTGTTTGTATTATTTTTTTTTTGAAAGAAAATGGTTGACGAATTAAATTAAAATTTTGAAACTGGATAAAGAAATTTTTGAAAAGAATAAAGTAATATGTTAACTATAGATTTGTTACCAAGTGATTTTAAAATCAGACTGAGATTAACAAAGTTGTAAGCCAAAATGTGTATCAAATTTCGTCTATTGTCAACTTTTATATATTTTTCAAAAGTTCTCAATAACCAGAATAGTCCAAACTTTAAACTTAGCGAAGATACGCCAGATGGACGAAGAACATTACATACCACTGTCCTTGTTGGTTATCAAGAAGGAAGTAGCGAACGTACATATAGTTCAAAACTTACATATAGATTCAAATGAACTTGCCGAAATTGAAATACCATCAACAATCTACTTAATTGACGAATGTTACTTACAAAAGAAAGCTAAACGTAATTTTTCAGAAAACTTTGTAATTTTATCATCCACGATACAGCTGCAATAAAACTGTTGCTGATTATTACTAGCTGTCAGATCTCGTCTTCTGAGCAACGGTTATGAAGCAAGACCTTTTCTTACGAGATCCGCTTTTAACCCTATTATCGCTCCAGGAAATACGCCAAAAAACAGAAAGCGCATTGTTTCCTGTTTTGGATCAAACACCGACTGAGTCATCAGTGTAGCTGACTGTTTTAAATATTTTAGAGGAGTCAAAAATTTTGTCAATTCTCCTGGTAAGCGTACAGTTATTACAGTGGACTTGGGTCTTTTTAAACCTATGCAGCTCTTACTTCTAAAAAAGAAAATAAAAGACATACTTTTGCTTCCTGGTGATTTACACATAACAATGGCAATGCTAAGAGCAATTGGATCTTTTATTAACCAGTCTGGAATACCAGAATTGTGGGTAGAAAGTGTGATATAAAGTGAGCAGGTAGCTAAATATGATTCTAGAGGGAAAACCTTTACGCAGATCTATATTGAAGCGCACATAGTAACACTGGAGGTGTAAGAATTCGTATGTCTGAAGAGAAGCTGCAAAGTATTTTCAATGAAACCGAATTTTGTACTAGAATGGAAACTTTTAATGATTCAAATACGAAATCGAAACCAACATTTGCATTTGCAATTCAATATATAAGCATGAGTGCCACTTTACTCTCTTTTGTTTGCGTAATACTCGGTAGGGACTGGAATTTAAGAAATATGACCTTAAAAACTTATCTGAAATATTTCTTTGCATTAAACCTTAGAAATTACGCTTCTTAAAGAATATGAAGATCCCATAACATGGAACTATATGTTCAGGAACATGGGCACTCATTAAAAAAGGCAGAGCATTCTGCTCTCTCGGTGCAGACGAAACATTGGAGCAGGATAATCGAAAAATGAAAGTCTCTGGCGCATTGGTCGGTATAACTTGAAGCCCAGAAACTCGAACCAAGTTTTTCTTAAACATATCCTACCTTAATATATCAGAAACAGTACCTACTGAAAAATATGTGTATGTGCGATGTCAGAACTGGGCATAGTAATCGAGAACGAATTCTTTAAAGATAAGATTCAAAATAAATCTGTAAAATTTTGGTACCCACTAAAGTCAAGTAAAATTAATTTGCATAAATCCAAGAATAAAAAGATTTTTGTTAAAACCAATAAGTCAGGGATAGTAGAGCTTGAAGAAGATTTAAGTATGTTCTCACGATGCGTTCTTATATGTAGAAGTCGTGCTGATCTAAACTTCAAGGAGATTATACGAAAATATGAACTAACTGCCTTGCCACGGTCTTTATTTTATCCTGATGGCTCAATGATTCATGGACAGGAAAAGAGTAAAATAAGACACCTTCTGGAAGAGCTTGTTCAAAATGATTCCAAAGTTAGTAATGTGAATTTAAATATCTTAGATCTTAGAACAGCCTTACAGTGTAGCAGTTGCTGATGATATGGCAGAAGTCCAAATGTTATCGTTTAAAAATGTAGCATAGGTACTTCTCTGATTCAGCAATTCAGTTTTCAACCAAGATGCTGAAAAAATATTACTTACGCATATTCTGAGATTCACGTTGTTTTCGACTACTACAAGCATGACTCTTTAAAATCAATAGAAAGGGTCAGAAGCCAAAAAGGGACATATCCTATACAATATATCGTTAGTGATAAAACTAGCCTTAAAAACACATCTCTCAAAAAGCTGCTCTCCCATACATTGACAAAAGGAGAAATGGCTTACTATTTTTCAAGACATTATCACTGAGAAACGAAACTAATCGGAAAGTAGTCAGTTCCTTGGAAAATTGCGTAATGACTATGACCGCTTGTGATAATATGAAGTAGTTGCAGAGCTCGCACGAAGAAGCTGACGCCAAATTAATTCTCCATTTTGTACATGCATCAAAAAAAGGTGCCAATAAGATAAGGATATTTTCGCCAAATACTGACGTTTTATTACTTGCTCTAAGACGTCTTCCTTTGTTGCCTGAAGATACACATTTTGTAATCTAGTAATCAGAAGATACGTTTACGATCAATCTATGACTCTTTGGGATAGCTAAAAGTAGAAGCTCTTCCAGGACTTCCGCATTATCAGGGACTGACGTTACAGGTGTATTCAAAGGTTAATCAAAAATTAGTTTTTCGAAAAAGTTTCTATCAGTTTCCCCATCTACAATTCAGGCGTTAAGTTCCCTTGGAACCAATGAAATACTGAATCAATCGGTTATTTGCAGCGTGTATCCACCCACCAAGATACAAGAGACATACTTCCGCATTCATGTTTACCACCAGCAGCGGAGTATGGGTGGAAATTGGTTAACGGTGAATTTGAGCCTATAATATTATGTGACCTTCCCTGCGCCCCTGACAAAGTGTTAAATTTGGTAAGATGCTCATGTCGAAAGAATAATTGCTCCCAACGCTGCAAATGTGCCACTCTACATGTGGTATGCACAGAGATGTGCTCATGTGAATGGAATCCTAATTTTTGTGCAAATGTCAGGGTTTTGGAGGAAACCAACTTTTACTCAGGAGATCTACGGATGATGAGTCTTAAAAATGTGTTTGCCTTTTTTTTTGTATTTATAACAATAATACCACTTATAACTCCTTATTTCAAATGGCCGAACTCCATGTTATTCCTAAAATGACAAAATTAGGGGTTTCGACAATATGGCGTATTTTTTGAACCCTTAATAACATAGGGGTTGGAACTAGTGGAAGTATTTTCGAGTTTCAAAAACTTTTTTGTAATAATAAATACTAGGTACTCTTTAAATTTAAGATATGTTCGTCTATAATTTACTAAGCTAATTTAAAATATTTTATAGGGGGGTGGCTAGGGGGTTGTTTCTGCCTTAAGATACATTTGCGAGAGAAGGCCCATCCATTCTCGGAATCTGTGAGGCATTCTGAAAATTTCAAGGCATCGCCCAGTATCACAAATCTGCAAACGGAATACAAATTGAAGCTGGACTAACTCAGAAAATTGAAAAATTGCAAGGGGTGAACCACTTTGCGCAATACTGTCACAAATTCAGCAGAAATCCCGCGAAATCCTTTGAAACCCATAGAAAATCTGTGCGCAATCTTGAAAATCGATGCGCAACCACGCGAAATCTGTGCGAAATTCTGCGCAATCCTGCGTTAGCATTGAAAAATCATTTCAAATTGGGAAATCAGAGTCTCTTATGGAGTTTGCATGGCAGCTACACTCAACCAATAATACAGGGTGTCAATTTGAAAACTTCTCACCACCACTCAAATCTTCATGTAAGTACCTATTTTAGGCCGTCAGATAGTGACATATTTAGGTGCCCCATTTTCGCATACAAGCCTCGAAGAGGGTCGAAAAGTACATCGATTTTGAGTAGGATGAAGGTATTTTTACGAATAGCTCCTGGGGATAACGTATGGAAAATTCGATTTTCCGTAACAGAAGTGAAAGACGTTCTAGTGCCCATATTTTCTCGCAAGCCGCGTTCACCAAAGGATTAATTGATAAAACCTGGCTTCGTGAAAATAAATAAGGGGGTGTTGCAGGTGGCTGAAGATTTGAAATAAGGGCGAAACTTTGTAAGGAAAAATCGAGATTTTGGGGCGATTTTTCCATACAAGCTCATCGGAAGGATGAAAATCTACAACTTCGGTAGCAGGAAAACATATTTTCTTGAGTGTCGCTAATGGAAAAGTACATTTAGAGGTAACATAAGTAAAATCGAATTTTCCATATGTAATCCCCAGGAGCCACTCGTAAAAATACCTTTAACCTACTCAAAATCGATGTACTTTACAACCCTCTTCGAGGCTTGTATGCGAAAATGGGGCACCTAAATATGTCACTATCTGACGGTCTATTTGAAAGAATAAAAAAATTATCATTGATAATAAATATTTGCATGCACCAACAGTGTCAAGAATTTTATTTCCGACGCTATTTCTAACGTATAGCACTTTTCTATTTTATTTTTTGGAAAATCATAGTGACTATATTCTTAATTTGAGTTGTAGGTATGCTTGGTCATTTCAGCAAAATCGTACGCATCATGAGAAGTCCTTTGCAATCATACAAAATTCCTCGAAATCTCGCGAAATACCTTGCATTCTTGCGAAATCAGTGAAATTTTGCAAAATACCGCGTATTCATGCGAAATTCCGAGCAATCATGTGAAATCCCCCATTTTTCGCAATCACGTCACATTTTCACCCCAGTGGTTCACCCGAGGGTTCACCTCTTGAAAAATTGATAAATTTGCCCCAAATTGCTTAGCGCGATTTTATTTCTGGAACTATAAGTTTAAATGAGCTGAAATTTTCAGGGATTATAGTCCTCCACTGGAATAAGAATCGCTGAAAATTTCAGCTTTCCATCTATAATAGAAAAAAAAGTTATGGAAATTCAAAGTTTTTGAAAATCCAAATTATAAGTACTAAAATGATGAAATTTAAAAAAAAAATTAAGTTGAAATTTGGCGTTTGATCAATTGGGATACCCCAAACTCCATACACTAAATTATTCTGAGATTTGAAGCCGAAATCTATGAAAAAAGGCACTCAAAAAATTTAAAAGTTGATAAATTTACCCCAAATTGCTTAACGCGATTTTATTTCTGGAACTGAAAGTTTAAATGAACTGAAATTTTCAGGGATTAAAGTTCTACACTGGGATAAGAATTGCTGAAAATTTCAGCTTCCTATGGTTTCTATATATAATAGAAAAAAAGTTATGGGTTTTCAAAGTTTTAAAAATCCAAATCATACCTAAGTACCTACTTACTAAAATGATGAAATTTCAAATTTTTTTTATGTTGAGATTTTGCGTTTATATGATCAGTTGGAACCCCTAAACTCCATATACTGAATAATTCTGAAATTTGAAGCCGAAATCTATGAAAAAAGGCATTCAGAAAATTGATAAATTTACCCCAAATTGCTTATTGCGATTTTATTTCTGAAACTATAAGTCCAAATGAGCTGAAATTTTCAGGGATTGTAATCCCCCACTGGGATAAGAATCGCTGAAAATTTCAGCTTTCTATCTATAATAGAAAAAAAATTATGGGTCTTCAAAATTTTTAAAAATATCAATCATAAGGTATAGCTGTTACCTTGGTACTAAAATGATGAAATTTAAATTTTTTTGATGTTGAGATTTTGCGTTTGTACCTATGTTGAGTTGGGACCCCCTAAACTCCATACACTAAATTATTCTGAGATTTGATGCCGAAATCTATATGAAAACAGGCACTCAGAAAATTGAAAAATTGATGAATTTACCCCAAATTGCTTAACGCGATTTTATTTCTGAAACTATAAGTCCAAATGAGCAGAAATTTTCAGAGATGGTAGGAGAATAGTCAAAACTTTTATTCCCATTGGTTCTTGATTGCTATATTTATTTGAACTATTATCGGCTTTTGATTGCCTATATATTTCTACCAGAAATACTCAAGGACCAATAATAGGCCAAATTTCGATTATTTTCAACTTTTATAATATACTATTTTTTAAAAGTTCTCAATCGCTAGTAAATAGTCCAATCATTGATCTTTACTGGCTCTTGAGTGCTCAGAGAAAAATTATCCAAAGATCAAGACCCTGTAATAATCAAAATTTGAAAGTTGTGAGGTCAAATGTGTATCAAAGTCATTTTAGAAAAATACCAATCTTTTAAAAAACGACGTTGAGGAACAGTTAATTTTTTTTGAGGAAAATGCTATAGAGGGTTTCGATTGAAATTTTGCAAAAAATAATATAAAAATGTCCTTTATTTACTCATTGCTTCACAAAAATCGAAGGTAAAAGGTCTTAATTTGAGCCTATATAGTTGAAATTAAAAATGTTGTGATGCAAAATTTGTATTAAAGTCATTTGGTCTTCTTAGAAGAAAATAATTGAGGAATTGGACTGAAACTTTGAAAGTGGATATAGAGAAGATTGAAATTTAGAAAAATATAAATGAAAATTTCCTTTTATTCGCTCATCTTGAATAAAAAATCAGTTAAAGATAGAAATTTGGAATCCAAGAAAATTAATTCCTAGAAAGGACAGTTTTGTTCAAGTTCAAGGAATCAAAAATTGAAAGTATACATTTTGGAGAATTATAAAGGAAATTTCAAGAGCTTGGAGCTCGGAAGCACAAATGAAGTCCTATAGGATGAACAAGAAATATTTATTTAATAATAGAGGAAGTTTTCTATGCAAGGAAATCATCTGGAAAGTCTAATGTTTTATTTGGAATCTAGAAAAGTACAAAGAAAGCATCAGTAGGTATTGATGAGGAAGTTCAGGATTGTTTGGGCATGTTGGGAATGCCTTTTGACTAAATTTGACTAGTCTTTCCAATTATTGAGAAATAAAATTGAAAAACGAAGAGTCGAAATTGATCCAGTTATAAAAATCAACATTTAAAAAAAAAACGCAGATCTTTTCAATTTATTGAATAATCATTTTTGACGAATTGACTCAAAGTGCTGCCACCTGGCCCCCTGTTGAGGATTAATTTTAAATTCTAAGCATTATTTTAATTTTGATTGGTATGACAAACTGTGGTATGACGGTCAAGGACTTTCTTCTCATTGGCCACATCTTCTAGTCAAATGAACAATTTGAATCTTTGGCCTTAAATTTTTAACTTTCTTACTTATTGTCATTAGTCAAAACTACCAGTTTAACTTGTTACCAGTTAAAGAATTGACAATTAAAATAAAAGGTCATGGTCGAAAAAAATTATACCTAAAAAAAAGAACAGAACAAAAATGAACCCCATACCTTCAGTCTGTCAGGTATAACGTGTTCCGCGTAAGTTCTGCCTTGTTGCACGTTAACGGCGGCCGGTAGGGCTTTGAGCAAAGCCCCAAAGTCGCCCTTCAGAGGCCCGGCGCCCACTTTCGATACGAGTTTGAACATCGTTTTACGGCCCTCGCAACGAAATCTTTAAGTTACGTAAGACGGAAAATTGCCTCACTTTTAAAATGAAAGCCGATCCCTGGGCCGCCGTTTATAAATCGACCCTACGTTCTCTCGACCAGCGACAAAAATAGACTGAACAAAATTTTTTCCGAATTTTGATTGTGGGATAGTGAATAGAGGATTTTTCTTCGAAATGGTATTAATTTCTTCAAAACTTACTGCAGTTGGGGCAATCTGGCAACGCTGTGTGCACGAGTTCACCGATTTGTCCAAGGCTGAATTAATGCCGTGTTGCCAATGTGACTCAGAAATATTAATAAAATTACTATCACTCAAACTATTTCAAACTTTTATGCATTTTATTATTAAAATTGTAAGGTCAACTGAAACCCAAATGATTCAAAATAATTCAACCATTATAAATATTTCCTGATTTGCCTAATTATTTCAGATGAACTGAAATCTCTGACAACACTGTACGATAGTACCACAGTAGTAAAATGACTCCATACAACGTTGCCAGTTTGACACAGAAATCTCGATTCGTTTTTTTTTTTAGTTTTGCGTAATCTTGAGTCTTGAGTGAATAAAACGAATACGTTGGCAACATTGCAGCCCTCTTAATTATTTGAAAGTATCTGGGTAGTATTCATCATGGGTAGTATTGCATTCGTCCTTCCATTCGAGCAATAATTAAGTATTAAGTTGTTTTTGTTATGGTTATGTCGACGTGGAATTAAGGTTTTTAATTTATTTTTAAAGTTCATTTTTTGTTATTTGTTTTAATGATTTATTTTATGACTGTATAAAAAGGAAAATCACAAGTGAGTATAAAGTATTTGAGTTACAGAGTAGGTACTATATAGGTACCTACCAAAAATAGATCAATTATACAAAATCCATAGATTTGAATGCAGGATAACCTTAAATTATTGATTTAATTATTTGAAATTGAAAATGCAAAAAGACTATATAGAATCATAATATAAGAATAATGAATACTTACCTATTTTTTAAACTTTCGAAAAGCTAATAAACTATACAGGGTGTGTACCATTTAAGACGAATTAGGCTAACTATCTGATGCTACGTTTATTTTTAAAAAAATCGCTTGTACACATAATTTGATTTTCAAAGGGGGAAGTTTTCTTCAACTTTAACCCTCAGGTGGGGTGGGACCAACCCTCACTATTTCAAATGGAACAAGGGGTCGAGTGGTACCTCTTTTAAAAGAGCATTGAATTCTCTTTCATTTGTTGTCATTTGAAAGAAAATTGAAAGCTGTTTTAGAACAGATATCACTCCTGTTCTATTTGGAATGGTAAAGGTTGATCCTGCCTCCCCTCCTAGAGGCTTAAAGTTAATGCTAAAAATGTTTCAAACACTCACACTATCAAATTACGTGTAAGAGCGATTTAAAAAAAAATTAAAGTGACATCAGCATCAGATATTTAGCCTGTTTATGATCCATTTTAAGAAAATTTTATTTGAATGTATGTCCTAAATATCTTAACTTTTGAGATAAAGGGTGATGAAGTTTTCAAAGAAAAATAATTTTATTATTAATATCTAATCTAATCTGTAACTGTACGTCAATTTTCATCTTTATACAAGATGTTTTTTTTTTAATGGGTCATGTTGGGATTTACATGTCATGGTCAAATAAACGTCCACTACGTGCGACGTCCCAAGCCAGTCATATTTTACAACCTCTTTTCGACATCGAATTTTGGTTTATCGACAAAAGTCTATTTGAAATCGGCGTCATATCGACTAACGTTTGCTGCTTGAGATGTATCAGTGAGAGACATTTTTTAATGTACCATATTTTTCAAAATGTTCACTAGTGGCGTTCGTACGGAATTTGACCTATACCTATTTTCGCCACTGATTTTCGTAAAAAAAAAACAGTTTCTCTGAATAGAATAGAATAGATTAGGATTATTTTCGGACATTTAACAGTAGGTACAATAATTCTTAATCTATATATTTAGGTAGGTAGGTATGTGCAAGCCAATAAATCATATGTGTCGCTGTCTAGGCAGGGCACCTAATAAACAAAACATTAAGTATTGAAAAAAAAAAAGAAAAAACAACACAACATGCTAAGATCTGCAGAGAAGGCGACTAATATTTAAAAAGAAAAAAAAGATAGCAATAATAAAAAGTTTAAAATGACCTTAACAATAAATAGACATAATATAATATGGTGATTTTTACAAACAAGAAACCACTAACGAAAACAATCGTTAGATCGATTTGATTTGTCTTCTGAAACCTTCCAATCCAATATTGAAAAGATCCATATTCAATTTATTTTTTCACAGCATTTGCCAGTCTTAAAAATCTAGTTATCGTACCCATAATTAGTACGATGATACTGTACATAAAATAGTCTATTGTTTCTTATGCTATGTGGTACATCAAAACCAACCAAAGATAAGAGATGAGGTGACTGGATTATTTGGGTTAGAGTTTGCATGTTTACAAGTTTTAAGATATCATCATAATTAATAGAGTCATGACTAATATTAAGTTTGTATGCAACATTTTAAGAATCTTCGTTGTACCCTCTCAAATTGGTACTTATGTTTACTGTAAAAGGGGTACCAAACAGGACTTGCATACTCCAGAATTTGGCGAACTATAGCTGAATAAACCCTCCTCAAGGTGTAAATGCTATTAAAATCTCACAAATTCCGCCTTACAAATCCCAATAATCACATGGCTTTATTGGACATTCTTTCAATATGTACAGGAAAATTCAATTCGACATCTATATAGAAATACGCCCAAGATCTCTAATAACATAAACCCTATCAAGTTCGGTTCCATTTATCAAAGTATTTAAAAATAATAGGGCTTTTAGATCTATGGAAAGACATCAGTTTGCACTTATCAACGTTTAGTGCCAAATGATTGTCTTCACACTAGCTGAAGAAATTGTTAAGTTCCCCTTGCAAGATTTCACAGTCATGGATATTTTTTATAGTGACAAAGACTTTCATGTCATCAGCAAAATTGAGAAATTTACAGTGTTTAAAAACATTATTAACATCATCCAAGAAAAGATTAAAAAGGAGTGGGGACAGATGCCCACCCTGCAGAACACCAGAAGTGATATTAATCTCTGATGAGACTGAGTTTTCTATCTTCACTTTCTGTTTTCTTCCTGAAAGATGGTCAATCACCCACCTCAAAAATGATCCATGAAACCCCATACTTTCCAGCTTTCTTTCCAAAATTTTATGTGTCAAACGCCTTGGAGAAGTTGGTATATATTACGTCCATCTGATATCCCTCCTCCAATGCATCAAACAGAGCTTGCTTAAACTCCAACAAGTTGGTGACTGTGGATTTGCCTTTAATGAATCCATGTTGTTCTGGTATAATAATTATATTCTTGAATAGAGGAGTAAATTTATCTGTAACTATATTGACTCAAAAATCTTAGAAAATATAGAAATTTTTGAAATTGGCCTGTAATTCACAATGCTGTAATTGTCACCACTCTTAAAAATTGGGGTTACAAAACTAGTTTTCCAAATCGTTGAAAAAATTCCTGTGGACAATGATATATTGTAGATTTCACACAGGATGTAAGAGAACAAGTATATAATATGCTTTTTGATGACAGAAACAGGGATACCATCTGGACCTGTCCCTAAGTTATCCTTCAGCTAGGAAATCTTATTATGCATATCCATGAGATTAATGGACAAAAAACCCGAATTACCAGTGGACAACATCACAACACATACTAAAACTGTTTGAATCATCATATACCTTATTATATACGGAGCTAAAACGATCTTTAAAAATCTCTACAATTTCCGCAGGTGAATCTGCTTTCTTATCTTCCAAACTCATACAGCTGGGAAAACCTTTGGAATCTTTTTTAAATCTTATGTAACTCCAAAACTCATTTTTATCTTGAACCCTATCCTCTATGCTAGTGTTTCTCAATTTTCTGTAGAGTGAGGAACCCTGAGCGCACTTTTTTTTTCTAGGGAACCCCTACCACCCTGAGTAGGTAAAACTTACTGTTTGTCAGTTTGTCAATATCGGGTTCAATATTTGAAAGTTGTATCCTGGTTGTATTCGCATATCTGCTTCAGGATTTAGTTTACTTCTCAAGTCGTTTTTTTTTGAGAGCATAATTCGAAAACCTTACTTCACAACGGTTAGTTGTACCAAACGGCAACAATTTTTTAACAGCAAAATCGGTTAATTCTGGATATTCGCTTCTAAGGTTGGTCCAAAACTACAATTAAGTAGCCAAGTTTGAAGTAATTTTAAAATTTCCATCAGCGAAAAGCTTAATAAGCTGTCCAATTTGTTTTACAGAGTTTCATAAAGCTTTCTGACTTGGACTAAGAACAGATTGTGAACCCAATCAAGATACTCTTCTTGCCTTGGGAAATATTCTTTGATTGAAACTTGTAGGTATTTTTAAATCTTTCGACTGCTTGCGGAACCCCAATTGCCCGTTTGCGGAACCTTGGGGTTCCGTGGAACCAAGTTTGAGAATCACTGCATGCAATCCAAGTAGTTTTGATGGCTGATGGGGGCATATTGTTTGCACTACACACGTAGCTGTGAGAATCTATAGTAATCTTCCAAAGAAGATGTTTGATTAAAGTTTTTGTGTGCAGCTTTTTTGTTTAAGATTAGTTCCTTTAAAGTATCACCCATCCACTTTGGAAAAATGGAATTCTTATTCCTACTTAAAGGAGTTGTTAATTTAATAGCATTATTAAGTATATTATAAAACGATTGACTCAATTTCTCCAAGTCATCAATTGAAACTACCCCAATCAAACATTGATAATACCAGCTCGAGTTCTCTATGATTGCATAATTTAAAATTATAATAATAATCAAATGATAATTTTTCCAGAGAGCAATTTATCTACAGGTCAAATTCAAGCGCTGGATGCGGTTTGTCCAATTTTAACAGTGGGCTTAGACATACACTTATTAATAATAAGGTTCGTAACATTGCTAAATATCAAGTTTAAAATGTTACCATATTGATTTGAAATCTTATTAAGTTGTGACAAATTAAGAAACTAACTAAACACCTGGTTTCATCAGGGTCAACCCGAATGGTTTGCTTCATCATCATCTATCCATGATACTTTTGGCCTGTTAAAATCGCCACAAATATCAAGATTGTCGGTGTAATGCCTTTCAAAAATATTCAACACAGAAGGACAATACCTTTCGTACACTCCACATGGTGTGTCAGGGGGAATATAAACATTTCCAAACAAAATATGCTTTTTTTCCAACTTCACCATTATAAAGAGCTGCTCTAAAGAATCTATGAGGGATTGCAGTGGTTGACACTTCAGGTTTTTATTAACTGCAAATAAAACCCTACCTTGAGGCTTATGCTCCCTTGTTTTATTGGACCGATCCCACCTAAATATGATAAGTATATGTGTTCTGTAGCCCTAGCTCACTTTTGTATGAATGTCTTTGTTAAGGAATGTCTCTGTTAACAAGATTATGTCATAATTCTCAATAGATAGATTACATAAAAGTGTTTTTATTTTAGATTTTATCCCCCTTATGATATTCTGATAATAAAAACTCAGTTTTGGATGTTGTGGTTTTGGTTTGTCACTTGCTGATTTTCCAACCAAAAATTTGATGATCTGCCGTCATTTTGAGCATACGCATGTGAATGTGATCTTCTCGGAACATTGAAATTTAACTCGCGAAAACTGCACCCTACGGTCAAAAACTGTTCTTACCTACTACAGCGTCAGAAAACTTATCTTCTACTCCAACCTTAAAGGATTTTATTCCTCTATCAGAACGAAGTTCTTTACTGCATATGTATTACTGGATGTTTTTGCTTGAACAATCTGCAGATATTCTTCCTAGATACAGCCATTTTTTGTTAGAGAATGGTACACACTTAATTTGATTCGTATTATTTGTGTTTGTACCCAGTGAAGATAATTTGTTGGCTTGTTTGCCCAAAACCCCCTGCATGGTCATAACAATGGCTCATATGAATAGAGAGGTTTTCTGAGATAAACATGTTCAGCTTTAGTGCAGCAAAAAGAGACAGAGGTAAAGAAAAAAAAATTTGCTGCACTTTATTCATACAACTCAATATCGTTAATATGACTCACCATATGCCACCAGGGTCCTTATTCTTGAAACGGGGTTCCAGCGATCTCATATTTATATTCCTATAACACTGATAAAGACAGAGCTATCGCTCTTGTGAGAACGCTGCTCCTCAGTTTTGAGAATTGCCCCCTGAATAGTTTGAACTTTGATTTTCATTGGCTTTTGCTTGCTTCAAAAAAAATTATCCACAGATCAAGATCCTGTTAGAATCAGAATTTGAACTTTTGATTGGCTAGATATTTCTACCAGAATCATTCAAGAACCAATAATAGGCCAAATTTTGATTATTGTCAACTTTTATATAGGGTGACTAGTAAGTAGACGTATTCCTTTGAGGAGGTGAAAGTAGAGCCCATTTGCTACCGATTAAACATCATTTACCTCTATACCATTCTCAACAGTTTTTGAAATATTTATTCTATTTTAATTTCCAAGAAATTCGCTTCTTTGCGCGGTAAATATTTAAAATTAAGAAAAATAATAAAAGCAATTTTAAATGTCGCTTTTTAAATTATGAGCTGACACACACAAATATTAGCATTGAAAATTATTGAAACAATAATATTAACTATTAAATTATTTCGGTTTAAACTTAACTTTTCTTGTCAAGTTACAAACTAATGGTTACTTTATGCTAAAAAATTTCAAAAATTTCATAGTGCATCAAACGTACAAATTATTAATAAGATTTCTCGATATTATTGTCTTCAGAATAAGGCACATTATTTCAAAATTAGTCTTTTGTTTTATTATTAAATAAATAAGTTTTATTTGTAAGAGTAACCAATATGAAGAAAAAATTACTCGATTTGTTTTTAATACCAAGTGTTACAATAGAAATGTTGTTAAATATTGGTGCTTAACATTTACCTGAATGTATGTTCCTTATTATTTCGGTAATTTTAACTATTTACCTCCCAAAAAAGTGAATTTCTTAAAAATAAAAATAAAAAATATCTCCAAAACCGTTGAGAATGGTATAGAGAAAAATGATGTTTAATCGGTAGCAAATGCGCTCTACTTTCACCCCCTCAAAGGAATACGTCCACTTACCAGTCACCCTGTATATTTTTGAATAGTTCTCATAATAGCCAGAATAGTCCAAACTTTGATTTTTATTGGCTCTTGATTACTTTGAGAAAAATTATTCAAAGATCAAGAGCCTGTAATAATAAAAATTTGAACTATTACCGGCTTTTGATTGGCCAGTTATTTCTACCAGAAACATTCAAGAACCAATAATAGGCCAAATTGTGATTATTGACAACTATATATTTTTAAAAATTTCTCAATTGCCACTAATAGTCAATTCTTTGATCTTCACTGGCTCTTGATTGCTTAGAGAAAAATTATCCAAAGATTAAGAGCCTGTAATAATCAAAATTTGAACTATTACCGGCTGTTGATTGAATCATAACAATATCCTTAATATTTCAGAAAATATGGAATATAAATCGGAACAAACAGTCGAAATTACAATGAGCGATGTAGCAAGTTCCGATGACGAAGACGCCTACGATGTCGAAGACAACAAATTCGAGTTTGTATTTAACTTTCAACAAACCCTCACAAACATTTCTGATGTTGTATTTTTTCAGAATTCATACCGAAAATGCATGTTTAGTAAATACAAAAACGGACCCTGATGAGGAAAATCTAGATGACAATAATATGATAATTAAAACAGAAAATATCAAACAAGAAATTAATACTGAAGAAGATGTTTTAATGAAAGCTGAGTTTGAGGACACAATATTAATGAAGACTGAAGAAAATAATAACGAAGATATATTGTCAAATCAAATAAACGTTTTAATTAAACAAGAAATTGATGATATGGAATTTAGTGACAATTATTTCAAGCGAAGGTAAGTTTAAAAAATACATCTAGCAATGTTTTAAGTAAATATGTATATTTCTTATTCAGAAAAAGTGATGACGAAGATGTTAATGTCGATCAAATAAATTTGGCTGAAAAACTCAATCATTCTCCTCCTAGGCTTGAAAATGATAAAAACAACAAAAGAACTTCAAAAACAAAAAAATCCAACCATAAGCTTATTCGCTGTGAAGATTGCGACTACACAACAACCAAAAAAAATTCTTTCAAAAGACACGAGAGGTACCACAAAGACCCATACGAGCAGATTTGGTACCATTGCACAGAGTGCAGCTACAAAACTATGCAAAGGAGCCATCTCAGACGCCACGATATGGTGCATAAGCCAGCTAGTGAAATGAAATATTTCACTTGCGCCATATGCGAATATAAATTCAAACAAAAGTGCACTTTGAGAAGGCATATTAAAGATGTGCATTGTACTAATACATCAAAACCAAATCCATTCTATCAGGAGCTTTTTGAGTGCGCTCAATGCCCTTATACAACTTCCAGAAAAGGCTTATTGGTGACGCACATGGACAAACACAAAGATGTGCAATACATTTGCGATATTTGTTCGTTTTCGACGAAATATCGCAGAAATTTGAGGGTGCACTTGGAAATTCACGGAAAATTCGATTTGTTAATACACGAGTGCAATATTTGTAAATTTCAGACTAGAATGGGGTATTGTTTGAGGAGGCACTTTTTGTCCAAAAAACATTTGGCAATGGTCGGGAAATTAAACGAATATTGTCCTAGGCCATTGAAAATGAAAGAAGATGTTTGAAATAGTCAGAAACTCACTTATATTGGATGGAGTTATACCATCTATAGTCAGTTAGGTTTATTTTTCCATGAGATTGTTTATTAATGTTGTACATATAATGTGATATTTTATGAGTTTTATCTACATCAATAAACATTTTTTATATTTACTTATATGATAATTAATTTGTCTACCAATTATTTTCTAATTTGTATCTCTTTGTTTGGGGGATTAGGAGGACTCTTATGTTAAAATAAAAAGTACAAAATTGTGTTCAGCAACTTTCTTTTTGGAATTATTCAAACAAAAATAACTTCTTTTTTTAAATAGCCTTGATAATTTATTTTACAATATTAAACTTTCTTTTTTGGCACAAATCTGTCCAAAACATTGAAAGGCTTCTTTTTCTTTTTGCTGTCTTTAGCTTCAGGCAGGATATCTTTAGTTGCTTGAATAAACTCCTGAAAAATCATTGAAACAATAAAATCCAATTGATATGAATAGAATTACTTGTTAAGAAATATACAATTACCTTCTTAGCTTCCTCTCGTAAAATTTTCTTATTCCTGGCAAGTTTAACCGACCCTCCTTTGCCTTTAGCTTTATTTCTAGGCTCGTAATTGATCTTTGGAGGTTTCACATACTAAAATTTAAAAAAAAAATCAATAACAGTCAAATAGATGTGCATTGTATTTTTACCAATAACTTCTTCTTAGCGTCAACCTTGTCTCTCAAAGTTGCCACATCTACTTCAGCTATAACCGTAGGATCCAGTGTTATCAACTCAGGCTGAATCTGTAAAACGAAAACAATTAATAAAAAATTAATTATTACATAATTACAAATTTACCTTCTCCAATAAGGCCTTGACTTCAGACTCTTGCCGTTGTTTCTTGGATTGGAAGGGATTGGCCTCATAAGTATCAAAGTTGGGCTCGCCAGATCCAGGCACTAATAAACTTGTAAAGCCTCTGGCAGTGGCGACTCCCAAGACATCTTCGTACGGACAGAAATTGAAGTTTCCTTCAATAAAAATGGGAAAAAAAAATTATTACACAATTTGATCTTGAACAAACAACCCGAGTCAGAAAAAACTTGGATGTAAGAGTTTGTTACAACAAAAATCAGAAATTAATTTGAATTATCAAAAAACCTCAGCTCAAACTGAAGAGTTCAAGATGAGTATCTTGCTTGAACGTCAAATTTGGTTGTAACAACCTTCTGAAATGAATCAGAGTAAAATTGAAACCTTCAAAAGTAATTATGTGCAAGCTGGTTCTTCGAGCATCCAATTGCCAATAATTAATTTCTGAACCAATGTTTTAACAAAGTTTTGGAGTAATTTTTTGACAATTCCAGTGATTTCTGCAGCGAAAGCGCTAAATAGCGTTGGCAATTTTCCCAATAATAATTCTATAAAAAAAACTGACTAGTTCCTACCTATAGGATTGTTAAATCTATGCCTCAAATATGGTCTTTTGGCAGCTTCTGTACAACAATCCCTGAAATGGAAATGAAAATTCTAACAATTTTACAAACAAAATACAAACTTCTCACCTATAAACTTCAACAATATTTCCCATCCCTACAGCCAGCATTTTCTTTTGCGAAAACCCTAAATTCGTTGCAGCACTTACAAGCTTATATTCTTGCACAGGACCTTCCAATTTCCGTATGTCCCAAATTTTTAGCTCCCTATTACTAGCCGATGTTGCCATATACCTTAAAAAGTATTTTTTTTAGTAAAATATTACTTGATTATCTATTAATAAATCCATACATTCCTGTTGGATCAACATGAGCGGCAACAATGGGTGCCTTATGGCACAACATTTTAGCCAAAGGTTCTCTGGAATTGGGGCTCCACATTGACACTACACCTTTAGCATGGCCCAAACACAAACAAGCATTCCAAGGATTTTGAGTTAGGACACTTAAACGACCCAAATTAGTGTTGTATTGGGACGTTAGCTTGCCTATTGAGACATCTAGCCAACTTAAATAACCTTCATCACTCTAGAAAAACTATTTCTAGAAAACTTTTAAAAATATATTATGAAGTTAGACTTACACAAGTCCCTAAAAGAAAATGATAAGGCAAAAATTCCATTCTAGAAACTTTGTTTAATCTTTTAACGCAATGTAGCTCTATGCCTTGATTATCGTAAATGTAAACCCAGTCTTTTTGAGCTACAGCAAACATGGTTTCTAAATGCAAAAAGCTCACATCATGTACAGCTTCCATTACATTTATTTCACAATGTAGCTTTTTTGTGACCCAATCAAAAGCTGCTACGTGGCCTTTTTTACCTCCCAAAACCATGTGACGACCATTTTTAGTATATTTTGATCTAGAAATTTTCTGTACTATAATTTATCTAGTTATAATAGATCAAAAAAATTCTTACCTGTATGGACCAAATTCCAGGTTCAATTGAAAAGATTTTGAAGCTGCAGTTATATCGACACTTTCGGCAATTTGTTTTTGTGTAAATTGTGTTGTAGTTTCTCCGCCATCGGCTTCTAGAAAACCTGCGTCTTGAGTTAACAAAATTTCCGTTTTTGCAGCAATATCTGTAGCATATTGAATTTGCTTTTCTTTGTGCTCGATTCGTTTTTGGTGTACGTTTGTCTTGACTTTTTTTAAATTGACGCCTTCGCCTTTCGAGTACTTGTCCAGCCATTCTTTGGGGACTTTGTATCTTTTTTTTTGAGTTTGTTGTTTGCGCTCTCCCTTGTCGGTTTTGAATATGCTCTTGTTTTTGTCGAATTTTTTTGTTATTTTGGTATGGTTTTTGCCTGTTCTGTTGTCCTCCCTGCGACGGCCCCATGGTTTCTTTTTGACATCCGAAACATCGAATTGGATGATTTCTGGGATTTTGGAGTTTTTTGGTGGATCTACCGAAGGGTTTTCGGGTTGTGTAAAGTACCTTGGAGTCAGCTAAGAACAATGGGTATTCAAATAAATATATATAAATAAGATACAAGTACTTAGACTTGCAACATGTTTTTCTAGGGGTTGAAAATATGAAAAAATTGGCTTTAAAAAGTTCGGAAGTGTTCTGGTCTGTAATAGAATTTTTCTGAAATTCTAATTTGGTTCTAAAGTGTTCTGTAGCATTTTACAATGTTCTTGAAAGTTCCAATTTGTCTGTCAATTGCAGGTGGATAGAGGATTGAATTGAAATTCTTCTGAAGCTTATAAAAGTTCTGAATGTATTCTTAAGTGCTATAGAGCATCTCAAAATGATTAAAAATGTTCCAAATTGGCAAAAGGGCATTCTGAAGCTTTTCAAAATAGTTTCTAGAGTTTTCAATCGGTTGCTCAATGCTCTTGAAGAAGTTATCAGAAATGTCCTAAATATTCTTAAACGCTTTTTGGTGGCTCTGAATAAGTTCAGAAGTGTTTTAGAGTGTTCTTATATGTTCATGAAAGTTTTAAGTTAGTTCTGACAATTTTGAAGATATTCTGAAAGTTCCCAGTTTTAGATTGTTTCCAATAGTACCATGTGATTTATAGTGTTCTCCGAAAGTTCAGAAGTGTTTTGGTCTGTTCTAGAATGCTTCTCAAATTCTAAATTCGTTCTAAAGTGTTTTGTAACGTTTTACAATATATGTACTTAAAGGAGGATTGAACATTGAATTGAAAGTCTTCTGACGCTTATCAAAGTTCCAAATTGCTCTAGAGTAGAGCGTCTTAAAATGGTTGAAAATTTTCTAACCTGGCGCTAGCGCATTCTGAAGCTTTTCAAAATGCTTTCCAAAGATTTCAATTGATATATTAATGACTTTAAAGCACTGGGACTGGGATGTTCTTAGAAGTGTGAAAAATCTTCCAAATGATCTTGAGAGCTCTTTGATATCTTTGTAGGTATCTCATCTGTGTTCGAAAACGAAATCATAACTTTTTTTCTATTCTAGAAGAAATTTTCAGTGATTTAAATCCTCGTTGAGGACTACGATCCCTGAAAATTTCAGCTCATTTGGAATAGTTCCACAGATAAAATGGCATGAAGCAATTTAGGGTGCTACAATTTTAAACTATTAAAAGAAAGCTTACCTTTCCCATTACTTAATTAAATAAGTCAATTATTCAATCGATTATTAAAAAAATTAGTAAAAATTCCACACACATAAAATGATAAAAATGTTGTTTTTGGTTGTGAGGTTAGGTTTGGTTTGACATTTTGGGTTATTTTTTTTGAGTCTAGGTGATCCGATCACCTACTGTTTTTTTTCTATCCTTCTTTAAAATACACGATTGAAAAAAGAAAAATACAGCACTAGAGTAACTGCTAATCCGTTGATATCTTTTGACAGTTTGAGAAATGAGGTTAAGTATAAAAACTTTTGTTGATGGTACTTGTGTGATCCTAAAAAAAAGTCCAGAAGCTAAAATGCACAAACTAAAGCAATTTTTATTAATATTCCTCTTCGCCACTTTCCTCGTAATAACAGAATGTCACAACAAGTATTCCAAAGATTCCAATAATGTGGAAAAGCAGGAGGAAACTGAAAAACCCGCTGTCGACTTGAGACACATCTCTTTGAAGCACTTGGATAGACCGTTTAGGATGGCCAAATTGAACTTGTTATGGTCTAAAGCAGTTCATGTAAGTCGAGAATTAAATATTTTGAAGTCTTGAAGCAGTGTTGAGTCAATTACGAAGTTATTAGGAAGTCATTTATAGCTCTCCGAGTTGCTCTTCTATTTACTGGGTCCATTTACTGTGGAAAAGGTTTTCATGGATAGTGGATAACTTTTTATTCATAATATTCAACGGGTTGTTTAACCTTGCATTAAGTAGTTCTATATTTTCCTATAAATTCCTATAAATATATAGAATAGGGGTTATTCCTAAAAGCCGCTTCCATTACATGTTGTTATTTTTAGATCTTATGCCATAGGTATACCATTTTAATTAATTTGTCATTGTCTTGATATATTAATAAGTTTATTTAGCAATTCACTTCTTTTACAATTTATACTTAAAAACAATTTTCATGCTTTAAATAAGCCCTTAATTATTGAATTATTAAGTATTTTGAACCATACTGTCCATACTCGAGCAAATATTCTTTGTCTCCTAGTATAAAGAAGGCAGGAAAGAATGGTACCACAACATATAGAAAATGAGGCAAAATTATTATATTATAAACCACTTTTTCTGGATTCTAATTCAGTATTACCCGAGGTATTACCTATCAATAATAATATCTATATTTTTGTACTTGATATACCTATATTGCTGATGTGATGAATTCCCACTAGCACTAGATAGCAATCATACACCTTTGAGCTTTCAAATCAGTTTAGGTACAGCCTAATCACAGCCATGCAAACCCCCCAATGAAATGGGTTTTACTACGACTTCAAACCTGCTGACTTTAGAGTTATAAACGATTTCTTGGGTTCAATCTTATGGGAGGACCTGTTTTTCAAGAAGTCTATGTGTTCTATGATGTATTGTATAAAACTTTTGATATCTTTGTACGAATCAGAAAGATAGGCAGTAGAAGACTTCCCAAATGAGGCTAAATCATCATCTCTCACGCATGTTGCCGCCGTTGAGGGTGATTCCAGTGCTTCTTCTGTTAATTCTTTGGGATCCAGGGACTCTTTTGAAAAGCTCACAAAAACAATTATAATGGAACTTCAACAAGGTCTATAAACCCAGGGCCCCCACCAGACCTGAAGCCGCCCGCGTGCGATTTCATATTTTGGCGCCCCTTAGTTAGGGTTGGCGAATAAAAAAGCGCAAAGATTTTTGGAGTGGCATTGAGTCAATTGAGTAGGTTAGGTTGTCATGTTTTTTAATAACCACATAAATGATAATAGTCCAGAGTAATTTTGCAAGAACCAAAAGGAACATTTAACAGAAAAATTGACCCATTGGCTGTACAGAGCTAAGAGGCGATCTGGGTCCTTATTCTTGAAACAAGGGAGCAACGTTCCTAGGAAAACGAGTGTTCCGTCTTTCTCAATGATATGCAAATGATAATGTAAGTAACAAAGATGGGACACTCGTTCTCCTGGAACTTTGCTCCCCTGTTTCAAGAATAAGGACCCTGCAGCCTAATTCTCGCTCGATACGCACGAGAGGGCAGGGTACGGTTTTATTAATTTTCATTCTTTGTCTGACTCACATGAGATTTTACATGGAACTGAGTAGGACACGGCATTTGTTCCCAGTTCCTAGATAAGCGCCTGGCCTTTGAATAAAGACGAAAAGAATTGAAACACTTTAGGAAAAAAATTTAATTAATAAATTATATTACAATTTTTTTTGTATATATTTTTCTCTCGTGCGATTTGCCGCCCCTTAGCTATGCCGCCCGCGTACGCCGCACGCCTTTGCGCTTATGGTAGCGGGGGCCCTGTATAAACCTAGCAGTCCCAAGGTGGAAAAAAACTTCGGGAACTATATAATAATTAGGTGCTTTTTAGGTGCTAATTAGGGCCTCTAATTAAAAATTAGGTGCTCCTTTAGTTTTTGAGAAAAACAAAAAAAACTAAGGGACTGCTAGGTTTATAAAAGCTAGCAGTCCCCTATAGTAAAACATATTTTTTGTATCAGAATTAGGTGCTTTTTAGGTGCTCCTAAATAGTCGAAGAAAAAATAGAATTGATTAATTATTAACTGAATTACAGATTTTTTTTTAATTATTAGGGGACTGCTGACTTTACGTTTACATGTTGGTGTGTCAGAATGGAAAAAAAACTTCGGGATCTCTATAATATTTAGGTGCTTTTCAGGTGCTAATTAGGGCCTCTAATTAAAAATTAGGTGCTCCTCTAGTTTTTGAGAAAATCAAAAAAAACTAAGGGATTGCTAGCTTTATGAAAGCTAGTAGTCCCCTATAGTGAAAAATATTTTTCCAAAAATTTCTTTTGTATCAGAATTAGGTGCTTTTTAGGTGCTCCTAAATAGTCGATGAAAAAATAGAATTGATTAATTATTAACTGAGTTACAGATTCTTTTTTAATTATTAGGGGACTGCTGGCCTTACGTTTACTTGTTGGCCTTACGTTTACTTGTTGATGTATCAGAATGGCAAAAAAACTTCGGGATCTATATAATAGTTAGGTGCTGTTTAGGTGCTAATTAGGGCCTCTAATTGAAAATTAGGTGCTCCTTTAGTTTTTGAGAATGTTTCAAATGTATTCCAGTTGTGTAAATTTAATTTCACAAAGTGTTAATTGTATTTCAACTTTGTCAGTTGTAGTTCAGAAAACGTCATTTGTATTTCAGTTTGGTCGGTTATATTTCAGAAAAGGTCATTTGCATTTCAGTTTGGTCATTTGTATTCCAGAAAACGTCATTTGTTTTTCAGATTATTTATTTGTTGATCAGAAATTATAAATTGTATTTCAGAATCCGTCAGATGTATTTCAGATGTTATCAATGTAGTGTATTAAATGAAATTTATAATGGTTTGCCTACACACCTTGCTTGTGTTGATTTGGGAAAATCTGTTCTTATATTATTATTACCTATCTGAAATACAATTAATGATTTCTGAACTACATCTGACCCCGCATCTGACAAATTCTAAAATATAATTTACGTTTTCTGAAATACAATCAATGAATCTAAAATACAATTGACGCTTTCCGAAGTAAAATTAACTAATCTGAAATACATTTGACGCTTTCTGAAATAAAATATACTAATCTGAAATACAACTGACCCTTTCCGAAATAAAATTAAATATTCTGGAATACAATTGACGCTTTCCGAAATACAATTTACTAATCTAAATTGCAATTGACGCTTTCTGAAATTGAACTGACGGTCTCTGAAATACATATGGAAAAGGTGTAGAGGAGCACTTAATTTTTAATTAGAGGCCCTAATTAGCACCTAAAAAGCACCTAATTATTATATAGATCCCGAAGTTTTTTTGCTATTCTGACACACCAACATGTAAACGTAAAGCCAGCAGTCCCCTAATAATTAAAAAAAAATCTGTAACTCAGTTAATAATTAATCAATTCTATTTTTTCTTGGACTATTTAGGAGCACCTAAAAAGCACCTAATTCTGATACAAAAGCAATTTTTGGAAAAATATTTTTCACTATAGGGGACTACTAGCTTTCATAAACCTAGCAATCCCTTAGTTTTTTTTTTGATTTTCTCAAAAACTAGAGGAGCACCTAATTTTTAATTAGAGGCCCTAATTAGCAACTAAAAAGCATCTAATTATTATATAGTTCCCTAAGTTTTTTTCCACCTTGGGACTGCTAGGTTTATAGACCTACTTCAACATTCCGTTCAGTTTTTAAGTGAAAAATTTAATGAACTTAACTCAAGAAAACAAAAGGGTTTTGGACGAGCTAAAAGTGGAGAAAAAGGAAAATTCAGTGCTCAAAAGCGAGCTCACTAAAATGGAAGAAAGAGTTTCATTTATCTTGAAATGAAAGAGGTACATCGAACGTAGAAATTCAAGGTACCAGGTGAAAGATGAGAACCCAAAGAATATTTAAAAAAAAAATAAGTCATGACCTATTAAACTATAAACTGGAAGATCATGAGATTCTACAATCCATCAAGAAAGAAACAATTATTTCTGCGAAGCTTCTAAATATTAAAGTAAAATATGGCTTAATAGCCAGTAGGAAACATCGCACCATTGCTCTAAAATGTTGAAATGCAACATCTCGAAACCAGAATGTACTAAAAGTAAAATTTATGTTAATGAAGAGCTGACCCAAAGAAACAGGTATTCACTTAGTTTAGCCTACAAAATCAAAAAAGAAAAAAAGCTATAAATTCTGTTGGTCTAAAAATTTAGTCTATCTAGAGTCTATTTAAAAAAAAATGTGAGGACTCCTCAGTAGTTCTCGTTAACAATGAATATTCACTAGAAAACCTTTAAAATGGCTACTTTCATCAAAGAAATAAAGCATTTCGCTAGTCTAAATCCAGGGCCTAATACTTTAGGACAAAATTTTTCTATTTGATATTTGAATACTCAGGCCATTGGAAATAAGGTGAATAATATAGAAGCTTTGGTAAATAGTTTGAATCTTCCAGATGCTATTGTTATAGCTGAAACCTGGCTATCTTTAGACGAAGCTGCCCATTTTGGTTTTGATGGGTACAAATCAATTTATGTTAGTAGAGATAAGAGAGGTGGAGGCATTGGCATTCTACTTAATGACAAATACAACTTCAAAGAACTTGCAAAACATAACTCAAACTGTTCCATGATCTTTATTTTGGTGGAAGAATGTGATATTATTATAGGATTAATATATAGACCTCCAAACTTTGATTAAAATTTATTTTTGTTTATTTTTGCAAACGTGTGATGAAAAGTTGAATTTTATTTTTGATTAAAAAAAAAGAGATCCTGGATATTTGGAGATTTTAACTCGAGTTTTAACCTCAACATTTTAAATTCGAGCCTACAGCTCCAAATACTTCAGCTCACAATTGAGTCAAATGGATTTACCATAACAGTATGCCATCAAGAGTATCTCAACATTCTAATTCCTTAATTAATTATGTATTAACTTATAATAGTAATCGTCGTTATTATAAGTTTGTCTCTAATAGACAGTGCAATTTCAGACCACCTACTGCAATAAACGCAAAATGCAATAGTTATACAGTAAGCACTTTAAATAAAGAAGCTTTTAAGGCAAATTTAGCTGAAATTGAAACCTTAAACTAGTCTAATCCCAATTTATTATGTGATCAAATAATACGTTCTTATAATAACAATTTGCATAATAGACACTATAGAAATAGATTTCGTTCTAAAAGTGTTCCTTGGTATAACGTGAGACACTTTGAATTGATCAGGAGGCGAGATTTTCACTATCAACGACATAAAACGTTTCCATACAGTGCTTATTTACTAGAACAACAACTGTGCTAGAACTTTACAAGTCAACCCAAAAAGGATATAGAAAATCACTAAGGTAAAGTACCCAGTTGTTGACATGTTAAGGGTATCCTTGCTTATGATCACCACACATTTTCCAAATTTTTAATCCCAAGGCTTTGATATATTTTTTGGCGTGATTTCAAACTCATAATTAGATGTGTAGATATATTATTTACCCTATATTCCTATTATTCGTGTTATTATGCCAAAAACACCTGAAAGGTGATAAAACCCCAATAGTTGACACCCAAAAAAGTTCATTTCGCCAAAAGTTGACACATTTTTGATCCAAAGGTTGACATATATTTTTTTACAAAACCAAATTTTTACTTTTAAGAAATTTTATCACGGTCTGTGGAACTAAGAAGTATATTTTTCTAAGTGTACAATTTTTTAAATGAAATATATGCACATAATAACCAATTATTTTAATTTTTTTTAACTACATGTTGTGGTTCCATTACTTGACACTCTTGAAACCAATAGTTGACATGTTGCCTGTATCAGTAGAAACCCTGGTAGAAACATCAATAATGTAAGAATCAAACTTTTTATTAATAAAAAATAACATTGGGAACCTTTTCGTTGGGAAAAAAATACAAATTTTAATTCCAAATTGGTAATAAAAGAAATTGCTTGGAAAGCATTGGTACATTGTGTTTTTTTGCTGATGTAGCTGCAGTAAGCCCCCTATCGCAATCATCCAACGCAGCAATCATGTCTTCTGGTAGTTCTGGTGCATATTTCAGAAATTTCCATTTTTCATGCGTCATCTCTTGATTTAAACCTGAAAGCACCAATTGTTGACACTCCAAAGCTCCAAACATTGACAGGGGTAACAGGGGTGTCATCTATTGGATCTACGACCGTTACATTCCCCAAACCCATATCTAGGTTTCTTTTTAATCCAGAGCAATAAAAAGAGACAGACTACAATGTTAAAATATTTTTACCGCCAAAAATCCACTAGTGTCAACATTTGGATCACCCCTCGATTTGGGATTCAATAGTTGACACCCCCCCTTAAAAAGTTTATACCAGTTGTTTAAGAGATAAAACAATAATAAATATGTATTACAATGTATCTTATTATACAGTAAATATATATTATTCATAATTTATCAACCCTACCTTAGCTTTGAGAACTTTTGTTTTTATATCTTCTTAACTATTTTCACTAGAAATCTGGGAAAAAATTCAAACATTTGCACCTGTTCACTACTTCTTACCACAATTTTGAAAAAAGTTGTCATTTCAAATCCATACATCAGCTATAGCCTGAAAAATGGCTCCAACAATACTATAAGCTATTTCAGTTAGCTTATAACCTATATGAATTCTTATTCTCGGGAATAATATGGTAATGTGTCAACTTTTGGGACCCTGTCAACAACTGGGTACTTTACCTTAATTGACTGAAAAAAAGCTTATTATAATGCCGAAATTAGTAAAGCAGGGAATGATGTTTAAACATATATGGAGAACACTAAACACTATAATCAACAACTTCAAACCCAAAAAACACCGCTTGCTTCCCAAGTTAGTACATAAAGAACACACTGTGCAGAACTCACAGGATGTTGCCAACTTTCTCAACCAATACTTTTCCGGAATTCCTGCAGAACTAGCAAAAAACATCCACCCAACAATGTTTTCCCCTCAACTCCCACCAGCTTCTACTGTCTATATAAATCAATGGGAACGTGACTACAGAGGAGGTCACTGTAGTTATAAACAAATTAAAATCAGGAAAATCACCTGGAACTGACAGCTTAGGCATTCAGTCAAGTAATTGGTAAATGAAATATTGCCTACCTTATGTAAGTTGATAAATCTTGTTTTTAATACTGCATGTGTACAAAGTCTGTTTAAAATGGCAAAGGTTGTTTAAGGGTGGTCATAGCACAGATCTAAACAACTACAGGCCCATTTCCTTGCTCCTAGCTATGTCTAAGGTATTGGAGACCTGTGTAAATGAGAGATTAACCAGCTATTTGGATGAAATAAATTTTTGGTATGCGGGTCAATATGGATTCAGAAAACACAGCAATACCTCCTCAGCAACTACAGACCTAATTACAAATATTTATGAAAAGGTTTATAAGAGATATAAGTGTGTCCTTGTCTCGCTGGACTTAAGAAAAGCTTTTGATACAGTAAATCACAAATTTCTTGTGGAGGTTCTTGAGAAAACTGGTATTGGAGGTTCAGCACTATTGTGGTTTAGGAATTATCTATCGGGCAGTAATTAAATTTCGCAAATCAAAAGAATTTCATTATGCAAACCTCTTTGCTGAACTAAATATGTCAACTTTTTCCTGCAGAAGAAAGCAAAGATACCTAAAAACTTAACACCTCAAACACTCGCACAACTCAAACATTCCACCAGCAATTCCATAGAACCAATTATAGATCATTCTTTCATTCCTCGTATTCTTAGGCAATTAGCTGAGTGAACTTGATTTCTTTGAGCCATATGAACCATTTGCATGGACTGTTAATGGCCTTTCTATATGAAGTGTACTAGTTTTAGAAAGTGTCATGATATGTACAATTTATTTAAGTTTATTTTCACCTTTATCTCACTTTTATATTTATTTTTTGTTTTTTCCCATTTTAATTTAGTCTTTAATCAATTAACCGATCATTTTATCCATGAAAGTTCTCATTTAGAGATTAACTGACCCTAAACTCCAATCTCTATTTGGCGAGTTAAAACTTCACGATAAAGAAGAAATTACATGGAAACACTTGAGAGCTGAAGGCAAAGACAAGGACGGCCTAAAGGAAGCAAAACTACGCGATAAGCTAAAGACAATCATGACAAATTATGGTTTACTAGATCAGATTGATGATATTGATGATGAAAAGAAGGTTTTCCCTTACAAGGTAATAAATGAAACCCTTAAACAAAAGTACTATACAAGCTATTTTATTTAGGCCCTTAATGAAGCATCTGATAAACATATAAACAAAAGCCTATTTAAAGACAAAAAACTAAATAAATTATGGGAAAAGGCCGCCATGGCGGGTTTTAGTAAAGACGAATTGTCAGCTTTACGTGAAGAATTTCACCATCATCAAGATAAAATTGATCAGTATTATTCCTTACTTTATAAAGTGAAAGGTGATCCAAATGATCACATTGAAGAAAGAGAACTAAGTAGGTTTGTGACTTGAATTGTTCAAATAAAAACTTACTAGTTGTTTTTTTTTAAAGATTCTCTGGATGAATCTCTAGATAAATACAATAAAATTGAAATAATGGAAGAAAAGGAACCTAATAAAGATTACTTGGAAAAAGCTAACATGATTAGAGACCATCACAAACAAATCAAAGACGGTTTTGAACATTTAGATCGATTAGCTGCTGCAGGACCTGCTAGTAAAGAATTTGTTGAACCTAAAGTACAAGGTAAAAAATAAACTTTCAATTTTTTTTCTTCTAAATATTTAAATTTTAGGTTTATGGAGAATTGCAGTTGAAAGTAACTTCACCAACTCCGAACTGCAATCTTTGAAAACGGAATTGTTCCATTACGAAAATAGGTTGCTCAAATTGCGTCATTTGCAAGCAGAGCATGCTATAAACGAGGACAAACATTTAAAAAAGCAAAAATATTCTGGCGGAAAATCCAACGGCCACAAACTGATGGAGGACAACATCAAGAAGCACGCGAGGAAAGTGGATAAGATTCATCTTGATATTGAAACGAAAATTATGCAAAGGCATATTGAACTGTAATAATTTAGGAATCTCAAAAAAAATTATTTGCCAAAGTTGATCATTATTTTTATGTAGAATAATTGTGCATTTATTTTTGTGTTTGTTGTTTATACTAATAATTATTTAATTATATAAAAATCGTAATAATATTGAAAACTGGATAAAATAAATATTGTTGCAAATTGTGCGAAATTGAGACTGGAAAATCCACAGGTTGGTAATCGATGAAAGATTTTAAATTGAAATTGAAAGATATCGAAACTGAAAAGGATATTTTTTTACTTTACCTGGCTTTACTTCCAAACTCCACTCAGTTGGCCAGCTCTTGCAGGAAGTTCAAGTCCAATGCAAAGGAGTACAAACGAAACAGTTTTAATTGAACCGGTCGCGGCAAACGATAAAACCGCAGGTCTATTCTCTCGAACTAAGGACTTTGCAGCTATCCTTTTTCAGTGTGCGCGCATTTTTAAAAGCCAAATTTAGCAAAGTCATATCATTTCTTAGGCATATAGCACGCGCAATTCAATTAGAATTAAAGAAAACAAAAATAAAGAGAAGAAAAAACGAATCCATTATCATTCCTAAATAGGATTTGACATCTTAAATACCCAATTTAACCTACAACTATATGCAGGGCGCGAAGATGAAACTGATCACAAACTATTGATGTCAACCATAGCCTCAATGAACGGGATTAAAATGGGTATATCTACTGATTTCTTAAAAAATAAAGCAATAAAAACTGAAATTAAAAAATCTCTTTAATTTTTGAAAAAAAAACCTAAATATTAAAGAGAGACTAACAGAGAAGACTCTATATAAAAATTATTAATCCTTTTTGCTTGATCCTTTGTACTCAATCCAATCAACAAACCCGTCAAAATTCTTATCACTCTCCTGTAAAAATTCATCCACCATATTCGATAAGATTTTATCATCGTAATGTTGACCGATTTTCTCATGCGTACCCGCGTTTTTATCTTCTTCCACTGAAACAAAAATAATACCAACAAAGTGCAAAAGAAGTTCTAGAGTGAAACTCACGACCCAGGGCAAACAATAAGCAAACAAATAATTAGAAATAATGGAAGCTTTAAAGTAAAAAATAATTTTATTTGTTTAGCACACAAATATTTACAACAAGAAAAAACAATAATTGCATTACCCATTTCACAACCCAATTTTTTAAATAAAAAAAAAAATACATAGGACTTATTTTCAATAAAAATCTATTTTCAATAGGATTTAAACTTATGATCGAATCAAGAGCCAGAAATATGTAGTTCAAATTTTGATTCTTACAGGCTGTTGATCTTTGGATTGACAATATCCAAAATTTGGCCTATTATGGTTCTGGTAGAAATATCTAGTCAATCAAGAGCCAGTAATAGTTTGAATTTTGATTCTTACAGGCTCTTGATCTTTGGATAATTTTTCTCAAAGCAATCGAGAGCCAATGAAAATAATTCTGGCTATTGAGAACTATTCAAAAATACATAAAAGTTGACGATAATCAAAATTTGGCCTATTATTGGTTCTTGAATGTTTCAGGTAGAAGTATGTAACCAATCAAGAGCCAGTAATAGTTCTAAATATGTTCTATAGTAATAAATGGACGAAAATTATTTAAACAATTAATAATTATATACATCAATCAGTTCTGACTTTGTAAAAACTAGTTATCATTAGCTGATTTTGATTTAAAATTAATGACAAAAATTTCGCATTTGTGTCAATTATTTGAGAAAGTCCACTTGGAATGTAAAAGAAATCTCAAAATTATCCTACATTAAATTTGTAAGCCCAAACTTAAAACTAGGCTTCAGGGAAATATTTGAAGAAAAAAAACAAATTACTGTTTATTATCACTAAAGACTTTTTGTGAAAATTCCACCCAACTAATAAAACCATCAAAATTATGATCATAATGTCCCAACAATTCGTTAACAGTGTTTTCGAGTGATTCGTCTGACCAATTTTCCATTTCTTGAACGTGTTGCTTTTTTTCACCGCGATCAGCTAAAAAGTAACATAAAATTGCACCCGATATAAACCTAAAATTTTTCAAGCCACAAAACATGCAACAACAAAAATACCTTACTGTTGTGGCTGAGTTTTTTCTTTGGATCCTGCAGCCTTTTGTTGCGCCCTAATAAATTCCGGATAATCGATGTATCCATCCCTATTACCATCGTCAACGTTTAAAATGGGATCAATCAAGTTGACTAGTTCTTCATCTTTGAAAATTTTCTCTTCTATGGTGCCCTGCTTTTCTTTGCTACCCTGTTCTGGGGAACGAGACAAAAACCAAACAGTACAAAAGCAAAACGACATTGAACCAAAGTCCAAAACCGACAATTATATGACTTACCGTGCCAATGAATTAAGGATTTGATCAACTCGCAACCATCCAATTTGTTGTTATTGTCGGCATCGTGCATTTTGAAGTAGTGAAATTGCAGTTCTTGATCTGTCATTTTGCTAGTATCTATTGGAACTTCCATGTGTTCTTGAATGTGTCTGTAAATTTAGTAAGATAATAATTTATATTATGCAATGTGTGTAAGACATTGCACAAGTTATCAGAGATGGACTGGGCCTGAGGACTGGGCTGCTTATGATGATGAACTTATACCAATGTAAAAATAAAAATACTCACTCTCTCTCATGAGCAATGTTTCCAGAGTTGAAAACTTGCCTATCTCCTCCATGGTGGTGACCATGACCACCTTGTGGCTAAAATTAATATTTTATTTATATTCTGTGTGTAATAAATTTAATTAAAAATTACTTGTTGTTGAACAGGGACTTGTTGTGGTTGAACAGGGGCTTGTTGATATTGTTGTACTGGAACCTAAATATACAGAGAAATGTAATGAACGTAGTGAGGCTTGCAATACTGCTGAAGCACAAAAAAGTGCTTCTACTCCGTATGCAACACGCTATTTTTTCTCCAAACGAATGTGGTAAGCTCGGAGGTAACTGGATGGTTGAGCGGCAGTAAAAGTACGAGCGGCACTAAAAGTACTTTTACTGCCGCTCCAGCGGCACCAAAAGTACTTTTGCTGCCGCTGGGGTTGCCAAGCAGCATAGAAATTAAATTTCTACCACCTCGACAGGTGTTAACCTCCTGGATTTGCCTAGCAACATAGAAATTGAATTTCTACCATCTTGACAGGTGTTGACAAAGTGATGTTTTTTTGACGTTTGGAGAAATTTTTTTATTATTTTTGTTAGTTACCTGTTGCTGTTGATACTGTTGTTGAGGGACTTGTTGTTGGGGGATTTGTTGTTGAACGGGCACCTGTGGCTGATATTGTTGCTGTTGAGGAACTTGCTGATATTGGCCTTGCTGCTGATACTGAAATAATGTGGTTTTTCAATGTTTAATGAAAGTTTGGGTTATAAATTGTATCATCTGCATAAGCAAATTTTTTTCCAGGAACTTGAATGTTACACAGGGATACAGATGCATAGTTTTTTCAACATAGACGATAATGAAGTGATTTCACAGTTGTTATCTGCTATGCCAGAGTGTTTTCAGAATGTAACACCAGCAATAGACATCATGTTTTGCCAGAATCAAAGTGCAGTTGACATAAGTGTTGTGGAAAACAAACTTCTAATGAAGGTGGCCTGACAACTGAAGAAAATAGATGAAGAAGGAACAAATACTGTTTTTCTGTCAAAGTATAACAAAAAAGGCGGATGGAGAAAGCCTGGAATATATAGAGGTGATTACAATAATCCTGGAAATTAGTCGGGAAATTCTGGTGTTAATCAGAGTTTAAATTTCCCGTTCAAGTGTCATTTGTGTAACCAGACAGGGCACAAAAGAGCAGAATATTCACAAAATAAATATAGGAACAATGAATATAACAGTGATAGGGGGGATTTTAAGGGAGGTTTCTCAAATTTTTCTCACAGATATAAAGCTAATAATGTTCAGGAAGCAAGTAATGCACAGGTGGAGGAAGACATTTTTATCATCAGAGGATTGTTTGGTCATGTAATACTGGAAGTGATAATGTGTTTTGTTGTTGACAGTGGAGCGACAAATCATTAAATCACAGAAAAATTTGGAAAATACATACAGGAAAGTAATAATATGTTTCAAAAGATGAATGTGGCTGAACAAGGGCAAGTAATCACAACGACAACACATGGAATTTTAAAATTACAAACCGAAACTGGAAAACATAAAGTTAACTGTGAAAGATGTTTGGGTATGTGATAATTTACTCTATAATCTATTATCTGTGAGAAAATTGGAAGAAAATGACTTTGAAGTAATGTTTTTTGATGAAAAGGTGACAATTATCAAAAATGGAGTTACAATACTTGAAGGAGTGTTGAAAGGAAATTTATATTATACACATTTTAAAATAAATCAATATACCTAAGTCTACAGTAAATTTGACAAGTGAAGATAAAATATTGTTGCATAGAAAAATGGGACATTCAGCAAAATACCCAGCTCCATGTTTGCGTAGAAATAACAAGATGCCTGCAATAATATGGAATTATGAGAAACCTGACGGACAAAATAAAGTTATTTGGGTGTACAGCATACAATTTGATACCAAAAGAAACAGGAAAGTCAAAATTAGAATCCAGATCAGAGAAATTAAAATGGTAGGATATGCTGATAATGGGTATGGGTTGTGGAACAAAAATCAGCGGAAAATTGTTACTGGAAGAAATGTGATTTTTGATGGAAAGAAGAGGGTTTTAGACAATCAATTTATAACTATACAAACTGAAGTCAGACCAAGAGTTAACAAAGAAAGAAGATGATCAAACAATAGAGAAAAATAGGAACATTCAAGAACAAGGACCAAGAAGGAGTACCAGAAGAACAGGTTTACCACATTATTTTGTCAGCAGGAAATATATATGAAGAAGTACCTAGAACATACACACAAGCAGTGGAACAAAGTTGGAATGAGGCTATCAATGAAAACTTGGACGCGAGCTTGGACGCTTTGGAAGAAAACAAGACTTGGACTTTGGTAGTACCACCAGAAAATGTAGAAACTATAGACTTGAAATGGGTATTCAGTAAGAAGGTTTTGGATGCAAAAGTGAAGAAGAAAGCTCGGTTAGTGGCGAGAGGATATAAACAAACTGTTGTGTTAGAAGGTTTTGGATGGAAAAGTGAAGAAGAAAGCTCGGTTAGTGGCGAGAGGATATAAACAAAGTGTTGTGTTAGATGACGTTTATGCACCATGCCAAGTATTAGACTACTGTTATCTTTATTTGTTACATATTATTTACATTGTTTACAGTTAGATGTAAAACTAACTTTTCTTGATGGAATGTTAAGAGAACCTGTTTAAATGTTTCTGCCAGAAGGTCTTAAAATTGAAAACCAAAATTTAGTATGCAAATTAAGAAAAGATCACCCTTTCAGTGGAGTAGGAAGCCAGAAATGCCCAATGACTCCAATTTTCTGATCAAGACTGATGTCAAAAGTTTTGTAGAAGTCGGTGTATATTAAGTGTACCTCTTCACCTCTCTCCAAAGCGTTTGTCAGTATGTCCAAGTAGGTAAGAAGATTAGTTTCTGTAGAAGAGTTCTTTTTGAAGCCGAATTGCTCAGATATAATTTCTGCACCCGATAATAAACTTTGTGATCATCGAGGGGTCGACCACTCACAAAAAAAATGTATAGTAATTTCCAGTTTCTGGGAATACATCTCAAATTTGACAGACAGTATTTCCAAGTATTCCTCCTTGTATTCCCTGGTATTTCCAAGTAAGGTCAACTTGGTTAACTGACACAATGAGGTAACTGGGCCATATGCCAGTTTTTGGTTTATTATTGAAATTTGAATTTACCACGCATAAAAATTTCTTGCATATGTGTCTCATTCATACACTGCATGTAGTAGAAAGAACGAAGAGAAAAATATTGAAATTTGTTACTTTTACAAAGTGTATCATAACAAAAAGTGACAGAAGTTTGGATTTCAATCAATGGTTAGTGAGTGATTACAGTTAATGATATATCATTGAGCATGTTTAACCATAAGAGAAAGATGTGAAGGTAAGCCAGGTTAGTTCTTAGTTTAGAATTTCAAGTAATGGAAACACAGCTTGGGTTCCAGTTGCCCTGGTAAAAATACGTACAGAGGCCACTGAAATGTATATGATGTGGCCAACTGGAACACTGGAAATTAACATTGTATTAAATGTTCTTGAGCTAATATAGTCAAGAAATATATCCGTAGAACCTCCAAAAGTGCGGACGGGGGAAGGTATACCAAGTTGGCTCTGAAAAAACCACTTGAAGATGTCCAAAACGCTAAGAGAACTGTGTTGCCGTTTTCAATGACATCCCAAGATCCATAATAAGACTGAATGAAGTAGAAGAAAAACTGTCAACTGTACTGAACACCATGCAAAAATGGAGATATGGATTACTTACAAAGAAAATAGGTTTATTATTTTATTTTCTGTTCATTTTACCATTTTTATTAGACAATTATCTATCCACCACTAAGTAATACTTTTGTTGCATCTCCCATGATTCTCAAGCAAATCAGTTCAATCAGTCGCCTCAGAATTATTACTATGTGAAAGCATACGAAAATAGGGGTCACTGTTTCAGTTGCCTCAAAATTAGGGTGACTGGAATTGTTGACCAAAAAAAAATTGGAACACTTAACCAGAACAAAGTGAAACACTGGCCCAGAACAAACCAGAACGAAAATGCACGCAATTCTCGAGATTTTAATGAAAATGACCAAAAAATATGTTAAAAGTGGGGTTGGAAGTTAAAGTAATTTACAAATACTTCCATGTATTTCCAAATTATTCCCATGTACTTCCAGAGTATCCCATATACTTCCAGCATATTTCCAAGGATTTCCAAGTATTTCTAGGTATTTCCAGAGTATTACCAAGTATTCCTAAGTATTTTCAAAGTATTTTCAGTAAAGTGTACAGTGATTTCCATAAGTGATTTAGCCTTCGGTGACAATATTCTCAAACACTTTTGGTAGGAATGTCAATTTTTATTAAAACACCGGTTTTTCCATTAACCGGTTAATTTAGTAACAGTTTTAACTGCCCGGTTATAACTGATATAAAACACTGGTTATTCCGATTAACTGGTTGTTCGGTTATTTTTCCGAATTTTATCAAAATAATTGCATAATTTATACTATAATGTAACATAAGTTAAATAACAACATATTTTTATTGTAAAAAAAAAATTGGGAACTATTACATGTTAAGAAAAGGCATCAAAGAATGCCTACACTTTTCTAAACTAATTGATTCTCTTCTGTCATTTTAAACATGTACCCATTGACATGTACCTTAACCTACATGTACAGGGTGTCCAAGATTCGATTGTTTTAGCAGATTTCGGGTATTTCTAGAGGAGTTGGAAAAAATCTGACCCTCACATGTGAGCCTCGATTTTCAAGAGAAGTTGACCGGTGAAACCCGCATCTCGATATCTCGATTCGTTTTTAGGCTACAAGGGGAAAAGTGACCAAATTTTGATAAATATAGCCCCCCTGCCGATTTCCAAACTTTTCAAAAACTCCCCGTAGCATAAAAACGACTCGACATATCGAGATGCCGGTTTCACCAATCAATTTCTCTTGGAAATTGAGGCTAGCAAGTGGGGGTTAGATCTTTTACAATTCCTTTAGAAAACCTGAAACCCCCCAAGACCATCGAATCTTGGACACCCTATACATGTTTTTTTCAATCCCTGTTCATAACCGAAAGATGGAAAACAACCAGCTGCTGAACAAATTAACCGAAACTGAAATGAAATACTAGAGATGGACACTACTATCGGTTAGAAACTGTGGAAATATTCGACTGTTGTCGCTTATTCAATATCTTACAATTTTTTTAATATGCCGAGAGAAAAGTCTACTTGTTTCACCGGTTATTAGGTATAAAACCCGGTTATCCGGTTATAACTGGAAGCAAAAAACAACTGGTTTTAACCGGTTAAACGAAGAGAAAACACCGGTTTTTCGGTTTTAACCACCGGTTATTGACATCCCTAACTTTTGGGATGACGTTTAAAATACAAATAGGATGATAATTGACCATGTTTGCTGCATCTGATGATATATGAATTGGTAGTACGTAGCTGGTCTTCCCTTCTAGAAGTCAGGAATGATGCCTGATTGAAGTGAGCTGTTAAATATAGCATGTAGAGTAGGGGTCTACAAGAAGATAACACAAAGCAGCAGTTTTTTAGGAGTAGAGAATGGACGTTATGAGGACCAGGTCCATTTTGTGGGTCTACGATTTTTGATTCCCAAAATATCTGAGATTGAAATAGTGGAATTATTTAAATTATGAGGACTGAGCGATGGCTAGTGGGGCTCGGTTTTCATAAAGTATATTATATTAATTGAACTTTCAGTCATTAATACCCACAAAAACCCTAAATTATAAACCACTTTCTCCACGAAAAAAGTAGTATACATTGAACATATGTTTAAAACAAAATTACCTGTGGCTGGTTGGGTTGATAATGTTGCGGGTTTACACCGGGCGGCGCCCTTTGAGATTTAGCACCCCAAATTACCCCTAAAACTACTAACACTAATAAATGTTTTAACATTATAGTTTCAAAGAAAATAAATTCAACTTTCACCTAAAAAATGATTAGCACTTGAAAATAGTATGAGGTTAGGTTAAAAATAGACACGTCAGGCAATCTGTCAATAGACAAATTTGGCAACGTGGCAAGATTACGTGCGAGTATATTCATCCTTTTTCAACAATATAGGAAAGAAAAGAGCATGAATATATTTAAGCAAACAGCTGGAGGTTTTATAAACAAAACAAAAACATAACCTCAATATATTTTTGTTGAAAAATTCCATGAAAAATGCAAAACGTACAAATCCCTGACCAAAAATGCTGCACTCCGGAAACAGTGAGTCAAAAATTAAGGATCCTCTGTTTGCACGGCTACAGACAAAACGCCGAAGTGTTTCGAGCTAAAACGGGCTCCTTTAGAAAAATGGTCCACAAATGGGCCCAGTTCAATTACATTACGGCGCCCCACAAAGTGATTTTAGTCGATGATATTAATGTTCTAGAAGATCCCGATATTGGACAGACAAAGGATGAAGGTAAGTCGATTATACAGGGTGACCTGAGATAGACTGACACATTTTTCAGGTAAATTATCACAAAAACAAGAACCAAATTCCAGCAAATTTTAGGATTCAAAAACTCCTAAAAGAAATCGCATCTTGTTATCTGTTCTTGTTTTCAAGATATTTACCTGCAAAATGTGTAAGCTTATCTTGGGCCACTCTGTATATTGTAGTATAATATTTCATATAAAATTTTCTGAATCGCAGATCAGTATGGCTGGTTCTTTAATAGGGACGATAAAACATACAGAGGTATAAGAAAAGGAGGCCCAGCAATAGGTTTTGAAGAATCAGTACAACTCGTAGAGCAAGCCTTTGAAAAAGAAGGACCATTCGATGGGATTTTAGGATTTTCACAAGGGGCCTGCTTTGTAGGACTTTTATGTGATTTACAACAAAGAGGATGTAATAGAATTTTTAAATTAATTATTTTCATATTGTAATGAGTATTTTTCAGTGACAAAGCACATCAAATTCAATTTCGCAATAATGGCCAGCGGTTTTAAATCTCAAAGTTGGCCTCATTTGAAATATTACTTGGATACTCTAACTTTGTCTAGCTTGCATATATTTGGTGAAACTGATAAAATAATTCCAACAGGTAAAGACTATTTTGTAATTTTAATACTTATTTTAATTTATTTATTTTTAGAAATGAGCGAGGCATTATCTGAAAGCTTTGAAGATCCAATGATAGTTATACACCCAGGAGGGCATTATTTGCCAGCTTCTGCACCACAAAAACACGAATACCAAAAGTTTTTCAAAGTGCAAATGTTACAGAAACAGTATAGGGAAGACAATGATGAATAAATCCAATTGTTGAATAAATAATTTATTATTGCATTAGTTTTTAATTGATTCTCCTCCAAATTTTTTGTTCCATTGCTCAATAAAAAATGGTTCATATTGCAACTTTTGAGAGGCATTACAAGGTACAAAATGACCCCCAGCATGTGACACTACAGTGGGGTTTTCAAAAAAGCTGGCTACAAGTTCACTGCGTTCTAAAATTGAATTATTTTTACAAAGTCATTATTTGTTATTTTTTTTTTTACCTGGCACTACTCTTTGATCAGTTTCTCCGTAAATGTGCAATGAAGAAACATGTAATTTTTCGTCATAGAAATTATCAATTGGGAATTTAAATCCACCCGCCACAATGGCAAAATCAAATTTTATATTTTTTGTTACTAAAAATAATTGTTTAAACATTATTATTACATACGATACAACTTACATTGTTTCTGTTGTAGGGCGCAAAGCATTACAGCTACACATGCACCCTGTGAAAACCCTACAATACCATCAAATGGTCCTTGTTCCTCAAATACTTTTTCTAAAAAGCTAATACATTCTCTGATACCTCTATAATAATGCCCAGTGTTGGTTTTATTAGGTCTTCTTAAGTACCATGCAAAAGAGTCAGTGTCATTAGTGGGGTAATCTTTAAAAACGATTTTCAATTAATTGAGTGTATTATTAAAACATAAATGCAGGTACCTTCTGGTTGGACTGGTTCTTCTTCTATTTCAAAAGCTCCATTAGCATCTGTGATTGGATGTTTTTGTAAATTGGGTTCCCGAGGTTCAATTTGGTTTCCATTTAAAAGCGTATCTGGGATGTCGTGGTCTATTAAAGGAGTGGCAAATGGGGCTGTTATAAATACAAAATCGGCCAGCTTCTTGAACTTCCTTTGCAAAGGGAGTTTTTCTCTGAATTTTCCTGCACTTTGCGTGTAACCGTGCAGAGCGAGGACTCTTAGTTTTTGGGTACTCGATTGAGGCATGTTTAGGTACCTACTTTTATTTTTGAACAAATAACAAAATTTTCAAAAAATGTTAGGCTATGTTTTTCGAATTTTCGTCATGGAATTTCAAGATAAGATATCTCCAATTCTCTAGGGGTAAACCGCAGGTTTGTTTTTTGTACACCAGATTACGGTTTCTTCATGAGAAATCAGTATAATCATGGATGATTTCTCTTGATTTCCTAAAGATTTCCCATGATTACCTTAAGATTTCCCCTTGAATTCCTCATGATTTCCTCTGATTTCCCTATGATTTCATCTAACTGCCTCAGATTTCAACATATTTCTTCTTGATTTCCCCTAATTTGTACACCAGATTTCCGTTGCGGTTTACCCCTCGCCAATTCTATTATCTATAGATGGGAAGTTAAAGTTTTCAGTGAATCTTATTCTAGTAGGTAGGACTACCAGTCCCTAAAAATTTCAGCTTATTTGGACTTTTCCAGAGATAAATCGCGTTAAGTAATGTGTAATGAATTTCTTCAATTTTCCTGACGTCCTTTTCCAAAGATTTGGCCTTCAAATCTTAGAATAAGTTTTTTTGGGAAGAATTAAAGAAAATGTGCTGAGTGAAAAATGACTCATGATCAGACTAGAAATCCTAAGAATCTTTCTTAGAGACAAATTAGAAATTTGCAGAATACCTATATGATTCATCAGGTTCAGGATTTAGGACCCAAAGATTATCTTCTGGTCTTTCCTAGAAAAAAGTGGAAAATTAGGATAGAAACGATCAAGAATTTAAGTTGTGATCCTAAAATCCTCATTCAAGAACTAAAAAAATCGATCAACTCGAAGATATATGCTTCTAGTATTTTCCAGAGAATAAGCGGAAAATTAGTAAAAAGGAGACCAAAATGAATGAGATTTATTGAAAATCGAGAAATGAAAAGAGGAAATTCAGGAAAAAATTAGCATGAAATCGATTGGCGAGTAAAAATGTCAATATTTTCTTTATTCCAGGCTCTTGAATTATCTATCTTTATTAAAAGACATTTGGAGAAAATGGAAATTCGATAGCCGGGAATAGACAAAAAATTAAGACGGGAAAAATTAAAGAAACATTGAGAAATGGAAAGAGAAAATTGAGGAAAAATTGAGAAGAAATAGGTTGACGTGAAAATATCAATATTTTCTCTATTACAGGCTCTTGAACTCTTTTTATTTGAAAGAAATTGAAGAGAAAAGAAATTCCAAGTGCCGGGAATAAGGAAAAATTGAGACGAGAAAACTGAGGATTGTAGGAATCAAGAAGTTGTCAGTGACACGGACTCATATAGAGACGAAGCCCACGAAATCCAGGATAAAAACACCAAACTTATGAACTTTGAGTGTTACCTACTTCCTTACGGGTCGGTGCTGTTTTGAATAGCTAGAAATAAAATCGAAACACTATTTTACCAGAGCAACATAAGAATTAACGGCAAGAAAATTGCTAAAAAGGCGCAGCCAATTATCAAGGAGATGAAAATTGACCTTGTAAAAGGACCAATACTGATCTTAAAAATCCGAATTTCATTAATATTGCAAGGGTTGAAATATTGTTGATGAAAGCTGCAGAAGAAAATATTACCATCAAAGTGAGAAGGTGCAAGTCATTAGTTATAGAAACTTATGAAAATCAAATGTAAATAAACTCATTAGTAATTCAATAAATCTTATATTGTAGTAGAAGACTACCCAGTAACCACACTCTATCCCAGGAACGTCCTATTTAGGTTCCCTTCGGTCGGGAACGTTCGTGCCTCAAACGGTACGTCTACCCAAGGGCGGTTTAAAGGGGGGGGGTAGAGGGGGTAATTACCCCCCCCAGACAAAGATTTATTTTGAACACTTAAGAATAAAATTTCAACAAAAGACAAGTTCTATAAAGTAAAGCATAGAAGGCATTGTATAAATTGATAGGCTCACCAGTATCGACGTACAGTTGCGATTAAAAAAAAGTAGTACAAGGAAAATCTCCAAAATTTCCTGGTCTATTATACATTAATTTAATTCATAACCAAAAATGACATATTTTTGGCATTTTTCGACAAGTTTTTAACCTAGAAAGCTTTAGATGACATTATTTTGACATTTTTCCACCCGTTTTTAACCTAGAATATGTCATTGCCTGTCAAATTTTTTTATGTTACACCGGGAGCTCAAATTGGAGCTAATAATTTTTGTACTACTTTTTTTTGATCGCAACTGTACCTACTACTATACAGTGAAATAAAAGGTATTTCATTTGAAAAAAAAGCTATGGTTGTTTGAAATATCTGGTTTTGTGTACAGTTACAGTATTGCGAACACCCTATAGAATGTTATCAGATTTTCATAGGACCATGAAGTAAATGTAAGTATACACTAACAGCCTGCAAAAGATTTAGCTTAAGGATCTCAAATGAATGAAATGTGTTGGTTTTTGCTGATACATGCATTGACACTGACACATGCAAACTGCGATTTTTTTTTAAAGTTTCAAATATTTCAAAAAGTACTTGAATGTAGAAATTTTCCTGCATTCGAATACATGAAATCTGAATGTTTTTTTATGCAGATAAATTATGCGAACACTTGTAGCGTCACACCGGCTAAACGCCGAAATGCCAGCCTCCCGTTCGTTCAGTCCTCAGTGAACCGTGCCCTATACTTTGAGTGGTTGCCATTCGCTCTAATGAGATCGTGGACATTTGTTTTGAAAAATTCTTGCACGTGTTAAAACTGTACTTCCAAAGCCGGTATGACGTCACAGCCTAGGCGTTCGTAACTTGTGATGGGTTCAAATTTCAATCCGATTATTGGCTTGATTTCAATACAGTAAATAAATTCATGATCAATATTATGCAATAAATTATCAGTCATGAGCACAAAGTCAGAAAGTGGGACACCCGTTTTTTCCTATTGTAAAACGGGTTCACCCAGCTATACCTAAGACAATGACAGGAATTGTCATATTTGACAAAAAATCCATTGAAAAGAAAAGACTGATTTACGCAAAATAGACTGATTTATGCAAAATTACAAGACCTGTCAGTCGAGTGTCCCACTTTTTGGGTTAGTGCGAACTTCGATTTTTTGAAAAAGTTTCAAATATTTCAAAAAGGGTCGAGTTTTTATAGAAATTTATAGATTTGTTCACAGATGTGCACATAATTGATCCATTAGTATAGGTATAGTATAGGTAGTTATATATAGGTATAGGTAGTTCCTAAGAAAAAGTATATAGGATTGTTAGAACAATCCATTAATGTTCTAAAATGTAAGGTGTTCCATTTAAAATAACAAAGGTCTGTCACATACCTCATTTACGGAACACCCTGTGTATATTCAAAAATATTTTAAACTACTAATGGATCTTAGAGTATCAAACAACTTTGTAATTTAATTTTTTTTTCTTGCATTACCCTGAAAGGAGATATCGTCTACTAAGTGGACATCCTGTATAACTATTTTGCCGGCATCGGGATATATTTTTGCTTGAGGTGTGTTTCAGACGATTTTCAGGTGCAAATTTGGACGTGGCACCCTTAAAAAAATTTCGCCTCCGGCAGGAAGCCATTTGACACTTAATGATTTTCCCGTCATCCATTACCCCCCCCAGAAAATCATCTATGGACCGCCACTGCGTCTACCAAACGATGGAAGCCAACATTTAGACCCATAAGTAATAGGTACCTTCCAATCCTTGTTCAAAAGAACCTAGTTAACACTTGAATCTTCCCATTTAAAATATACCTACATTGATCGACAAAAATAATGCATTGTTACTGAAAAAGTTCTAGTGTGAACTAAGCTCAACTGAACCAGGATTTTAGCTTGGTATTAATATGTTTGGGCCTTTAGTTGCCTCTAAAATAACCCTGGAACTTCCTAGAATGTCTTATGAACGTTTTCGCAGAACGTTCGAGGAAGGTCTTTTTATGCACTTGAAAACGTGTACGGTCAGGGAACATTCCAGAACTCTCTAAACATGATTTTGGAATGTTCAAGGAACGTCTGGTAAGTCGCAGAGGAACGTTCCAAGTATACGTTTTTAAAACTGAGTTATGTTTATTGAGAACAGAAGAGAAATAAGAACACGAATTTTAAGGAAATTTGATAATTTTTCTTTTCTATTTCAAGCTTTTGACTGTTCCTTGCTCTTTTTATGGAAATAAATTTCATTCCAGGCTTTTGACTGTTCCATGATTCTTCTATGAAAAGAAATTTGCATGGAAACAGAAATTCGAGAGCCTGGAATAGTTGAAAATTGAAACTAGAGGGAAGAGAAATAAAGGCAAGAACTTTTTAAGAAATTTGATCATTTTTTGTTCTTATTCCAGACTTTTGACTTTTCCTTGATTCTTTTATAGAAAGAAATGTTATGCCAGGGTTTTGAATGTTCTTTGATTTTTCTATAAAAAGAGATTTGGATGGAAATAGAAATTCAAGAGCCTGGAATAGTTGAAAATTGAAATTAAATCCATCAGTAAACAAAACTTTGTCCCAGGAAAGTCCTATTTAAGTTCCTTCAGGTCGGAAACGTTCCTGTCATAAACGTTACGTCCATCAAACATTCGAAGCCAAGATTTAGACCCATAAATAATACATCCCAAGTTCAAATCCTTGTTCAGTGGAACCGGAACCTAGTTAATACTTGAATCTTCCCATTTAAAATGCATTGCGGTTAAAAAAGGGTCAAAATTTCAATTGATTGACAAAAATGCATTGTAAATGAGAAGGTTCAAGTTTGAACTACGTTCAACCGAAGCTTGGAATTGTATAATATGTGTGGGCCTTTATTATTGTTGCCCCTAAAACAACCCTTTTATATGTGATTCCAAATGATCATTTAAAAGATTCAGAATATTTTAATAATAAAATAAATTAGATAAGTAACATAAACGCGTTTTGTAACAACCTAAACGGCGAAGATTTACAAAAAGCCCTTTGCGATCGTGAAGGGCACGAATATCTCTGTAAGCATTCTGCAAGGGCTCGGTCGCATTGGCACAACATGTCGGCACAAGAACCCGATCTTCCATATTCACCATGATCTACGGCTAAACAAAAAAAATATATGTATTCCTGGACTTAAAACCAAAGAATTTCTATATTACCACAATATGGCCTATTGTACCAACATTTCCAGTAATACGGTATGAAATATTCGAGAAGCATTGGACAATTTGCAATTTCGTAACAAAAATCATGGGATTTGCAGCATCTAAAAGCAAATAATGTGTTTTCGTGATACTTGCGGGTGTATAAAACTTTACCTGTCTATTCCGTCTACAGGAATTCCCGAACCAAAAAGTCCACAGAAACATCCATAGCCTTTGTATTTGAGAGGATTACAGCCAGTAGCACAACTTATCATGTTATAAAGATGAGGCACACCTATGGTATATAATTTAATTTGAAATAATAGCTTCAAATGTAAATCTTCACCTCTTTTGGTTCTTGCTTCTTGTTCTATTAATTTCATGTCCGGGGATGGTCCTTTTTCAAAAAGTTTAAGTTTTGGTATTTTTAGGGAATATCCTTTCAAGTAACCGTAAGGGGCATTTGTTTTAGATCTTTGCAAAGTAATTTAAAACATTAAAAACAATTTCCAATTGCAATTTTCAATACCTACATACTTACGTTTGTTTAGTGAAGTTATAATACTTTTGCGGTGAGATTTTGGAATTATTTACAAAGGGTTGTATAAATATTTGTGGAAATATAAGGGGTAGAGATTCTTCAAAATCATCTGATCTACTTTGAAATTTGCTTTCACCGGCTACTACTAAAAATTTGAATCAGTTTAGGAAAGCCATGTATAAGGCAATAGAATACTTACCAACAGATAGATAATAAAAATGAGCATAATATAATTTTAAAAACATTATTACACACAAACTACACAAACCAAGCCTCGCGATAAGACTAATATGGATTTATCGGTGATTTTGAATCGCGTTGAAAATTAACCCCACTGGAAATTGTTTATTTTAAGAATTACCCATTTATTATGGTTGAAAAAAAATCCATATTGTTTATTCTAATAAACTAAAAAAGGAAAATTTCATATGTATAATAAACCCGCGAATGACTATGGTAGCGTGCCGAGATTAAAAACTCTTACCTCAATTAAGTATTGTAAACTATAATCATTTCACTTTTAATTAATAATGTAAAATTATGCGACCCATATGGGTTTTGTTTTGAAATAGATAATGTTTGTGAAATTATTGTAGTTCAGTTGACAATAAATGAGACTTAGAATTGGGATTGGGTGGTTTAATAATTGTTTCCAAATATTTTCTGTGCATTAGAACTGGATCTGAGTACTTACTCCCAGTTGAATGATATGAAATTGATTTAAAATACATTTGCAGATATTATAATCACACTGATGGATTACATAAAATCTTTGATCAGTATCGAGTATCTATAAAAGTAAGTCCATTAAATGTTACTTAACCGAACAGCAAACAAGATTTTAAGTATGTTACCGTGTCGCTTGCTTAGTAGTGTTTTTTTTTTAAAGGACTTTCGCCATTTACTTATCTTAGTTTAAATCGAGGTTTAAATACATTTATGTTTAATTCTTCACTAGCGTAGCAGGCTAATCATTAATCAGCTACTAGGATTTGGTATTTTTAGCTACCACAAAAATAGTCATCATGAAATAGCGTCACAAATCCACAAACCTTGGCTAATGTAAAATTCTATAGATTTTCAGAAAATAGCAACAAAAATGTATTCGCTTACTTTCCAATTTCCTTCTCAGCAAATTGGATTTCAATTTGCTTCAAAATTCACAATTTTGCTATCTATAGCAGAAGATGCATTTTTCTTGTTCAAGTTTGCTTCATCATCATTTACTTGCAATGCAACTACATTTTGAACGAAATCTTACTTAGTCAAATACACATTCTTATCTAAACCTTATATAAAAATCCCGATAAATTATTTCCCATATTTCCTAATTTAGGCTCAACATTATGTCTTCACTTTTGAAGATTCTTCTCAAGTTGTAGCCATCAACCATTCCTATGCAAAATAGTGTATGGTGGGCAAAAATTAGTTCGTATTGGTGAATTTCATTTTTTTTTATGTTTTTTTTTTCTCAACTACATACCTACTTACATTAACTACCTAATAAAAAATTTGCATTTTATCTACACCTGTTTCAAAACCACTTTAAATTGGTTAAAATGGGTTATCAACAAGCTTATCAGTGTTTCATAGGTATTCACACTAAATTATTTTCAATTTATTTAGAAATAAATACCTAAGATGCCTAAATTGAATCTCAAATTCTTCTTCATAAAATTCCTATTAATTTCAAATCTCAGTTTTAGGATAGTTGGAAAATTGATTTTTCAAGACAATTTCGATACATTAGATGCAAATGTATGGCTCCACGAATCACTCAATGAAGCGGTACATTTTGTTTGTAAATCCATTTTATATTTTGCAAGTGAATACATTTTTTAGCACTTGGATGAGTTTCAACTTTACACCGATACTAAGGAAAACAGTTACTCTGAACATGGTATTTTGCATATAAAACCAACACTTGTGGTAAATGAAGAAAGGTGAGCAATAGTTTTTTTTTCTATGTAAAACTCAAGAAAAACTATTTACAGCGACAAATTCCATCCGATTCGAAGTGCCAGGCTTAGCACAAAAAACTCATTTTCATTTACTTATGGTATAATTGAATTTAGAGCAAGGATTCCTTCAGGGGATTGGCTATTTCCAGGTAAATATACTCATATTGTGCTAAAAAACTAGAAAACCAATTATTCCTAGCTCTATGGCTGATGCCAACAAATTCTCAATACGGACCCTGGCCAACTTCTGGCGAAATTGATGTAATGGAGTCCAGAGGCAATAGAAATTTAACCGATACACAAGGGAATTTTGTGGGTGTCCAGCAAGTTAGTAGTACATTGCATTGGGGCCCAAGAACCGATTTAGATGGATGGAAACTTTCACATTTTTCCAACAATGATAATAGTTGCTTCAGGTATGATATTTTGTTGTTGGCTATTAATTTTTATTAGGCCACATCTCTAGTAATGCCTTTCATACTTACAAAACCATTTGGACTCCTGAAAGTATCAGTTTTCACGTTGACGAAGAACAAATTGGTATTACGGTACCACCTGAAGGAGGTTATTGGGAAATGGGGGATTTTAATAAAGATGGTAACAATAGAATTGAATAATTATGAGCAACAGCAATTGAAATTGTTTTAGATTTACCTAATCCTTGGTCTAATGGTACGAAATCAGCACCGTTCGATCAAAGTTTTTATTTAATAATAAATCTGGCGGTTGGTGGTACTCACTTTTTTTCGGATGCAGACAACAACGAAGGAGGAAAACCTTGGAAAAATACTTCTCCTAATGCGGGCCTAGATTTTTGGAAAGGAAGAGATCAATGGCTGGGCACTTGGAATCTTGCCACCGACGATTCGCATTTTTTAATTGATTATGTTCGAGTTTGGGATTTGGAATAGAAATAGTTGAATATGAACAATGTATGTATAAATCACTAGTGAATTATATCCAAGAGAGTTTTTTCTCGAAAAAAAAAACTGGTTTTATTTCATATCAAATATGAAAAGATTCTATAAAATTGACGACAAGGACAAAACAAAGACCATAGAAGATGAATGAAGACCAATTCAAGCAATTTATGTCCGTTTTGACTGCTAGTTTTACAGGACAAAGTACTATACTTCAAAAAATTCGAGGACAAACGAAAAATTCATCAGGTATCAATTCCACTGCTTTTCTGTCCCCATTCGAGAATTTTCATCCCAGAATGAAGATTTCGAGAGACAACGGTTCGAAAATTATATGAAGCTCAATGCTTTCGATGATAAAAATTATGTAGCTCAGATGTTGGCCAACTCTTTGGGATCCACGACTTACAGTACCCTTACAGCCCTAGTAGCTCCAAAAAAAGCAGATGAATTCACCTATGATGAATTAATCGAGTATCTGGAAAAGCACCTATGCCCCAAGAAAAATGTTATGGTTTCTCAGCATAGATTTTTATTAACTCACCAACGTGAAAATCAATCTATTTCCGAATATGTGGCTACGGAATTTATGAATGTATGCATGAATAAAAAGAAATCTGCATTTTTCCAAAACAGCATCGAATATCTTGGGCACGTGATTCAACATAATCAAATATCAAAATCTCCAGCAAAAGTAGAAGCCATAGTTGATATGCTTAGACCCAAAGATGTAGATGAAGCTTGTCGTTTTCTTGGTATGCTTACATACCTAATTATTATTCTCGATTCATACCCTGTGCATCGACAATGACTTATCCTTTACGAAAATCACATCAACAAAAGAACAAAAAGTTCTATTGGGATCGTTCCTGTGAGGCAGCATTTATGAAGTCGAAGCAGGAAATAGGCGATTGATCGTGTTCTGACCCCATTTGACCCAAATTTACCAGTTATTCTAGCTTGTGATGCAACTCCTAGAGGTGTTGTGTTATTTGGAAGAAAACAGGAAAATAACAGTGGCGTACACTCGTTACAAGAATTTTTCACCAGAATGCGAAATTATCAGCTATGACGTCTGCCAGACTACTCAGATACCTACTCTTCGTTCATTTCAAGTTTCGATTACGACGTAGAATACAAAACAGGTTGTTAACATACGAATGTGGACAGCTTATCAGTTATCTGAGGGGGTGAGAAATAGGTCGCTCGGGTTTTTTCGTTGAAAGACGAAAATTTCGAGAAACAAGTTTTAGAGCCTCTAAGGTAAATATTTCCAATTCTCCAGAAGCCTCGAAAGTTTCTAGTCCAATCAATAGTCCTATAGGTAATGTTATCCTCAATATTTAAATCATTAGACACGTCTTCAATAAGGGCTCTGGTATTTTCAATCCTTTGAGACGAGAATACGATTTCTCTCGTCTTGTCTCGAAAGTTTGAGACAAAATCAGTTATTTGTTTCGTCTCGTTGTCTATCTTCTCTCGTGAGTTTTAGACGCATAGAAAGTTAATTTTGTCTCCAGAGATCAAAAAAATGCAAAAATTGTAGGCTTGTATATGTAATATTAGCCTTTATAATACCCAATAGTTCCAATAAAAGCGAAGGTTTTGTTTCTATCTTGACCGAAAAAGTCAACTTCCAATTTTGGGGAATCCCCATCAGTAAAAATTTTCCTCTGGAATTTTTTCTAGCCTTAGGAGGACTTGGACTTAAAATTGCCAAGAAACCTTTACGGTTTCTTTTCGCATGCTCTACCGAACGAGATTTATTTTTGTCCAAAATTCCGAAAAAAATAATTTTCCATTTTGGGGAATCCCCAGTAAAAATTTTCTTCTGGAATTTTTTCTAGCCTTAGGAGGCCTTGGACGAAAAATTGCCAAGAGACCTTCTCGGTTTCTTTTCGCATTTTCTACCGGATAAGAATTATTTTTTCCCAAAATTCCGAAAAAAATAATTTTCCATTTTGGGGAATCCCCAGTAAAAATTTTCTTCTGGAATTTTTTCTAGCCTTAGGAGGCCTTGGACGAAAAATTGCCAAGACACCTTTTCGGTTTCTTTGCGCATTTTCTACCGGATAAGAATTATTTTAATTCCGAAAAAAATAATTTTCCATTTTGGGGAATCCCCAGTAAAAATTTTCTTCTGGAATTTTTTCCAGCCTTAGGAGGCCTTAAACGAAAAATTGCCAAGACACCTTTTCGGTTTCTTTTCGCATTCTCTACCCGATGAGATTTATTTTTTTCTAAAATTCTAAAAAAAATAATTTTCAATTTTGGAGAATCCCCAGTAAAACTTTTCTTCTGGATTTTTTTCTAGCCTTAGGAGGCCTTGGACGAAAAATTGCCAAGACACCTTTTCGGTTTCTTTTCGCATTTTCTACCGGATAAGAATTATTTTTTCCCAAAATTCCGAAAAAAATAATTTTCCATTTTGGGGAATCCCCAGTAAAAATTTTCTTCTGGAATTTTTTCTAGTCTTAGGAGGCCTTGGACGAAAAATTGCCAAGACACCTTTTCGGTTTATTTTCACATTTTCTACCGGATAAGAATTATTTTTTCCAAAAATTCCGAAAAAAATAATTTTCCATTCTGGAAAATCCCCAGTAAAAATTTTCTTCTGGAATTTTTATTAGCCTTAGGAGGCCTTGGACGTGAAATCCCCAAGAGACCTTTTCGGTTTCTTTTCGCATTTTCTACCGGATAAGATTTATTTTTTTCTAAAATTTCTGAAAAAAATAATTTTCAATTTTGGGGAGTCCCCAGTAAAAATTTTCTTCTGCAGTTTTTTCTAGCCTTAGGAGGCCTTGGACGAAAAATTGCCAGAATACCTTTTCGGTTTCTTTTCGCAATCTCTACTGGACAAGATTAAGTTCTTCCCAAAATTCGGAAAAAAATAATCTTTGATTTTGGGGAATCCCTAGTCAAAATTTTCTTCTAGCTTCAGGAGGCCTTGGACGAAAAATTACTAAGACACCTTTTCGGTTTCTTTTCGCATTCTCTACCGGATAAGAATTATTTTTTCCCAAAATTCCGAAAAAAGTTATTTTCCATTTTGGGGAATCTTCAGTAAAAATTTTCTTCTGCAACTTTTTCTAGCCTTAGGAAGCCTTAGACGAAAAAGTGCCAAGAGACCTTTTCGGTTTCTTTTCGCATTCTCTACCGGAAAAGATTTATTTTTTCCCAAAATTCCAAAAAAAAAAAAAATCAATTTTGAGGAATCCCCAGGAAAAATTTTCTTCTGGAATTTTTTCTAGCCTTAGGAGGCCTTGGACGAAAAGTTGCGAAGAGACTTCATTTAACTTCATTTTTCAGTCTTCAGTGTTCAATAGACTGCTCTTTAGTTTTGTAGATTTTGTAGAATATATTCTTCAAGTAGGTAGGTATTTACAATTTAGTCTTTAATCTAGTCCTGAGTCTTTTGGAAGCCGTGGAATAGGATTCTCGTGCATATTTGGTTCAAATTTTTCAACTTCAGAAGAGATAATTAGGGGTTTCCTTGTTACCTACCTATGTTAGCTTAACATAATAGTCAAGAAACTGCAGCTCACTTTATAATATTTGTTCTAGGATTACCGGGAATAGGATTTTCATACCTAAGCCTAGTACTCATAACTGCGAAATTCGCACTTTTTTGACATTGCTTCGACAAATTGATGTTTTATGCAGTGTTGTCGAAGCTACCAAAATTTCGGTATTTCTACCGAAATGGCAACGGACCTACCGAAATACCGAATACCGATGAATTTTTACCGATTTTCGACAATAATTACGGTTCTACCGATTTTTTTACCGTTTTTCGCCAAAAAATCAATTTTATCGTTTTTGCTTCCGCCGATTTTTCTATCCATAGCCGCTAATTTCAAATTTGACATTTCAATGCGTCGTTCCGTTTGTTCATATGAAATTTTCTAACAAGGTCATTGGTTAGAATCTTTTACAGGACACGTTGCCAAGTTGAATAGTGCAATTTTAAAAATTCACCATTTACAAAATGCACAAGATTTCAAATAAGCCGATCGTGAATTTAGAATTCGTCGACGCATATATTTCGACCGACTGACTCGCATGTGAAAGATTTGCATGGATTTCAAATAAACTCCAACAGGTAGGTATCAGTGCATTTCTTTCGGAGAATACCCGTGTTTCCTGTGATATCCGAATTTTCCCCATTGTTCCGCCAATGTTGAACGCACATTCTCAGCAATGAATCGAATGAAAACAGTACAAAGAAATAGACTTTCCACAGAAACAATCATTGGGCTTTTACATAGGTACTCAGCGACATATAAAAGAGGCTAATTGTCATGATTTTGAAATTAATAAACAATTGACTTTGAATATGTCCAAGGAATATTGGTATGATCCAAATCGCATTCATTAATCTGTATCTTTCTTTTATTTATGTTTGTATTATTTTAGAAAAATAGATAAAATATAATTGATTTTCTGATTTATGATGTAATATTTAGTAAATCATGCAAAACACGGCAATGTTGGATTTTAGTCTTATTTTATACCAAAGTTTGGTTATACCTATCGATTTTGCGCAGTAATCTACCGATTTTTAACGCCAGTTTCTCCCGATTTGGTATTTTGACGTTCGACAACACTGGTTTTATGTGTGAATCAAACGTCAAATTGTCGAAGCAATGTCAAAAAAGTGCGAATTTTGCAGTTATGAGTACCTACTAGGCTTCACGCAGAGACAAATTTCAACTTTATTAGAACAATTTTTATGTTTTTAATATATACCATTGTCGAAAAGATAACTACAGGAGTTTAAAAGAGCACTTGAGAATATTTCGAAGGTTTCTGATAATTTCTAAAACATTCCAGAACTTCAAAATCATTAGGGAACCAATTTTCAATTCTCCTGAATTTGTTTGAGACAAATTGGAATCTTTGAAAACTTTGTTAACCGTTACAGAACACTTCAGAACCAATTTAGAATTTCAGAAACTTTCTTGAACAGAACAGAACACTTTTGAAGTTTCGGCAATATTGTAAAGCCTGTTTTGTTTTTTTAAAGATAAAAGTCAAAATGACATTATGTTGGCAATACAATGTAAAATTGTCAAAGTATTCAAATTTTGTATGTAGAAAAGGCTTGTGTTGCCAACATAGTTACTAAATTTTTGACTTGGGGAATTATCTTTAAAAAAAAACAGACTTTAGAAAGTTTTTGGCAAAGGTGAGCAAAAAATTCCAAAACAGGTTCCTTCTTCAGAGCCAGAACAGAGAGAACCGTTCTAAAACAATTCCAGAATTGTTCTTACATTGTTTCGAATCATTGAACTAAACAAACACTCTGGAACGGGCGCACTGCTTTATGCTAGTGTGCCGAATTTTGATATATGCAACCCAGCAATACAGAGGGATTGTTGTCTCGCTCGCACTCATTGCGATTAACGTAAAAGAAAGAAGAGCTTCTTCATCCTCCTAACCTCAATGATCCAAACACTTCAAACAGCTGTTCTCAATAGCCGCCATAGTGCAGAGAGAGATGCAAATCCCTCTTGTTTGTTGTCTTTCCTGTGGCACAAACCCTTACGTAAAACCAATTATGCAGCCACCGTTCCAGTGTGTTTGTTTAGTTCATTGTTCCGAATAATCCAAAACGCTGTCAACACAGTTGCGATTACGATTCTGAAAAAACGAAAACGGCTTTTATAACATACGCATGTGCAGAATGATTCCGAACTAGTTCTGTCAAGTTAACGGAAGTCCAATGTAAAGAAGTTGAGAAAACCGTTGATATTGTTGAAGATCATGTACTATACGTAGTTGTTTACATCCACTTACAAATTAAGAAAATTACCGTGACACACGGAAAAGTTGGGTCAATTTCAACTTAAGGAAATCCGTGCGTTCAACTTAAGGAGTTCCTGTTTCTATGCATATAATTTGAATTGAGGTTATAAGTGCGCATGCGTCAAGTAAGAAAATTAAACTTCATTATGAACACACACATCAGTTTCGTACGTTAGGTTAAGTTAAGTAGATGTAAATGACCCTTAACTGTATTCTGCCCAGCTTTGGCTTTTGAAACCACTCTAGAACACTTTATAAATCGTATGGATTGTTCGAAACAAAATGGCACTTGTAGGAAGATTGTTAAGCTAATGTTGCCGATATTTTTCTCAGACCATAGTTCGTCAGAGGAATTTATGAATGTATGCATGAATAAAAAGAAATCTGCATTTTTCCGAACCAGCATCGAATATCGTGGGCATGTGATTCAACATAATCAAATATCAAAATCTCCAGCAAAAGTAGAAGCCATCGCTGATATGCCTAGACCCAAGGATGTAAATGGAGTTTGTCGTTTTCTTGGTATGCGCACATATTATTCTCGATTCATACCCTGTGCATCGAGAATGACTTATCCTTTATGAAAATCACTGCAAAAGAACAAAAAGTTCTATTGGGATCGTTCCTGTGAGGCAGCATTCATGAAGTCGATCAGAAAATAGCGAGTAATCGTGTTCAGGCCCCATTTGACCCAAATTTACCAGTTATTCTAGCTTGTGATGCAAGTCCTACAGGTGATGAATGGAGAACCATACGAAAATATACAAAACTGTATGATTATTCAAAAACTGTACATAGGATTGAATTCATACTAACATGGAAAGGTTGAGGGGGTAGTCAGAAATAGGAAAATACAAGAGGCGTACACTCGATCAACTTACGAATGGAGAACCATACGAAAATATCATACATCTCGATCACCAATTGATCAGAATCCACAATTAACTGACAAGTTTCGTAATGAAGAAGTAAATAAAATCTGTTATTCAACCATTATCGACATATCAACGTTAGAATTAAATGCTGAAAGTATCCGAGTCGAGACAGAGAAAGATGAAGTCCTAGCTAAAATAATATTTGATTTATTGACAAATCTATTATCAGAATTTAGTTACCTACAGGAAGATGGAGTGCTTTTCAAGGGACAAAGAGTTGTTATACCGACTAAACTTCAACCTTCAGTGTTAGCAGAACTGCATATAGAACTCACATTGGAATCACAAAAATGAAGCAGTTGTCAAGGAAGTATTGTTTTTGGAAAAGAGTCGATAGGGGTATCGAAAAATGGTTTAAATCATGTGATGCATGTGCTCTAATTCGATCCTCTCCAGCCAAAGCTCCATTGCACCACTGGGAGTTATCAGAACAAAACTGGGATCGTATACATATGCTGGACTATGCTGGTCCTCTTCAAGGTTTCAATTTCCCGTGAAGCGACATATAGATCAAATACGAAAAACGGAGGTTCTAAAAAAGCGAGTAACTTTTGCCGATGTGCATTGAAGAACCAGAAGACACAACTCACGCCCAGCCAGTTCGAGTAGAAATTCCTGAACCAAACCCTGCTTTTGTGCCACCACCGAACTACGAATGAAAGACCTCGGAGTACTCGAAGATCTCAGAGACTGAGAGAAAAAACACTCATGCTCAATATATCCATGTATTTGGATCAAAATGTCCTATGACATCTGATTTCCATTCCATGAACATAATCTTCAGTAGATGAATTTCTGTCACACTTTTAGAAACCCTTAAGGTCTGTGAAACATCCTGTTTTTTTCAAATTTATGTTATCCATTTGATTTTTGTTTGAAAAATTTTCATCTTACACTAAACGATCATTTTTCTAGTCCTCTTGGTCTTAAGCATAGCCCAAGCTTAGATTTAATTTGTATTGTTGGCGGAAAGGATGCCAACATTGCAGTACCTATATCCTTAACAATAAGTGTCCATGATAATGATGGATAACACTCTTGTGGAGGATCCATTATAACGAAATATTTAATCTTGAGTGCCGCTCATTGCTTTTATAAAGAGTAAGCTGCACCTCTTTCCAGAATTTAACCTTCAACATAACAAGGAACATCAGAATCATTGGTAAAAATTATTTAAAAGTAGGTAAACGAAAGATGCTATCTCTGGCCTGTAGCATCAACTCTAAGGCCCCTTTATTCCTATCAAACAATCTCTCCGCTACACCCGGTGCATGCAGTCTCCGGCGTCGCCTCAACGAAACCGCTCCTCAGTTCAGCAGGCTCAATTCGGTTCAGTTCAGTCGGTCGCGTCCTCGGGGGCGGATGAGGCGGTGCGCGCGGCCCCATCCCCAGGACCCGGTGTTGTTGGTTGCACTGACAACCATCACGACGACGACGATGGCTCTTCCGACGACGGTTCTTCTTTTGTGCGTCGCGTCGGTGTGCTTCCTGGTTGACGCCAATCCGGACGCGAAAAGACTCTACGACGATTTGCTCAGCAACTATAACAAACTGGTGCGACCTGTGGTTAACACCTCCGATGTTCTGCGTGTGTGTATCAAGCTTAAGCTGTCTCAACTCATTGATGTTGTAAGTACTACCAGTTCGTAGATTGTTTCATTCATGATACACATAGAAGATGTGTAGTTGAAACTCAAAAGAGAATTATCTAACAGGGGGTTTCAGGTCACGTCACACCCTCTGTTCAATTTACAAATAAATGTGTTCATCACTTTTTTGTTTTACATGAAAGATGCACTACTGAAAGGGATACGATTGTACTTTTATTGAAATTTGTGATTTTAATGGAATTTCCACGTATACTTATTTATTAACATTTGATAACAATGTTAATGAGTAGAATATTTATCAAACAAAATTTCTATAGCATGCAGATTGTCTGGGAAATATTTTGGTGTGTTATATTACTCAACAAGCTTTACAATGTAGGCTATTATTCACTAGAATCAGACACTTACTGGTTTATCTGCGACTCTTTAAATAAAACAAACCTCAATTAAGGTTGAAATAAAATTTTACATTGTCAAAAAATATAAATCTTTCTTGACAAGACCAGAATTTGTATATTTATTATAAAAAACATTACGCTGCTGCAAACATGATAAATTGCAGCGCATAATTGGTGCATGATAAATTTATTACTAAATTGGCGTGCAGAAAAATATTTTTATTCGGTCATTAAATATTTTCATCAATAAAAATTTATAGAATTCTAGTTATTCATTCACTTGATAGGTCGGAAGACTATAATTTTTATACTAACAGTAATTGATACGTATCAGAAATCGTAAAAAAGATAATAAAAGAATATATACATACTTTAATGTGGAAACCTTTGACCTGAAAGAGATAGATACGATTGACGTTTTATTGCCTATTTATTCCAAAATTATTAAGGAAAACTCAGCAAAAAAAGTCTCACTGAGCAGGAATTCAACGTAGTGTGAAAAATGCTTGGGGAACTAAATTACTTCAACAGAAAAATATGCAACGAATAATGGATTCTGGTAATTCCTTTGTTTGAAAGCGAACCCCTCGTGCGAAAAGCTCTCAATTTGCAAATATTCCAGGGCGTCAAACGTTTTTAGGGAAAACGCGTTCTCGACAAAGTTTAGAGCTTTTCAAGTTCCATTTTATATATTTTTCTTCAAATTAAACGGAAATATAAGAATTCTTTCGGTTGGGGTTTTGTTCTACTTTTTATATGCGCTTATTGTTACTTTTGCATTGGAATTTATCAATCATCAATTTCAACCTGCAATACACAAAATATGCAAAATTCCCGAAATAAGATCTTCCAGGATTCAAAATGGAATTATTATTAATTGCAGCCAGGCGTACGTGTAAGCAGACATCTCGACATGTACTTACTAGTCAGATTTAATTGCGGACAAGGCCTCATTAGGCGTTTGCCTGATTGTAATTCTATTCGGTGCATAAATCAGCTAATTTCCGATCGATAATTCCAGTGTCTTCAGATAAGAAATTTGGAGTAGGTATGTTTGGAATTTTCAATAAACCATTCGATAACGAATTTGTCAAGATAACTTTTGACTTATTTTCTTTAAAAAGTTTAGAATCAAACCATTCAGTAGGATCAGGAGTTTAAGAGAACGGTCATCAAAATCTTTTTGATAATCAGTTTTTAGATCAAGCTGCAGCTGCATATTCATCAAAATATGGTCAATCATGATGGGATTATAGACTATAGGGATAAAATTAACTTGGCACAACATCTATGGATAACAAAAATTCGCCCATCCTGTGTAACTAAAAAGATAACTGCTGGAGTTGGGGGCATGTAGTCGCAGTGCTCTGACTCGTCAATACACATTCCTTCTAATTCCAAAAACGACACAAGCAACGCCTCAAATTTAAACCTGGATTTTGTAAGCCCATCGAAAATCGTAACCTCGTAACCACTTTTTATCAGAATCTTCGTGATCTAAGGACTAAATCTGACGAAATTATGACATCATCGTCCGCATGTAACTTCGAAATAATAGCATTAACCGAAACCTGGCTGAATGACATTCTCTACAAGGCTGAATTACTCAACTACCAGTACACACATCAGTTTTTCCAAGAGATAGGAACTATAATGAGCTGGGCAGTCAACGTGGAGGCGGAGTATTAATTGTTACACTGGGGCAACTTCACTCCTCAGGTATCTCTACATCTCAAATGAACCTTTACGAGGATGTTTGGGTTCAGCTGGATCACGACGGAAGTAAAATTATTGTTGGCTGTGTCTACATACGGAAAGTTTCAGATTAAACGACAGACAATAGTTGTTCAGCTAGCCTAATGAAGTTGCAGCAAGAACGTACTTGGACATGTCAAGGAAACACTTTCGTTTCACGACAGGGTTTCTGACAAGCCACTGCCAGCTAAGAAAACAGCTCCATTCACAGAGATTAAGCCAGTCACCTCTGTTGGGGTTAGGAACAGAAGAGGATACTGTGGCGCGTTCGCCAGTATGTACAGAATCTAAGTTGGAATCTAGAAAAAACTGCTTTGTTCGGGCAAAAAGATTATCGCGTTTATTCTGGATTCTACACGAATAGATTGTGGATATATAAAGGCCAGTAGAGTTGAGTTGTTTGAGTTAATTAGTGAAGTAATTAGTGCCAGAGTGTGTAGTAACGTGGCATAAATTATTGTTGTGTTGATTAGACTTTGATTTTGGAATAAACGAACTCAAAATTTCTGTCACGCACCCCAGAGCCATGGACAATACCATTCTGGGAGAGCGCAAACCTGATACTGCCTTTCTGAGCCAAACCCCTTCCGGCTACCTCTCCGCCTTCTTGGAAACATTAGGTTGGACGATGGCCTGAAGAATTGGAAGAACCGGGAGGTCGCACAAGGAGCCCAATCGGGCAACCCTCCACCCACTCGGGATCCAGATCCAGAACTCGAAAGCCTGTGATAGAAAAAGAAGATTCATTCTTTCACAATTTTTTCTCAATTTTTGTTTATTCCCGGTTCTTGAATTTCCGCTTTCTTCAAGATTTCCTTCAAATATTATGAAATAATTTGATATTCTTTTAAATTTGGATTAACGAGTACCTACCTACCTACACAAATACTGAAATCAAATTCGGAAAACGAATAATTCAACAGAAGTAAGTATTAAGAAATAAACCCAAGAAAGAAGATTTCGCAAAGACAGTAGAGAGAAGAGTTGATAGAAAAGCTTAACAATCATTTATTTCGACTTATGTCAAAGGAATATGTACGAGCCCGTTTTACAATAGGAAAAAACGGGTGTCCCACTTTTTGTGCTCACGACTGTACCTACTAAAAGACCTTCAGAAATAAGGCAATAAGCTAAAATTCAATACCTACAGTACAATAAAAATATTCTTCCTAGCTCAGTTTCTTACATAATCTTGAAGACATGAAGGTGGCCTATGATTTCTCTTCACCAGTGAGTTGAAACATCAAGGCGTATCTATAGGGGGGCAATTGTGGAGGCAAAGAAGTCTGCAAATTCAAATTACATTATAAATGCGGATAACATTGCAGAAGCATCTTGGGATGTTATCAATGCTAGTAGAGAGAAATCTAAATCAATTGTCCCGGATATTCAACCAAATGAGTTTAACGACTTCTTTGTTGACATTGCGGACAGGTTGGTTAAATCTCTGCCGCGGGCGGCTATTCCGTTTGATACTTACCTAAATATGGCCGGTACTGTGGATCCCAACCTTATCTTTTCTTGACAGGTGACGTATATTGACGTAAGGAATGCAATATACTGGATGAAGAATAAACAGTAGTAAAGATATTTATGACCTTAATATTACCCTTATTAAATCTATGAAGGATGTGCTGATCTCTCCTCTTACAAGGTTGTTTAATGCCTGTATCAATGACTGCGCCTATCCTCATGCTTTCAAAATGAGTAGAGCTGTACCAATTTTTAAGAATGGAGATCGCTGCTCTTCAAATAACTATAGACCAATTTCACTTATTTTTGTGATATCAAAAATTTTTGAACTGCTTCTCAAAAACCAGCTATGTGAATACTTTGATGCTTGCAGATCAATTTGGTTTTCGAAGAGGAAGATCCACAGTGATGGCAGTTAACAAACTGTGCGAAGCCATAGTCGAGGGCTTTGAGGAGGGCAAGTTTGTGGGAGCCACCTTTTGCGACCTCTCCAAAGCCTTCGACTGTGTCTCGCATGGGATTCTTGTGGCCAAACTGAAGTATTATGGTGTTGCCGGGTGTGCTTGCAGTCTCATACAGAGCTATCTCACAGATAGGCGACAGTTAACAATTGTCAATGGTAAGAGCTCCGAGAGTAGGGTGATGCTACATGGGGTCCCCCAAGGTTCCATACTAGGGCCTTTGCTTTTCATAATTTATATAAATGATGTAAAATCCGCGCTGCAGCACAGCGAGGTGACACTGTATGCCGATGATACCAGCTTCTTGGTGGCTAATGGGGAGTTCAACGCTTTGTGTGAGTGACTGTGCCGAGAGTGTGGGTGACTGTGTCGAGCGTGTGGGTGACTGGTTTCTTGCGAATCGGCTTTCTCCGAATCAAACCAAAACCGAGACTATAACCTTTACTTTAAGACGAGATGAAGAAATTAATAATCCTACTCAGATAATAATAAAAATGGGAGTCATGCTTGACCCCAAACTTACTTTCGAGTGCCATGTAAACCATATCTCCAAGAAAATTACATCTGGAATATATGTACTTAGAAATCTGTGTAGGACCACCAATTTGAGTCTCGCTCTAATGGTCTACCATGCTCTAGTCCATTCCGTTATTTGCTATGATCTGTTGGCTTGGGGACATTCGGCTCATGCCTCGAGAGTGTTTGGTTTGCAGCGGAGGGCAGTGAGAGTTCTGGTTCATGTCGGATACCGAGAAGACCCCAAATAGTTTCATCAGATTTTAACCATTCCATCACAATACATTTATGACTGTCTACTGTACATACATGCACCGTAATTTGCATAATTTCGCGGCTCTGGGTGGAACACACCATCATGATACCAGACATCGCGACAATATTAGGATTAATTTTCTCAGACTAGGAACATCAAG